TTCATTTTTTTTTCTCGTGTAGTTTAAGGAAAAGAGTCAGGCATTATAAACAAAAATGGGTTTTATGTTTTCTTGTTTAGAATGTGCTGTTTTTACCATCTGGCACTATTTTTCCCCTGCTGTGCCCTCATTTGCCTCCATTTTGAGACTCTTGGAAATTCGTTTTAATGTGCATTAATTAGGAAGCAAAAGATTCAGTTACTTTTTCACAGAAGAATGCAGGGGTGGATTCTACTTACCTTTACTACTGGTTTGCATTGCGCCCACACACTCTTCTGCACATACGCAGATTACCTACGATGACGTCCGGGTCAGTGGGCGGAGTCTCCCGCCAGTTTTACTACTGGTTCTTGTGAACCAGTCCAAACCAGGGGCAACTCACCACTGGAAGGATGATACTGTTGTAGCATTTTTCCAGGCTGCCAGCCACAGTAGCTGGAATTACTATAGCTAGATCCCTCTGCTTAGTGAATCTCGTTAGCAGTCTTTACACAACACACATTAAAGAGGGATAGGGCTTTGATCTCATGCCTCTGGGCACTATCTTGACCTTCCCCCCCACATCCCCCCCCCACAGTTACTCCTGTGAGTAATTAATAAAACAACACTACAAGGAAGGCTGGCTTACATACAAATATTCTAGAGATCACTGATTCAACACTAAGAGCTGGTAGTTTGGAAGAAATGGAACAGGGATACTCCAGGGCTGTTATTCTGACTTTCTGTGAGTGAGTAGGCATCATTTCACTGGGATTCACGTCTTGGTCAACAGTATTAGGTATCGGGTGGGGGGGCGGGCAGATAACTAACAATCTGAACTGGTCTCTCCACACGTCATCCTTAGTGAAGTGTGCAAACCAGCGTCTGCATTTCCTAGGTCGGATGAGGAGAGCCCATCTTTCTCCTTCTGTCCTGGCTACATTTTACAGAGGCACGACTTATAGCGTTTTAACAAACTGCATCACTGTTTGGTTTGGTGGTTGCAGTGCCTCAGAGAGAAAGTCCATACAGAGAGTGGTAAGGACAGCGGAGAAGATTATAGGACGCTCACTTCCTGTTATTCAGGATACTGCTTATAAGTCCCATATGCTTAGAGTGCAAAGCATCGTTAGAGACCCCACACACCCACTTCACGGTCTGTTTCTGTTGCTCCCCTCTGGGAGGAGTTTTGAAGTATTTCTAGCAAAACTACCAGATTCTGTAACAGCTTTGTTCCCTATGCCATCCATTTTGGCAAACTCACAAGATTTATTTTTCTCGCCATGTACATGTGTGCATCCAAACTAGACTCTGTTGTTTCTCTGTGACATACAATATATGTAGGTATATGCATAATTTTGTATTTGTTTATTTTGTCATGTTTATGTAGTGTATATTGGAGGCATACATTGAAATGAAATTTTATTTCAATGTATGTCTATTGGTGTACATTCAAAGTGACAATAAAGTTATTCTAAGTCTAAGTTCTAAGTCTTAACCAGGAGTGCTGGTGGCACAGTGGCTAGAATGCCGTATTGCAGGCTCTAATTCTGCCGACTGCCAGGAGTTCAATCCTGACCGGCTCAAGCTTGATTCATCCTTTCATCCTATCCTTCTAAGGTTGGTAAAATGAGGACCCAGATTGTTAGGGGCAATATGCTGATATTTGTAAACTGTTCAGAGTGTGCGGTAAAGCATACGGAGCAGTATATAAGCCTAAATACTATTGCTATTAGCTTGCTTCCTTGAGTTTCTGTAAACTCATGCTGGTATCACCAGTATCTAGCCACTCTATCTTCTGTCAGCTGGTTTTTAAATTGTTTTGGGCATAGATGCGTCCCAAACAGTGGTGAGTTGCTACCGGTTCGCCCCGGATTGGGAGTGGGAGGCTCCGCCCAGCCACCCAGACCAGGGGTGGGTTCTACTTACCTTTACTACCAGTTCAGAACGGGGCCAAGGGGCGCAGAAGCATTTTGATGACATCGGGGTCGGTGGGCGGAGCCTCCCACCAGTTTTACTACCGGTTCTATAGAACCAGTGCAAACCGGGGAGCAACCCACCACTAGCCCAGACGCTTCTGCGCATGTGCACATGCCCACAAGCAAACCGGTAGCGATGGGTTTTGAAACCCGCCCCTGGTCCCAAACATTAAAGTCTTAGCTTCATTACACAAGCCTGGCTTTTAAATTTGTTGGTGATAAGCAATATATTCCTTCTATCAATGGACACATAGAGTAATTTTAACATCTCCTGGTAAGAGAACGCCATAAAAAGATCATGAGAATGCTTTATAAGATCTAAGCCACCCTGGGAAGGCCGAAAGCATTTGACTGGAGGCACTACGAATATAATACTAATTTAGCATTTTACAATTTTATTTTGTTCCATGTCCTTTGCTGATGTGTTTTTGTTTTGGTTCGTCTCCAGCATACATATTATCTGCAAGAGGTCTGCTTTCCTTTTCAACCAATTCAAGCTGGTTTGTGTGATACAAGAAAAACGTATGGCTTTTGTTTGTTAGGAACAGATTAATGGGCTTCTGTGGCCTGACTCACACACTTTCAGTTTCGAACAGCAGGCTCTCAAATATTTGTGTGCATGTTAGCCCTTCTTGCTGTGTTTGTTGTGTTAATTGCATAAGACTACTAACAAGAGTCCACGGAGGAAACTGTCAGGCCTCTTCCTTACAGCCATGAGATTTTAGCCTGCTGTGTGCTGGTTCATAAGCCTCTTCCCAGCCTTATTAGCTTTGTGCATTTGCATGTGCTTGCTCCTATTTACCCGAATGAGAAGGCAGAAGCCAGCAGCTGCCCAGAGCCCTAAGGGATATTATGCCCCATCATAGCTACTGCCTTGGTATTCTGTTTAGTTATTCATCCCCAGGAAAGATCAGTTAAACTTTCAACCAATTAGTTGCAAATACACACAAGGGGAAAGCTGTTTTCATGGGGATTCTGCTTCAATCAAAGCAGACTTTCTTTCTGTGGAAATTCACTGAGAGAACTAAAATACACGGAACTAAGAATGGGCTCTTTTGACATAACCTTTTCTATTCACAGTTGACGCTAGGCCACACTTTATAAATTATGTCTTGTTGAACAATCTAGAAACAAGGCAGAACCAGTCTTGTGGAGGAGCAAAATATGTATGGTTTGTCTGTTTCTAGTTTGGTTTCCCCCCCCCACTTTTTAAAGTTCACCTATACAGCACATTAACCAGAGATTTACAACTCAACCATGTATTCTTATTCCAGGGGTGAAATCCAGCAGGTTCTGACAGGTTCTGGAGAACTGGTAGCGGAAATTTTGAGTAGTTCGGAGAACCGGCAAATACCACTTCTGGCTGGCCCCAGAGTGGGGTGGGAAAGGAGATTTTGCAGCATCCTTCCCCTGAAATGGGGGGGAATGGAGATTTTGCAGTATCCTTCTCCTACCACGCCCCCCAAGCCACGCCCACAGAACTGGTAGTAAAAAAATTTGGATTTCACCACTGCCTTATTCACTGATCATACTATGCAACAAATGCAGTCAGTATGGCAATAACAAAGCATGGTTTCTAATAGTAGTTTTCTGCCCTACAGTGAATTGTAGTTTCCTTGCCGATTTTTCCGCATGTCAGGTTAAGAGAACAATAGTCAATTTGGATGGGTTTTTTTGTCCCCCCCCCCTTGGTATAGTGGTTAAAGCAACAAGTTAGAAACTCACCAGGTGAGTTCTAGACCTGCCTTAGGCACAAAACCAGCTGGGTGACTTTAGGCCAGTCCTTCTCTCTCACCCCTAGGAAGCAAGCAATGGCAACCCACTTCTGAAACCTTGCCAAGAAAATTGCAGGGATTGGTCTAGGCCAGAGGTCTCCAACCCGGGCAACTTTAAGACTTGTGGATGTCAATTCCCAGAGTTCAGGTCTAGGCAGTCAGCAGGAATCAGTTCTGACTGTAAGGCACAAATATATACAGAGAGAGACATACCTATGTACATACTTATATATATATGTATTTGAAATAATATTTGTGAATGTTATTATAAAATAGCTGCTTTTGAAACTTGCCAAAGAGTAGGCTCTTTTTCATTTCCTTTGGCCTTCTATTGCCAAAGTACTGAGATGCAGTTACCAATATTTGAGGGGAGGGTGGGTGGCAGATTAGACTGGTAGTTCCCAATCTTTTATTTGTTACGCCATCAATCATTATTTCAAAGAACCTGAGTGTCAGAAGATAGAAATTTTTGTCAAGGTCATATATTTGTTGTGAGGAGTTATTCTAATTGTTAGTTATATAAAGATTTTAAAGTTTTTCTTTTTAAAAAAACTGCAGAAATGCTATTGATACTCATTTCTATTCCTGTTATTATAAAACACAAAAATCTAAGAAATAGTTTCATCACTTAGAACGTTTGTGATAATTATATGTATTTAGTTTGGGATGCCTGCTAATTTTGATGTTTGTTTGTTTGTTTGTTTTTTTGTTTGTGGCTTTAGCAAGAAACTCCCTTTTTCATACACAGGAAGAGAGGCAGTAAGGCAAAGATTCCTCCAAGTTTCATTATTTTTCCATATCTATATCAGAGCTGCTGTAAAAAGGATCTACTGTAAACTGCCCAAGCCATATTTTTGAAACTAAAACTTGGAAGTGTTGTGGAAAGCAAGCTATGTTCATCCCTGCCACCACAATCCTAGTTAGAAAGCCCTTGCTCACATTTCACTGTCTAGCATTTTAATTTCATGACAAAAATAAGTTAAATTTCAATCATTGCATTATCATTAGCCATTTTGTTATTTAATATTAATATTTTCTTCTGCTATTTGGAAAATGTAGGTTACCAACACTGGCATAAAATGTTACATTATCTGGGTGAATAATGAAGTGTTTCAATCAAATGAAATAAGAGTTTTCCCTCCCCTGGTATAATAGCCCCCCCTCTGAGAATCGGGCGTGCCTTCAGAGTGTGTGTGTGTGTGTGTGTGTGTGTGTGTGTGTGTGTGCGTGTCTCCACTGCTGGAAAAAGAGCTAGTGCACCTCCCAGGACTTCCATTACGTTACGAGTGTGGTGAAAGAGAGAGATTCCTGCTGGATTGGAGCCATTTTAGGGGCAAAGGGAGTGAGCTTCGATTTCCACAGACACTTAGAGACTTTGCTAGTCTTCTGTATGTGAGAGAGACACTCTTTGCTGGGGTTGCGGGCGCTCGTAATAAAGGGAATGTTGTGGGGGGGAAACAACAGTCTGTTTGTCGTGTTTGGGAGCCGGGTCACAACATTTAGAGGCCATTGAATCTGAATCCCTTTGGCCAGTGCTGAGGCCTTTTCTCTCAATCCTGGCCCAAAACAGTTTAAGGACAACTGGATTGCTGCATTGAAACAATTGGGTGGCTTCTTTCCTTCAGCAAAGTAAATCCTGCTGTCTCTGCAATGCAAACATCTCCAAATCATTTGCATGTATCTATGATAAGATTTGCGTGTATCTATGATATATGAGGGACGTGGTGGCTCAGTGGCTAAGACGCTGAGGTTGTCGATCGAAAGGTCGGCAGTTCAGCGGTTTGAATCCCTAGTGCCGCATAACAGGGTGAGCTCCCGTTACTTGTCCAAGCTTCTGCCAACCTAGCAGTTCGAAAGCACATAAAAAATGCAAGTGGAAGGTGGGGAAGGTAACAGTGACTTTGGTGTTTAGTCACATGACCATGGCCACATGACCACAGAGATGTCTTCGGACAGCGCTGGCTCTTTGGCTTTGAAACGGAGATGAGCACCACCCCCTAGAGTCGGGAACAATTACCACAAATGTGCGTGGGAATCTTTACCTTTACCTTATGATAAGTCCTGTTACTTGGGACAATAATGAATTATTTGTTGTGAATGAAAGAAAAAAAAGATCCTGCTAATTATTCAATGTTCTAGCAATATGAAATATAAAGTTGCTTTTCTTTCTGATAATGACATAAAGAAAAGAATGATCATGTGACCTAAGACAGATATTGAAGGGAACACTTGCATGACTGTGATCAAATTTGGCGAAAGACTTTCTGTAAAGTATTTGTATTCTTACTTCTTACTCCTTCAGTTTGCCAGGAAGCAGTATGGGAGGCTTTCCAGATCTTTTTGGATCGGATTCCAGGTACAACCGAATATCAGAACTGGGTGACAGCTTGTCAGAGAGAAACCTTCTATATATTTGACATTGGAAAAAATTTTAGTAATTCCCAAGAACACCTGGAGATAATTCAAAGGGTAAGACTTAAAATCTGCTTTTAACTATGTAGAAGTATCTATATATTTATTTATTTTATTTACTTATTCTGTCAACAAGTATAAGGAAACAAGTAACAGGATACCGTGTTTCCCCAAAAATAAGACCCTGTCTTATATTTTTTTGAACCCTGAAATAAGCGCCTGGCCTTATTGCCATGCGCTCAAAAGCCCAATTGGGCTTATTATCAGGGGATATCTTATTTTGGGGGAAACAGGATAGACATAGACATGGACACATGAAAAAAGTTTGACACAAATAAAAGGATATAAATAGGCAAAACATAGCCATAAACACACAGAATGATTACATATAAATGGGGACAGTAGGACAGGGACGGTAGGCACGCTGGTGCACTTATGCACGCCCCCTTAGGGACCTCTTAAGAAACATGAAAGGTCCACGGTAGACAGTTTAAGGTAAAAGGTATGGGGATTAGAGAGACCAACAACAGGATCAGGTAGAGTGTTCTAGACATTTACTACTCTATTGCAAAAGTCATATTTCCTACAATCAAGATTAGAGAAATTTACATTGAGTTTGAATCTATTGATAGCCCTTGTGTTATTACGGTTGAAATTAAAGTACTCATTTACAGGTAGAACATTTTGGTAAATAATCTTATGAACTAAGCATAGGTCAGAATATAGACGGCGTAGTTCAAGGCTATCCAGACCTAAAATTTCAAGCCTGGTGGGATAGGGAATTTTATTTCGGGCAGAAGATTTGAGTACTCTTCTAGTAAAATATCTCTGGACCCTCTCTAATGTATTGATGTCTGAAATATATAATAGCAATGCATAGAAATATTAACAGAGCAAGAAAATGAGGACTTGAACTAATAATTGAATCACACCTGACATGATAATAGATTGTTATCTTCCAATTGTTGGTTAATTAGCTCCCAAATAATCCTCTTCTTTCTTTTAATTTTTTTTTGCAGCGAGTAAAGCATAGAACATTCCAGGATAGGTAAGTAATCAAAACAGAAGACTTCACATATATATGTGTGTGAAAGTAAATATGTGCTTAGTCAATATGTTTAAAACTATTTTATGACAGTCAGGAAGAATGAAGAAAATTATAATCGCTTCTCATTCATGAGTGATGTTCCTGACTATCAATGAATCAGGATCTTTCATGAAGAATTTACTCTACAATCCTACCCAGTTTGCAAAAACGCTTGAAGTAATCAATCTCATATCTGATCAACCTATGCAAAATTTTGCACAAAATTGTGCAAAATTGTGTATCAAGTTTTAAGATACATGCACATTAAAAAAATTGCAGTAGCATGACTGAACCCATAAGATGAAAGGCTGGAAGTGTTAAACCTCTCCGCTCCAAAACCCCCGAGGTCCACATCCTTATCTCTGTCTCCTGTTTTGATGCAGTGACCTTGTAGTTCTCACTGACATCTTCTGTCTTTCAGCAGTTGCTTCTATCTGGAGATCTTTCCCTTAATTGTTCAGTCACTAAATCATGTCCAACTCTTCGCAGGCCATGGACCAGAGCCTGCTAGCCCCTACACCTGTCCTCCACTCCCCAACGAAGTTTACTCAAATTCCTGTTGATTGCATTGATGACTCTAACCCCTTAACCTCAGTGCATAAGAGAAATAGAAATAATCTTGGGAAAACAGGGAAAGAGACTAAGGGAACGGTCAGATTAAAGACATTTTAGCAAGCAGAATGATTATGGGTGGGTCAAAAGAAGGTACCCTCCCTAGTTTCTTAGGCTATAAAGAGAATGGGGGTGACTTTCAGACTTGCAAGTTTGATGTCAACCTTGCAACCTAGACTGGATGGAAAGTATGACCAGATGAGCTAATTGTTATTTTATTATAAGGTTAGATTAATAGAATCTCACAAATCTGAAAGCCTAGCATTTCAAAGATAAAACATTTTGCTCTAAGACAAGAGGAGTCATTTCGATGACGTGCCTTTGTATAGAACCCATGCCACGCAGGATGAAGGATGAAGTTTCCATGTCTGAGATAACATAGGAGGAGAGACATGTTACTCTATGGGGCTAAAAAAAAAACAGGAGTCTAGTAGTTCATTATTAATATATGATACCCTATAAAGGACACTGACACTGCATTTTTTCAGGCACTGGATTGCAGGCTGATACCTGCATACAGTTTGCAGTGGATTTTCATAAGCAACAAGAGTCAACAGGCCAATTATGTTAACATGGGGACCAGGTCCTGCAACAAATCCCTATTTCTGCCTTGCCCCCACATCTTCCCCAAGAGCACCACCATAAGTCCTAACATTTACACACACAAGATTAGCTGTTCTTCTCCTAATGTGATATATGCCACCATCTGCTACTAATGTCCCTCTGGATTATACATGGGATAAATGGGAAAAATATTTTTTAAAAAATAATGTTGACAAACTTAACCACGAGACTAAAAACAAAGACAAATGTCAGAGTTTTTCCATATTCCCGGGATATTTTATAGTAGAAGTCAAATTGATTTTGGGGTTGTGGGGGTGGGGTGGAGAATGGGACTTTAATTTTACCAAAGAGTGAGAAACTGCTGAAGTTATGTATAGTAACTTTTCATGCAATCTCAATGAACTCAACAGGTTTTTAATATGTTATTATAGTTAATTGTAGTGGAATGTGGGGGCTCAGTGGCTAAGATGCTGAGTTTGTCGATCAAAAGGTCGGCAGTTCAGCAGTTCAAATCCCTAGTACCGCGTAATGAGTTGAGCTCCTGTTACTTGTCCCAGCTTCTGCCAACCTAGCAGTTCGATAGCACATAAAAAATGCAAGTAGAAAAATAGGGACCACCTTTGGTGGGAAGGTAACAGCGTTCTGTGCGACTTTGGCGTTTAGTCATGCCGGCCACATGACTATGGAGACATCTTCGGACAGTGCTGGCTCTTCGGCTTTGAAACGGAGATGAACACCGCCCCCTAGAGACTAGCACATATGTACAAGGGGAACCTTTACCTTTACCTTATAGTTAATTGATAAGGTATTTGTAATTTAACTCCCATGTAACCTGCACCTGCATTTGTCTTCCTTCCTTACCCCAATTTAAATTTTACATCAGCCTGGTTATTCTGTGCTTCTGATGAAGAGAGTTGCAGCTCATGAAAGCATAGGCCTTTTAATTGTCAGAAAAGGTGCTATCAGACCCCTTCTGATAACTGAGATGAATGCATCTAGATTGATATGTCTACCCAGTATGGGTACCTCAAGGCTGCCATTTGTGAAAGAAGTCTGACTCTTCACTACTGCACTATTGATTAGCTTACTAGTAGAAACTGAATCACTTTCATAGTCCAAAGTGGTTTCGCTTTCTAACTAATTATGATGCAAAATAACTGAACAATGTAAACTTAAGGGTGTAATTTATTTCTAATTATCATCTTCTAATTTCATATCCATTTTTGACATACAATTTATTTAAATACAATGTGATAAAACATTTTGGTTTTGTCTACATTTTCAAGATGTCCAATTATAATACTTGTTATATGTTCACACTTGTGCGTTTTTTAATGAAGTTGTTTCCTTACATGAACTAAGGAGCTCTACCAGATGTGGGCTTCAAATATCCTGCAGATTATTGGATGGTAGCAGAGTGTTAGATTGTTCTGTGTCTTTTCCCTGCCTCCTTGAAGTCATCTGGATTTTTATAATCTGGATCAAATGTTCCAGTATTATTCAGTAAAAAAGTTTCTTCTTGTGTAACATTTGTACTCCAAAATAAGAAGTGGACAGGAGCTGGTGCATGTAACAGGAGCTTACCCTGTCATGCAGTGCTCAGGTCTCGAACCCAGGCTGTCAGCTTCCCTGCCTAACTGCTGAACCATCACGCCTCCTAGTACTAATTAGGCAATAGAAATCAGTACAGTCTATGGATTAGGATATGATTAATAGAAACAAATAGCTGGTGCCCAAATAATGGAGGTATATAGTTTCTTCTTTGGGAAAAGCTCTCCTTACTCAGAGTTTTCACTAAAGATGCACTGCCAGAGCTTAATTTTTTTTTATTGATAATGATAAATACATTTTTTATTAATATTTGCTGCTCATCTGATGAGAGTTGCCATAAGGATTTATGCCAGACAGTGTTTTCTTGGCAGGTTTCATTCATCAGGAGCACCATGAGCATATTGGAGAGCTAAATTATAGAAAATAAAATGTGTGCCTATTTTGCTGCGATTCTTTATTTTTAATTTGTAAAAGCATGTCTTTAGACAGAATGTGGCTTTAATGTCTAACTAGAAAGAAATGAATGCCTGCTTCTCTCATTTTCATAGTCTAATTTATAGTTTTGCTTATTACTTTTTTTTCCCCAGAAAAGAGGACATTTCTCCAGAAAAACCCAGTGGCAAAAAACCTGAAGAACCACCTTCTCTTGTCACAGGTAAAACTAAGCATGCATACTTTATGTTTCTACCAGTTTACATTACATCGTTCAAGCCTGTTATTGTTTGAGCACGTAATTCAGAGTTTGGAAATGCAGTAAATAGTGCAAGTGAAACGTAATGGAATGGCTTTTTATTGTAAACTTGGTTTGATAAATATTTTAACACTTAAAACACTTAAAACACTGCAACATTTTACCCGTGTGATATTTATCATGCTTCCTTGGTGAAGAAAACCTGGCGAAGCTTTTAAAAAATAAATTTGCAACAAAGAAATCCCTTTGTATAGAATTAAATAACAAGTCAATAGAGGTTTGTTTTCATTAGTTGCTATAAAAGTGAATAGCTGAATGGATTGATTATATATTCTTCCCCATGCCCACAGAAAATGTACCTGAAATTGTGACTGATGTAATTAGTAACTGCCTAAAAAGCTGTGGGTTTTTTTTCCCCCTCAGAAAGCTTTATTTCTGAAAATTGCTCATTTTTCTCTAGAATATGGGCAACAGCAAATTCCAGAGTTCAGTAGAACTTTCCAGTACTAAGTCAGGAATTTTACACCTTCCTTCCTTCCTTCCTTCATAAAAAAAAAAAAAAACCTTAATTACGGTATATGAAAGGGATCACATACAGTAGGGCTGTGAAACTCACGGCCCTACGGGCCGGATACATCACATGCTGGCCACGCCCAGTTTTGCGAAGGGGGAAAAAGCCACAATATATCACGTGACGCTGCCGTGACGAAGCAAGTTTAACACCCCTGACATACAGTTTAGCTCTTAACATTTAATCCTAGGCACATTTATGTAGTGATGTCTCATTAAATCAAGTGGGATGTGTGTGCATAAGATCACAGCTTTTTCACAAATACAGGTACTAGAATTATATGTAGCACAAGACCTGAATTTAGGTTTTGGTTTGTAACTTATTTTCAAAAGGAAACAACTCAGTTGTATTATTTTTGCTCTGAATTCTCATAATACTGAGTAGAAAGCCACACATTGGTAGATTTCTTTAATCCTTTTTTTAAAATTTCTGCTTCCCAATGTTCTCTACAGATACCCTTGTGAATGAGATTGTCAATGACACCAAAACGCCAGGAAAGGTGAGGAGTCAATACCATTCTCTCTACTAAAGTGGTCGCACTTCATTTTCCCAACCCAGGAATTCACAGGGTGATCTAGGGAGACAGAAGTCTCCAAACTTGGTAATTTTGCCAAGTATTACCTTGGTAATTTTTCAATTCCCAGACAGCTGAGGAATTCTGGGGATTGAAATCCACAAATTTTAAAATTACCAAGTTTGGAGATCAAGGATCTCCAGTACTTATTTTTCTTCTCCTCCCTTCACTTAGAATGGACATATTGATTAGGGTCTCTCTCCTCTCAGCTAACTGTGAATGATGTTGCTTGCCTATGCCTGAGAAACAGAAACAGACATTGAACGACTGCACCAATGTCCAAATAAAGCATTTTTTCATCCTTATTATATAACTCACTTCTTTTCTACATAGTAGAAATGCGAGTTCTCAAATCTAATTCTCCTACAAATCAACTAAGCATTTCCATGGTCTTTCTTCTCTGGCTTTAGTGCTATATTTCCTCCCCTACAGTATTTATCTATCTTCTAAGCCTCCCGTATCTCCCTTTGCTGCCTGTAAAGTGAAAGCTATTCCCTTGATCAGCTTTTATTTTGCTCTCTCTCTACCCAGTCCCTTTAGAGATTTATTCCAAACAGATATCACATGCTTGGAGCCACATTGTAACTAGCAGCTTCAATAATACAAGCTCCAGAGATCCCCATGATATCAGAATTGTACCTATGTTTGAATAATCCCTTCTAACTCCAGTAAGTGAATTACTTCAATCCCCTTAACGTTAAACAGGGTTTTGCTGGATGCCTTTCTTGTGTTTGAGTATCAATTAGCAGTAACAGAAGGTGTTTTTCTTCTTTTGGCCTTTTTGCTGTAATAAGAAAGTAGTGGAGAACAAAAGTGCCAACTGATAAAAGTACCCGAAGAAGGCAAAAACTGCTGCCTGCATTTTTCTCACTTTGGAGTGAAGCAGCAGATCTAATGGTAGAGATAGCCTTATTATCATGCTCTCCTGAATCCATTCACATGTGCTTTACATTTAAACCCTGGGTAAAAGGTTGGTTTTTGCACTAGCTAATAAAAAAAAAACATAGAGAACTGGAAGACATGGGTAGAAAGAGAATATGCAGGCGCTTCTACATAGACTGATGGGAATAACATTAGGAACACAATCAGTTGTGTATGTGTTGTCCTCAGTTTGGGTCTGAGGCTGGGGCCAAAGCCAATGAAGAACACAAGGTGCAGGTCAGAGGTGGGCTTCACATAATTTAACAACCGGTTCACCCAGAATTAAAATATGAGCGTGTGCCTTGCGCACATGCGCGCTGTATCAAAAACATGGCAATTTGCTCCTGTGTGCCATCTGCACATGCGTGTGGTATCAAAAAACACATGGGTGTGGTATCAAAAAACAAAAAAGCAATATAGGACAGGATTGCGCCCGTGTGGGCCCACCCGACCTACAGGTCGCAACTACCGGTTCACCCGAACTGATCCGAACCGGCTGAATCCCACCCCTAGTGCAGGTTTTATTTCCTTTTATTGAAGCACTCTAAGAAAAGGGGTCCTGACCAGAAAATGCCTAGGAACCCAAACAATAGAATTGAGAAAGCTTTATACAATTTCACTAAGGTGGAAGGTGGGATAAGGCGGAATATGTAAGAAATATTATCTAATAAACATTTTAGCAATGATCTAATTGTTGTATTGGTTTCTAGCCATCCCCATTCCTAAGCCTTGGCCAATGGATGCTGTAGGCCAGGGGTTCAAACTCACAGGATCATGTTGTTGTCACGTGATGTATCGCGACTTTTTCCCCCTTTGCTAAAATGGGGGTAGGCATGGCCAGCGTTTGACTGCATCCGGTCCGCGAGTTTGACATCCCTGCTCTAGATGTTATCTCTATTTGCTCCAGGCCATCCCTATTCCTAACTTCTAGCTGTGATATGCAGGATATCTAACTCTTCATTACTGTTATCAGTTCTCTAAATTGATACAAAATTTACAGGTGCATATTCTCTGTGAATAAGCATTCTTTATCCTTGCCAGAGAGGCTCCATAATTATAGGCTTCCCAATTTTCTTTCAAGTGTATGCACAGCCTTGCTTTGTTTTACCAGACAGCCTACAAGTTCTGTTATTATTTTATTTTACTATACGTACTATCAATTTCCTAGACTTGAATTGAGGCAGTATATAGTTTCATAAATAAACAAACAAATTCATGACCCTGGTGAAGCAATGGTTAAAGGGAAGTACTGTGGGCAAACTGCCCACAGCCTGGAGTTTGATCCTGATGGGGCTCAAGGTTGACTCAGCCTTCCATCCTTCCGAGGTCTGTAAAATGAGGACCCAGATTGTTGGGGGCAATATGCTGTCTCTGTAAACCACTCAGAGAGTGCTGTAAAGTGCTATGGGGCTGTATGTAAGTGTAAATACTATTGTTAGAGTGTGTACTAAAGCCATGTACATCAAGAGAGGTAACCTCCAATATCCTAAAACAGCTATCTGTATCCCAGTGCCTTGTAGATATCTGGGACTTTAATCACTATTAAGGTGGTGCAATACAACATAATCACAAAGTATAAAAAAGTTACACAAAGAATTTGCACACAAAGTAGCTACAGTGAAAAACTGCAACAATACAAGTGGCGTGAACAGCTTGTTCTTAAGATATGAGTGCCAAGCTGTGCCCTTTTTGAACATTTCCTGTTTTATTTCCCCCGACTTTGTTGATTTTTTAAATATACGATGTTTTGTTGCCTTCCCTCCTTTTCTTCCACCTTCCCTCCCTTCTGAACCTGAAGGTTCCTCAAGCTAAGACCTCCTTTGATTGTGTGCATCATGCCTTAAGACACTCAGAGGATGAGTTTCATATTAATGTAAAGTATATTCTGGGGTTTCTGAAGTGGGTTGGAAACTGATTTCCTCTTTTCTTCTCTTGGGAGCTAAAGCCAGAAGTTCCAAACATCATTTCCAAGCAGCCTGTGCAGCAAACGGTGGAGTTCAGTGTCACTCTCAGCAACCAGGAATATACACCAGACCTGAATAACCCAGGTTCTCCTCTGTATCAGAAACTAGCAGCAAAATATCAAGTCCAGGTAAAGCACTCCTCAATAGTAATAGAAGCTATCCTTGTCAGATGAAGTCTGTTTCCTTTGATATTTTTTTTTTAAGAAAACATCTTATAGAGTACATATTGTGGTTATTGAAGACATAGAAATATATATTTCTGGTTTGCTAGGCCATAGTTAAATGTATAGATCAGGGGTGTCAAACTCAAGGCCCAGGGGCTGGATCCGGCCATGGGGTGCTTAGATCTGGCCCGTGGGGCTACCCTGGAAACAGTGAAGGACCAGCTTGCAGTGCCTCTGCCAGCAAAAATGGAGCTCAGGAGGGCCACTCCATTTTCGCTGGCAGAGCGTTGCAGGAGGCGGTCACAGCCGAAAACGGAACTCAGGAGCCCATTTTTGCTGACAGAGCACTCGGACCACCAAGAGGTGCCCCCGACATGACTGACGTCAAGCTGGCCATGCCCACTCTGGTCATGCCTACCCAGCCCCCCAAGGTCAAACACAACCCTGATGCGGCCCTCAATGGAATTGAGTTTGACACCCCTGATATAGGTAGTCCTTGTTTACTGGCTGCCTCATTCAATGATCGTTCAACATTATGATGATGCCGAAAAAATAACTTTACAACTAATGCCTGCGTTTATGATGTCTGCAGTATCCCACAGTTATGTGATTAGTACAGTGAGTGTGCATTGTCCTATGCTTGACCTGTTGCTTTTTCCTCTGCCTCCACCTTGCAGAGAGGACAGAAAGGGATTCAAGAGAGTAAGCACATGCCCAATGGGAAATATACATCAGAAGGAATGCAGGGTAGAACTGGCAGCTGCAAGTGCATTACCAAAATATCATAATTTATTCCCCATTGTATGGTTGCTTATTGACTTGGAATCTTTTCCTTTCCTTTCCTTTCCTTTCCTTTCCTTTCCTTTCCTTTCCTTTCCTTTCCCTTTCCTTTCCTTTCCTTTCCTTTCCTTTCCTTTCCTTTCCTTTCCAATCTCTCCATTTTGTGTGGGGGAAGGAACAATTTCTCTTGGCAATCTTTCCTGTGCCTGACCCATTTTTCTTCTCCCTACCCCACCCCCATCCAGAGTGGAAGATTGGAGAGGAAGCAGGTATACAATGGGGAATACACCCGGCTATTTGCATAGCCAGTCACAGCTGCTGGTGCCACCAACATTTTAGTTGTATTCCATATTATGTGCCTGCTTACTCTCTTGTAATCCCTCCCTTTATGTAAATATTAACATTAATTCCATTCTTAATTCCAGCAACTGGGTGACCATTCCAAAGGGCCAAAGAGTGATTAGGGGAGAGATACAAAATCTGGAGATATGAAACTGATTAGTCTTGTCAATTTCAAGCCAGCTATCCCAGTGCTGTCAGTCAGCATTCCAAAGATCAGGGAAGTAGGAAAAGTAGGAAAAGGGAAAGCACAAGTGAAGTCGTATGATTTCCCATTTTGCTACCACTTTGTTTAATAACAGAGCTGTCAGTCTTGATTGTGGTAAGCTAAATGAAGACATTTTGCATTTTATTAAGATAGAAAAGTGAAATTATATTTTAGACTTCAGTTTTCTTTAAATTCCAAGCAATTCCGTACACCATGCTATTTGGGTATTTAGGGAGGGGGCGTTCTCGTTTTTAAAAATAATACAATCTATTCACAATTAAGCACTTTTAAAATCTCACTTATTAAAGTTATGTGCTTAAATCTTACTGGAATAAGGAAAAGTAAACTTTGCTAAGTCAGACTCTCCCCTCTGTTTAATCCTTCGAAATGATTCTTAAAGCTTTCTAGCCACTGTCAGATTGTTACCATATGTAATGATCAGTAAGGAAAGATGCTTCATTTTACAAGGAAATGGTAATAGAATTTTATTTGTGCACTACAATAAAGATATATCTGCACATAAGCAGAGAAAGACTATAGATTCATTTCCATTTAACACTGCCTTCTTATGGATGTCTGCTCATATATGTATTTGAGTAGCAGATAATTCTCCACATCTACCTCTGGACAGGCTAGTACAGAGGACCCCAAACTTGGCAGCTTTAAGACTTGTGGACTTCAACTCCCAGCATAGCAGGCTGGAGAATTCTGGGAGTTGAAGTCCACAAGTCTTAAAGCTGCCAAGTTTGGGGACCCCTGAGCTAGTATCACAAGGGTGAGACTACTTAACCCAACTTTTTCCCTGCTCACAAAATGGAGTTAGTCCCATATTTGTAGCACAGGGAAGGGCTAAGATTAGCAAGCTAATTGCTGGAGTTAGTATATTTTAACAATTAGGATCCTGTTCATTTCCCATAATATCTCGGGGCTATGAACGGGCTCCATAAATGTCCCTAGATAATAAAAATTATGGTCAGTTCTAATTGTTCAGTACTTGGATTAGAAATGTTCTCCCCAACCAGAAAAAGGGGCCAAAATATCATGCTGATTGTGTTGGCTTTAGAAAGTGGCTAGTAGCATTCTTGGAAGTATGTCCCCATTTTGTGAATAAGCCTCTCCTAGCATTTTCTAAACTTGAAAAGTTGGTAATGCTTAAATTAAATATTAATTAAACATATGAACAGTAACTGTTGTTATATGATTTTAATATTATTATTACAGTCTGTTTAAAAAAACCTGAAAAGCAATTTAAAGAATAAAAGGTGCATCAGTTCAAATATTGTGGATATATCACTATTGCATAAAGTGCTACAGCTACAGACCACTTTATCCTGATAAAATAATTAGCGTGTAATGTGAACACTTTATCATATTTTAAGTAATGGATAATATCAGTGAGTTACGCAAGGTAAATTGCAGCCATTTCACATTAAAACTTCCATCAAAAATTTCAATAATAGCTGCAGGGGAAAAAAAATAGAAAAGGTCTATAGGTAACCACTCGCCCTGCTTGTATATAGAGCCAAGGATCAGAGATCATCTTGAAGATGAGGTGGAATATCTTAAAAATATTTTTTTTGTAACATTGTGAAGGGACTTATAAATTGACATTAGTATTTAGAACTGGACCTAGAAGCCAACTCTGGACTGGTGAAGGTTATAAAATACTAGGATAAAACCATAGAATAGGGGTCCCCAAACTTGGCAGCTTTAAGACTTGTGGACTTCGACTCCCAGAATTCTGGGAGTTGAAGTCCACAAATCTTAAAGCTGCCAAGTTTGAAGACCTCTGCCATAGAACAATCAGCAGCTCCAATTCTAGCCATTTGTACTAAAAGAGTTTCTTCAAGGGCAATTCCATGTACAACCATTTGTAATTTCCTGTATAGAAGTTTACTAAGGCAGGAATCTCTGAAGCCAGGCTATTTCTATACTAGTAGGATTTTAGTTTGTATATTCCCTTTATTACCTGCCCTTTCCTTATTCCTCATTCAGGGAGGGAAACAAAATGAAATAAAGACCATTAGCTCAGTGGTAGGTTGCTACTGGTTCGCCCAAACCGGTAGCAGTGGCAACGGGAGGCTCCGCCCTCTCGCCCAGATGCTTCTGCACATGCATAAAAGCTTCTGCGCATGCGCAGAAGTGTTGCGCACACATGCAAGCGCCCACGAACAAACCGGTAGCAATGGGTTTTGAAACCTGCCCCTGCATTAGCTACCTATGGTAGACCAATACTGCATTCTATTTTAGGATGAGAAATTGTTCAGCTCTGTCAGAATATCTGTCTCACTGACTGAGCCACATGTTATAGACATCTGCACATTTATGAATTTTTAGTGGACATAAATATGAAAGGAAGCGAGGAAATTTGAATACCTCATGGGGAAGAAATGATGTATCAATAGATAATTTCCTATTGGTGTGCTAGTTTAAGTTTAGTTAGATCAGGGTAGTAACAGATGTTACTGCATCATGCTGCAATATATTTTATGGGGGATTTTACCTGCTATATACTCCAGTAGGGATACAGAAGCTTTCCCTACTGTAGGGTAGATTAGAAATAAAATTATATTGATGCAACTATTTCACAGAAAATCTACCCAATCAAAACTAACATTTAGATCATGATCATTGAAAGCAAGACAGTATTGTTGATTCCTTAATGATTACATGTTGCTTATTTATAATATTCCCATTTTCCAACTGAAAAATATGCACACCTAAGAAGAGACTTCAAGCTTCAGATCTTTTTATATATTATAAAAAGATAACAGATCTATTGGAGGGAAGGTGATGGAGAAATACACCACAGATCTCTACAGAAGGGTATATTTACAAGATCTGCCAAAATAGACTCCTTCTGAATGGATAGTTCCATTAATGCACGGGTGTCAAACTCAATCGCGTCACATGACGTATCATGACGTATCACGACGTTTTTTGCCTTTGCAGAGCCTGGGTGGGTGTGGCTTGCGCATGACGCATCCAGCCCATGGGCCACCCGTTTGACACCCCTGCATGGAATCCGTCTTCCTCTTGTCCAGAAAAATATCTGATAAAAGCAAGATAACATTTGTGAGATATACTTTTTTATTTTAAAAAAATGCATATTTTGGAAAGTTGAATATGAAAAAAGATAGTTAAGTTACAAGATGACTTCTTTGGGGGAAATGTCTGTTTTAAATGTTCATAACAAAATAAAATTTAATGGCATCAAAGATTTTTTGTTAAAATGGGGGATCTATGGGAAGTTGCTTGTGAAAGATCCATAGGTTGCACAAGTTTGGAAATGAAAACAAATGCAGATTTTATTTTATTTTTTTGACAGACTCTTAAACAGAAAAAAAATAGAACATAGACCCTTCACCGCAGTTCGTAACATACAGATTTCTGCTTCTACAGAAATACTGTATTACTGTCCTGCTCTCCATCTCTTTTAATGTTCTCCGATAGACATGACATCTGTTTCTCCACCAAAATAACACACACTGACAATATCTCTATAACAGACTGCAGATCTAGCCAGTCAGCAGAGCACATTAGACCTATACGCACTTAAGAAAAATTATTTGACCCGTAATCAGGAATTAATCTGACAATTCTCTATAATAATTCTATTGAAACAATAAACTTGATGGTCAATTTAAGAACAGCTGTTGAATGCAATTAACTACTGATGAGCCAGAAAACCCAAAGCATGCATTTTCTCTGATCATTCTCTGGCCATTATTCTCCTTCCTCTGAGCTAGAGTGAAGATAGCAAGCCTATATCATTATCAAAGATTAACTGACGCTTCATTAAATCCTTGAGAGTCAGCAAGTAATGAATCAAAACTTGCTTAGCTGAACACTAAGCAGAAATCAGTACAGCACTGTGAAAAAGGGTATTGGTAGAGACAGTTTGCTATGGTAGCTAAGGTGCTGGCCTAGAAACCAGGAGACTGAGAGCTTAGACATGAAAGCCAGCTGGGTGATCTTGAGCTAGTCACTCTAAGCCCAAGCTTCCTCATGGGCAGTGGTGGGTTTCAAATTTTTTTACTAACGGTTCTGTGGGTATGGCTTGGTGGGCATGGCATGGCTTGGTGTGCGTGTCATGGGAAGGATACTGTAAAATCTCCATTCCCACCCCATTCCAGGGGAAGGTTACTGCAGAATCCCCATTTCCTCCCAATCAGCTGGGACTCGGGAGGCAGAGAATAGATGGGGGCAGGGGCAGTCAGAGGTTGTATTTATCGGTTCTCCAAACTACTCAAAATTTCCGCTACCAGTTCTCCAGAACTGGTCAGAACCTGCTGAAACCTACCTCTGCTCATGGGGTTGTTGTTGTGGGGAAAATAGGAAGAAATTGTATTATGAATGCTACCTTGAGTGACTTATACAAAATAAGAAACATCTAATAAATAAATTGGCAGATCATTCTTTTTGCCTTTTGAATTCCCAGATCAGTTTCAAATGTAAGGCTCCTTTAAGCAGCTTTGAAAGAATTTAACATTTTCTTCTGAAATATGATGTTTCCATGCAAAGTGAACAGTAGAGAAAATCCTTTCCCTTATTTTGCTGCATACTAAGCTTCAAAGAATTAACAATCTATGTCTCCACAATTATGCTATGGGTTAAGTCACTTTTCCATTTTAAAATGAGATTTCAGACAAATAAATAAATCTTTACAGTTTAAGCCTAAATCAATATACAATTGAACTGACATTATATCTAATTTCACTTCTCTTGAAAGTATGTCTGCAGAGTGAAGCATTAATCAATGCTTCACTCTGGCAGTTGTAGATTTGTCCCTTATGCATTCCTTCAGATAGAGTCAAGGGCTGCTTCCTTCATGCTACTCTTGGTCAAGCTGTTGGGGGATAATGGGAATTGTAGTACAGAGCACCTTGGACGGTCTCAAGTTAGGAAAGGTTGTTCTAGAAAATGCAATGGTATAAACTTTACATGATTTAATTGTATATGGTCATATATGATTTTTAAAAAGTTTCAGATCTGGTATGTTTTATAGATATTGGCACCCTATTAATTATTAAACAGAAACAAGTTCTGTAATGTTCTTTTAAAATTCCAGAGTTGTGTTTTACAAATATTAGAACAGGGTCTGCTGGGAGTAAATACTAAATAAACATTTTAGTTAATTCCTCTGACTGAGGAATGAACACATAATTACCTTCAGTTTTTTTTTCTTTTCTTTTCTCTCTAATAGATGCAAAAGATATTTGAAAAACTTGCAGGTTTCAAAGAAATTCGTGTCTTGGGATTTAGGTAAGTGTTACTAGTTTTTGCTTTTAAAGTAACAAGGCAGTTATTATTTATTTACTGTATGATATCCTGCCTTTGCTGTGAGATCTCAAGGTGATGTATGTGAGGATTTCTCCTCATTTTGTTTCTATAGCAATCCTAGGAAGTACTGTGGGCTGAAAAATAGTGAATGGTCCAAATTCCTCAAAGAATTCTGTGATTAAATGAAGACTTAATTAAGTAGAGCCCCTTGCCTACTTCATTACGCTTTCTCACTTATTTTTTGTTAGAAGAAGTCATCAGGAGTTGACTGAACTGCCTTTCCTGCCTTTCCTTTTAAGCCTTTGAGGAACCTCTGGTGATATTATTATAGGTAGTTGTAGTAATTTAGTTGAAAATATTTCTAAATGAGTTTATGATTTGCAGATTTTCAGTCTTTTAGATTGGAGAAATTGATAAGGTTCTGGGATCACAAGCTATTTCAAAAGATGATGCAACTACAATTTAACTTAAAAGCCTGTGTGTTTTTTTTCACTATTGTAGGATTGGTTATATAAGTTATTATTAATAAAACTTTCTTCATTGCCTTCCATTAATACTTGTAGGTTATGATACAACAAGTAGTTTGAGGTCTCTAATTTCAAAACTGAAGTTTGCAAGGCTTCAATCCCCAAATTTCTATGAATATAATTCTTAATTTCTATGAAATAAATAGCTATGATTGACTGGGGGAAAAGTGATATTATTTAAAAGACAGGCTAGAAATAATTTAGAAAAGAGACTAGTCGCAATACCTTTTAAGTAATATATAATTTAAATGAAAAATGTGTGATTCCAGTGCAGAGGAAGTGTGAAGTGAAGTGAGCAGCAGAGGAGAATGATCTGGAAAAATAACATGCCGCCACAACAACTTTCCCTAAACTGGCCTTTCTTCAACATCAGGCTGATGCTATTATCTAACATTCATTGGCAATCACTGATGTTCATATCTCTCAGATGGATCTACCAAAGTTGACATCTTAATCGCCCTCTGTGATCATAGAGAAAATGGATTTCAGCTAGGACAGGGGTGTTAAACGCAAGGCCTGTGGGCCACATCTGGCCCATGGTGTTCTTAGATCTGGCCTGTGGAACCACCCTGGAAACAGCGAAGGACCAGCCCGCAGTATCTCTGCCAGCAAAAACGGAGCTCGGGAGGGCTGTGTGTGGCCCTCCCAAGCTCCGTTTTTGCTGGCAGAGGGTTGCAGGATGCCATCACAGCTGAAAATGGAGCTCGGGAGCCCATTTTCGCTGGCAGAGCATTCAGGCCACCACAGGCACCCTGACACGAGTGATGTTGAGCTGACCATGCCCACCCTGGCCACACCCATCCCAGTCCCCAACGTCAAATACAACCCTGATGTGGCCCTCAATGAAATTGAGTTTGACACCCCTGAGCTAGGATCTTCTTACAGTAAATAATTTTTGCAGCAACCACACAACTATAAACATCATCTTAAGATCAACACAAATTTTCCTTCTCAGAGTAAGCAATATTATGCAGGGCAAAGAAAAGGGGTAAGAAATAGTAAATGATAACAAAGCAATAATAATAGTAGTAACAATAGCTACTAAAAACATGTAGATGAAAAATGAAATGTAGTTAAATTTATTACACTAAATTGGTTCATTATATCCTCCATACCTTATATTCTTGCCAAACATTTTTGCTTCCTCCATGTCCACGCACACAATTCATATTGCCCTTTGCTTCTTAAACTTCTCACATCTTTTCATTAAGTTCCTCCAACAACTTTCTCCATCTTCCACTCTTTCTCAGTCCAGTCACTCTTCCATCATATACGTGTTTTGCTATTTGGATGCCAAACATCCAATTTGTTTCTTGCTCTTTGTTTCTGTACAATCAAGCCACTTCAGTACACTTCTTTCCATCCTTGTCATTCCCTTTTGACCAATTCCTTCATCATTCATTCATTCTTCACCTTGTCTCTTTTTGGTTTACCACGCACACTTCTTAAGTATCCCATTCCCACATAAGTTTGTTTTATGTTTCTCCTGACATGTACATTCCTACTTTAATATAATAACATAGTTGCATAAAACATTCCATAACACAAATCAATTTATTTATCATATACTTTCTTTGAATCAATAAAGAGTACACTTTGTTTCTCACATTCATGTAGTTAGAAGATGTTGCTGCTAACAGGAAAGATAGTACATTATTTAAGCACATCTGACTCATTTACCACAACTGCAGCAAAGCTGTTTTCTCCCAGGCATGTTCACACTAGTCTATGCAATTTAGGATTTCCATTTTAGAAACTTTCCTACAATAGATTTCATTCCAGAATAGATTTGCCTACAGGCTGCCACTTAGGAGGTCTATGCAGTGTGCTGACACAACTCAATACATTATTCCAACCTTCTAAATAAACAACAAATATTGATATTTCTTGGTTTTTCTCTTTGTCCAACAATGACTTTATATAAAATTGAGAGTGGTTAAAAATAAGTCTGGAAGAAAAATGGTAATTACTGTAGCTAGACATGAATTCCGTGCCTCATCCAATCGCAGTTCAAGACATTAATTTCAGCTTGTTGGCTGCAATTTGGATATAACGTATTGGCTCCCTGCTGATCTTTGCATCCCACTGAAGGTAATAAGTGGTATTACCTTCAGTGGGCTGTTCCTTGCTCCAATTTTTCTCCTTTTCCCCAGTCCCCTAGGGTGAAGTAAGCAATTTGTTATTGTTTCTAGTATCTACATTTGTATGCTTTTGATTTCCACATGTATACACACACACACACACACACACACACACACACACGCACAAATGTTCTGTTTAGGAGATATAAAATAATCTTAAATGAATGCCGAAAGATTATTTCCTTTTTAAATTGGAGAAAGCAAAGCTGTTTATCCTCTTTTTTTTTTATTTCTGTTCTGACATGTTGTTATTCAGCATTTTTTTCCTTCCAAACTCAAATAAGGTGTGGTTAAAAAAAAAAAGTGGAAAGAACAATGATCCTAAATTCGGGATAAAATAAAATCAAAATCCTAAGTGAGTACAAAGATTAGTCATGTTAATATTAGCCCAATAATGTCACGGTGACTTGATCCAGTGAAGTCTTTGATTATTGTAATGCTTATTCAAATCTTTAACTAATTTAATAAAAGCTTAAAGATGTCTTCATTAATATTCATTACATTTCTGTGGTGTGAGAATGATAAGCTTCTTAAGCTTCTGTTAAAAAGAAATCCTGGTCATTTTACCCATGGTAGGTTTTGGCACATCTCTACTGCTCTCTCAGTTATGCTAATTATCCAAAACCCTGGTTTTGGATGGTTAAATTGATGTTCAACTTAACCATACGATGAGACTAATTACTGGGTGCATAAAATCTACACTTAGTTACTGGTTACCAGTTCTTAGTCACATACTCCCCCCGCACTTACGACGACAAGAAGCTCTCATTTGGGAGTATAGTAAGATCCTGTTAAATTCCTCTCTACCCATACATGGATACATTCCTGATCTCTTAAGATGCCAATTAAAGTCAAGAAATCCACCAATCTTGACAGCGCGTAAGTTGATGGCCGATCATCAGAACACCACACAAAAGTGGATGGAGGCGTGGAATAGCTGTTCCCCCCCAAGATGTCTCCGAGCATATCAGTCCTAGTAGTATACCTCCAGGATTTAGCCTACCCCGACACATATGGATGACATATAATAGAATTAGAACAACTCATGGGGTGCGTGCTGACTCCCTGTATAAATGGGGAAAGACACCTTCATCACAATGTGATTGCGGGGCCCCTCGACAGACTATCCAGCGTATAGTGAGGGAATGCCCTAACAAAAGGTATCCAGGAAATTCTAGGGACTTCTTCTGCATAACAAGGGCAGCTACTGACTGGATCTCCAAACTCGACATTAAACTTTGAAATGTTATTTCTGTCTTCCTTTTAGGTTTTCTTACTGCTTTTTTATTGTTTTAATTGTTTTTAACCTGTAAAAATGAAGTGTTTTAATACTGTGTGTGACCAACCATACGCTAAATAAATAAAGCCAAAACCCAGTTCCTCATCATTACAAAGGTGTAACCATTATCAGGTTCATTACAGTACTTACTTACTGTGCCAGAGGAGGAGGGGAAAGGAGCATAGCTCCCCTTGACCCCTTCCTCCATAATCAACTTGTGTTTATTAATAAGAACTCAAATGTGGACCTTATTTTACATGTCAGAGTAGTAATGTTAATATGGGTCAAGTTGTTTTTCTCCTGGATCTATTGTTCTGCTTTCAAACCTGCCATTATAGCCATGCATTTTTTTACTCTAGTATGGATCCCAGGGTACAAAACTTCTGAGAAATAGCCCAAGTGTTCAACTATGAAAATAAGGCAGAATAGAAGGGAAAACTAGCCAGGCATCTAAGGCGCTGAGTTTTCTCAGTGGTTGCTTCCACAATAAGGCCCTTTATAATATATGACCTTTGTATGATTCTGTATGGAATCCTGTTATATTCAGTGAAACACTCTGTCAGGCAAAGAGATTAGAGTTTGCAGGTTTTGAGGAATCAAAGTTGTGTTAATTAGCTAGAATTGGAATATCATTTCACATAGTACTGTTTTATCTGGCAGTGACATGCCTTATGGATAGGATCTTTTTACAATCTTACTTCAGGGAGTGTTTCATTTAGCAGAGCCATTTAACACAAGTCCCCCAACCTTTAAAATAAGCATTTTAATAATTCCATTGTTTTATTTGGTAAGTCCTGTGATTTTTATTACTAGTTTCCTTAGACCTCCCCCCCTTTCCTTTCCTTTTTCCTTTCAAAATGTTGAAGGTTCCACACAAAAAATATATACTCAAGGAAAATATTAATGAAAGTATCCCAGTACAGTGAAGATCAGAATTAGAATATAATTCAATTTTAATTTAATATAATTTATCTTCTCAACTTTCTCACCTCTTATCTTTCCTTCTATCTTCTCCTATTGGTATATTATGATTTATCAATTGTTGTTGTATCTTATGATTTATTATTGTATCTTACGATTTATGACCTATGACTGATCACTTTGTTGTTTGCATATACACTGAGAGCTAATGCACTGGAAACAAATTCCTTGTGTGTCCAACCACACTTGGCCAATAAAGAATTCTATTCTATTCTATTCTATTCTATTCTATTCTATTCTATTCTATTCTATTCTATTCTATTCTATTCTATTCTATTCAGAACCAAACTGCACTTCTGCCCATCAGCCCTCAAAAATATCAAGCTAAACAAGTTAGCACTGTAATTTTATTTTGAATTTTAAAATTTCAAAACCGAAAGAAAAACAAAGCAAACATGAAATTCAACAACGCATCAGTAACATAATATAGATTATCTAGTAAAGAAACAAATTAACAAAATAATTTCAGTTTTAAAAGTTGGTTTTCAAGTAAACTAGAAATTTGCATTCTTTGCCCCAAAACAGAATCTGAGAGAGCAGAAACAATGAGTAAAGCTATTTCCCTCCTTTTCTTTATCATATGGGAAACAATAGAGGTATTGAACTTCTTATATTGTAGTTTTGATATTCAGTGTTTTTATTCTGTACCAACATTCTGATTGTACTTTAACTCAAAATTGAATAGCTGAGTGTCTGCAGGACACTGCCAATAGAAATAGCAGACACAAGAGGACTAAAAACATTGTAGTGTATTGTTTCTACCTACTGTACTGTTTCTAGTTTAATAAATCTTAACTGCCTCTCTCGCAAAATTAATATGTAAATACAGGCAGTCCTCGACTTACAGCAGCTCATTTAGTGACCATTCAAAGCAGGGGTGGGTTCTAGTTACCTTTACTACCGGTTTGCAATGGGAGCGTACGTGCATGCACAGATCGTCAGTTATGATCTCCAGGAGGGTGGGCGGAGCCTCGCACCACTTTTACTACAGGTTCTAAAGAACCGGACAGAACCGGGAGCAACCCACCACTGATTCAAGGTTAAAACAGCCCTGAAAAAAGTGAGTTATGACCATTTTTTTTACACTTACAGCCTTTGCAGCATCTCCATGGTCACATGACCAAAATTCAGACGCCTGGCAACTGACTCATATTTATAATGGTTGTAGTATCCCAGTGTCTTGTAATCTTTTGCGACCTTCCGACAAGAATAGACAATGGGGAAGCCGGATTCCCTTAACAGCCATGTCACTAAGTCAACAACTGCAGTGATTCGCTTAACAACAGTGGCAGCGAAGTTCGTAAAATGGGGCAAAATTCACTTAATAAATGTCTCTCTTTGCAAAATAATTTGGGGCTCTGTTGTGGTCGTAAGTCGAGGACTACTTGTATAAGGAATTTGTCAATTAAGAATTGCTGTATTAAGGTTACGTGTTTCTAGAAACTGAGTCCTAGAATGCTGATAGCTATTAAAAAAAAACGGAGGGGGGAAATCTTTCTTTTGGAAACTTCTTACTAGGGGTGCCCACAGAGGAATCAGAAAATTCAAAGGGATTGCTCTGACAGCACCTTCAAAGCCCTAACCTTTTCACATGCATTGTACGTGCAACACACATGGCACAATCACTGCCATCATCTTGATTTTTTTGACAACATCCCCCAAACACCCCTGCCTTTTACACATATCCTTTGTTAGCAGAAAGAAAGGTTTTCTGGAAGAGCATCGGAAAATGTTGTGTAAATGATGACTCAGGGGAGAAAGATTAGGGGAGGGGGGAAAGAATCTAAAGAAGTTACAACCTTTTGCTACCAGGATGGAAAGAGTAATGGCAGTGAATTAAACAACTGCAATGATAGCAATCCCAGTTTTTCCTCTCCTCCTCCTCCTCTTCCTCATTTCATTGTGAAAAATGCAGATCGTAGCATAGACAAGAGGTATATATGCCCGCACAGTTTAATGGTTTGACTTTCTTTCTTTTTTCTTTTTTTTTTGTCCTTTTTCCTTTTGAATGCTTCCATCTATCCTGTCGTATGCTGAACTGAAGACAGAAGAAGGAAAAAGATGGGTAACTTTCCTGCAGGTTTTTTTAATAGGTGATATATAATTAGTTATAGCAGTAATATTAAATAAGTCGACTTCTTTTATTTCAAACACGGAAGGAAATATTTTCTTTAAATGACACTGTACAGTCTAGGCAAATTAAAATTGGGTAGACAGCAAAAGTCACTGCTATCTCTAAGACCTATTACATAATGAGTTCAGTGTAATATGGATAAACATTTGGGAAGCAAAGCAGGGGGCTGGGTTTCAATATTCCCACCGTTGAATACCAAGCTTCGTTGCCGGCGGTCCCTAGCGGCCGGACCGGTACCTCTGATGGTTCTGATTGGTTGAAACGATGACAGCTCGGGTATAAAAGGAGCTGTCAAGCGCGGGAGTTGTTGTTGCCATGCCTATAAGCAGTTAGTTCAATAAAGTTACCAGTTACCTTGCCATGTCGCCTCAGCTCTGTCAGTCCGGGCCAATATTTATTACCCACAGTCCTATGTAATTGGCAACAGGCCTTAACTTTTCCTTTCCTCAAAAGCTTGACTTATTGTTGCCTGTATTTCAGGAACTAGGGATCCTCAAAGCTGTCCTCTCTAGGAATCTGGACTTCAGAATTTTCCCACCAGCTCTATGAATGCTGAGAATGTTGAGAATTGAAGTTCACGCAGCTGGAGAGCAGCCAGTTTGAGGATATTTTGTTAAAGGCTTTGCTAGACCAAGGCCTAATATTATATGATTTGTTGCTGGTTTGTTCAGCAATCAATGGCAGTTAAAAAAAAAAAAAGTTAAACTCCATGTGTAAAACAAGATCAGGTCCCAATTTTGCCTTTTTTTCCCTTTCAAGCTGAAGGAAAAGTAGAGAAATGGGGTGGGGGGAAGTGCTAAGCCTTAGGCTTTGTTCGTATTTATTGAATCCTACTGAAACAACCCGAATTGTTTCCTTTGCTCTTGAGATAGCCATCACTCAGAAATCATAACCTTCACGTTCTTTTCAGAACAAGAACAAAATTAATACATTTATATATCTCCTTGGGAAAACACTGTGTAAAAAGAAAATTGCTTCCTGGGCTCCTTTTATAAAACTTTGAAGTATTGCTGGAAGGTCCGTTCTCGTTTGACTCACAAAATGAAATTGTCCAAGGTGTAGATTTTTTTTTTTTTTTAAGATCTCATGGGGCCTCCTCAGTTACTATTGAATTTTCAGTCAAACCTGAAAGCTTTTTTTGAAGGCTTTGTGCTTCAGGGTTTCAAGTATTTTTGCAATGGAAAGCAAAATACATGCCACTTTCCAGGGCTTCCTTTTTCTTTCCAAGATTTTCCACTGCAGAGGACTTTTTTTTTTTTTTTTTTTTTAAAGGTAGTTCAAAAGTACTATTTATTCCTTTGCTGTTTTAGAAGAATGTAATTTGTACTAAAATAATTGCCTGGTAGAATTGTCATTCTGTCATTCTGGCACAAGGACACTCATAATAAATTAATAAAACAGATGTGGAAAACCCTAATTCTTAAAATAAAGAGTCTTTCAGAAATGTATACAATATCATACTTAGTTCTCATGAGCTGGGTAAGATTTTTAATAGCAAAGAAAACACAGAGTTTAATATTTATTATTATTTATTTATTTATTTCTTATTATTATTTAATAAAAACTAAATAGTTTATTTACTACCGTGTTTCCCCGAAAATAAGACCCTGTCTTATCTTTTTTTGAACCCTGAAATAATCGCTTGGCCTTATTGCCATGCGCTCAAAAGCCCGAGTGGACTTATTATCAGGGGATGTCTTATTTTGGGGGAAACAGGGTATTTATTACTAATGTTGGAAATGAATTCAACCAACAGGCATGGGTCAATGAAAACAAAGAGACTTTATTAAAAGAAAATAATAAAAAGAATTTTTCAAAATATGGTGGTATCCCAGCAGATCTCAACAAGGAGTTTGAGCCAGGAAGCCACACCTAAAGTTTCAAAAGCATTACATTTTATAGTTCCCTATACCGACGCCCCCCCCCATGCCCCTCCTACATCGCATCCAGTGACCGATCATGGCTAATCCGAAGCGCCTTTTAGAGAGAACATCATCTCTTTCTCTAATTACATGTTCATCAACACCTCCCTATAAGTACCCATAAAATATTTTTCAAGCATGGCTCTTTCTTATCTCTATTGCCTTGGCATTAAAGAGTGGACCTCTTTCTAACAGGCCTCAAACAAAAGAAGGTCTATTCTAACACAACATTGTTACATACTGATATGCTTTCAGCATGTCTTTTCTCCAACTATCTTAAAGCAGAATAATGTCTAACCAATTTAACAGAGTAGCAGAGCTGGATGACTGCAGGTCATCCAGTCCAACCCCTTGCCTGAGGAAAATTGAATCTTCACTTATATGCATTTCTAACCTATATACATACATACTATTTTATTTTTGAATTTTCTCATATCCTACATTACTGACATTCCCTTATTTTTATTTATTTGTTTGTTTATATCCTACATTTATTATTTTTGTAAATAAGGCAAGGTAGCAAACATACCTAATATCCTTCCTCCTCCTATTTTCAGCACAACAACAATCCTGTGAGGTGAGTTGGGCTGAGAAAAGTGAAGGGCCCAAAGTCACCCAGCCGGTTTTCATGCCAAAGGCAGGGCTAAAACTCACAGCGCCTTTATCACAACATCGAAGTGGCTCTAATGTAGATCCCAATATAGAACAAATCTTGTATCCTACCGATCTGTCACTTCCTTCTTTTCTACTCATGAACTGCTGCACAAATAGGACAGAACTGTAGTCATTTACATTTTACCATCCTGCTCTCAAGGGTTTGTTTTATTAGTGTTCCCTACTCATTAGTGCTGTGTTTAATTCAGCAATACAAAATCTTCTGCCCTGATAGTGGATGAGGGAGAATCTCTGTGTTTGCTGGAACTGAACACCAAACCATTGGAGCACTGGAGCATCCGGAATTCCTGATGGCATCTGTGTCCTTTTTAACTGGGGAAATAAGCACTTTGTGCACTTGAGAGAGGTAAAAAAGAGAACATTCCATTCTTAAAGGGATGGTATTGTTTCAGTGGCCCCTGAGCCCTTCTGGATGCCCACACGATCCAACCCCAGCTGCTCTGCACCAGTCTCAGAAGCCAAACATCTTGGATGATTGACAAGCCTGGGAAGTTTGGGAAATGTCCCAAGGGAGACAATGGACTGACCTTGTGAATAAAATTATGAGTTACGGAAGACCAGTTTGATTTAAAGGCTAATCAGAAGAGAAATATGGAGTAAAAAATCATTAAATCAGAGAAAAACAATGTGTGAGATATTCTCTCTCTCTCTCTCTCTCTCTCTCTCTCTCACACACACACACACACACACACACACACACACACACACATTAGATTTTGCTACAGGTAATTGATGTTCATTTCATGTCTTTAACAGATTCAAGGACTTAAGAGAAAAAAATAATTAAAAAATATTTACTGTCCAAATGTCTTTTCTTTACAAGAACGATTCCAATAGCAATAGACTTAGACTTATATATCACTTCTTAGTGCTTTATAGCCCCTCTAAGCAGTTTACAATGTCAGCATATTGCTCCCCAACAATCTGGGTCCTCATTTTACTGATCTCGGAAGTATGGAAGTCTGCGTCAACCTTGAGCTGGTAAGAATCAAACTGCTGGCAGTCAGCAGAATTAGCCTGCAATACTGCATTGTAACCCCTGCACCACCATGGCTCTTGATATCTGAGTAATGGCTATATTAAGTGCAGGCTGAGAGGATGTTTCACTATCTCTTGAGAATGTTATTTTTGCCAATCATATTTTCATTTTTACAAAGCCCCATATGCCTCAAGAGGGGTATGACCTGAAAAAATTACTTGTTTTATTTATTTTATACATTTTAAATTGTATTTCTGTGTAAATGAGATACACTTTCATCTTGCTGAAATGCTAGCTAGTATATTGCAGTAGGTCTTTCAATATTATAGTCAAGACATCCATGGGTGAAATGGCGGCCTGAAATATCAAGATGGCCACTATAACCATGTGATTGAAGCTTGCCCCCCTTTTTTTCTGTGGCCATGTCACATAAAAGATCTCAAATCTTCAATCACATGATTGTGCCCATGACCGTGACTCCCCTCCTCCCATGGACAGCCTAAGTAATGTCAAGTTGATGTTTTAAACTGATATAAATTATCATTTATATCATTGGTAGTCAATGGCATTTTATTTATGCCCATTTCCATAAGCTCTGTAATTAAATCAGAAATTACCATAGCTGGAAGATATTACTTGTTGGCCGTAGTTTAATTCAGCACACTAGCTGTAAAATCAGTCCCCAAATAATAGTCCACCTCCTCCCACATCAACAAACCAATATTCCTTTCTTCTTCCTACCCTATAGGACAAGCAGCACTGTGGCACAATATATTGTCAACTTTGAAAGAGATGGTTCAGACCTACCTGCGGATGGTACTGACATCAAAAAAATTGAAAGCGAGAAGAGCACTCTTGGTGAAGAGAAGGAGATACCTACATTTGTACCGAAAATAGCAGATCTTCAGCAGATGGTTGCCATGCTCCTACAAGAAGATAAATCATTATTCGTGGACTTTGAAACACTCCAGTTTAAGGATGGTCAGTAAGTTACAAATGCTTATTGCAAATTAATTAATTAATGTTTCCCTGACCTTCCCAAAGAAATTGGATAATCCCTTGCCTCACAGATGCTTTGTATTTTCTTCCTCAGAAAAAAGGGGAGATATCAGGAAGTTGTGGGCTGCTTTTCTGTGATATATCATAATTGATAATTAGCTTCCTTCCTGGCTTTTTCTGAATCATTCCATCTCATTGTTTTGCATGTATCTGATTTCTTATTTTGAGGGCAAGCTTTGTTCCCTACTTCCCCAGACAAGTCCAAAGGATTTTACCTACCAAATATAGTTCCTCCTTCTTCTTGTTCTCCTCCATTAGGCTGACTTATAATTAATATATTAAGAAACCTATTTTAGCGGGTAATAAAAAGAAAAGAGTAGCAAATTAGAAATAAAAATATGTCAGCAAGACGATTGCATTTGCTTGGCTTGTTATGAGACATGCCATCCTTTTATCTCTTATTCTCCGGGTGCTGCTCTTTTCCCTCAGCTAGTTAATTTTATAAGTATTTTATAGAGTTGCAGTCTTTTTGTGGTGCCTGGAAAAGAGGTGGCATGGACCATAAGGTGTATATCTCCGATACCAAGCTTGGCTTTCTGTTTGGAGCTCAGAGGGAGGGGAAGGAAACATATGGGAACCAACCCTTTCTAAATTATGCAGGCCTTGAAAGGTCAAATTCCACATTCTGAATTAGGCTTGGAAGCAAATACAGAAGCACAGAAGTCAAACCAAGCCTGGGATTATATGATTCCCAGCCTCCTCTTGCCAGAGGTTGAATTCTGTATTTGCGCTAGTGGAAGCTTCTGATGACCTTCAGAACCAGCCCAAGATAAAGTGCATTTCAGTCATTGAATCAGGAGATTATTGAGTAAGGCCAAAACCTTATCTGAAATGGGATGCAGGGAGTTCACCAACCTTTAGTGTAAAAGACAGTCTTTGTGTCCTCTGTTAATAGAAAATGCCATAAGACAGCAGGGTCAAAAAATCCAAGTCTGTCTCGATGGTTTTCATGCGGTAGTCAGTTAATTTTCGGATAACAAAAGTATTTAGTATAAATACTAGGGTAGAACAGATTTGAGACATTTATTTTAATTGCTAAGCATTTAGTAGCGTTAGTGGTATTCAGCTGGATGGAATTTATATTAAAATACAAATGGTGTGATCCAGGAAGCAGATGGCAATGATGGACCCAAATTTAATTTATATAATTTTTAATACATAAAGTGTTTGATGACACAGCGAAATAAATTGATGCACGAAACAGCTTTATTGAGTGACCATGTCTGCCATATAGTAACTAATTACAAAAGGCAGGAATATTTTGATTCCTGCTGCCTTATAGCTTCACTTCAGAAATTAATTATATTTTGTATAATTTGTTGCCTACCGGACAAAGAACTAACCATTCTGTTATCATACAAAAATTCTATATTTCCATTTACGGAGATCCTAAATTTTTTATTCACCCCTTTGTTCTTTCCTGATCCTTCCAGAAATGTTTTTTGTAGGAAATTAAAGTCTTCCTAAACCAGACATAAAAGGAATAGGACTGAAAGAGGAAATACAGCAACATGCATTCCTTGGGCCTTCTATTAATATAATTTCTGATCTATTAATGAGTCAGCTGCGTTGTGTTCTGCCATGTTCTATTATGAACTGTTTTGAAGTGTAACAGATAAGGCATAGCAATAAAGTAGTTGGAATTAACTAACTGAGCTGAAAGTTTTCAACAATTGTGGGGTTTTTTTGAGGAAATGTTTTGCTTTCCTTTCCAACTAGTAGGAACGTCCCTTTGCATAACATTTGGCCAAATATTCTCCATCTCTGTTTTTTGATGCCATCCATATTCTCTCTGCAATGCTTTAGAACAATGGAAGACCCAGATCCCTGTGGAAGAGATGAATTGTTGCTGCTCCTTGCCTTTTTAATTGCTTTAGCATAAACTTTAAAAAGTAATTAAAGGATAAGGCAATCCTTATTCTTTAAGTAAAAGTAGCTTCATAGTATAGCTGCTGACGTCTCTCTGGAATATCCTATTGCACTCTTAGCTATACACCTACGGAATGCTAAGTAGTTACAGTATATAATGAAGAAGAAGCAGGAGTAACAGTTGCCAAGGATCAGGCAAATATGGCTGATCTCCCACTTCTATAATTTTTGAAACAGCATAGGATGATGCTTAGCTTGCAATCTAAATAGAAATGTCCATTTTGAATGCAAGAAACTGGAGTATGAATAATGTGTATGTCATATATATTGAGTCTAGTCCACAGGTACTTCTGGTTGAGTTTGCATTCAGTTGTTGTTGTTGTTAGTTGCGAAGTCATGTCCAACCCATCATGACCCCATGGACAATATTCCTCCAGGCCTTCCTGTCCTCTACCATCCCCCAGAGTCCATTTAGGCTCACACCGACTGCTTCAGTGACTCCAGCCAGCCACCTCATTCTTTGTCACCCCCTTCTTTTTTTTTTTTTTTTGCCCTCAATCATTCCCAGCATTAGGCTCTTCTCCAGTGAGTCCTTCCTTCTCCTTAGGTGGCCAAAGTATTTGAGTTTCATCTTCAGGATCTGGCCTTTTAAAGAGCAGTCAGGGTTGATCTCCTCTAGGACTGCCTGGTTTGATCACCTTAGTTCAAAGTCAGTGGTGGGATTCAGCCAGTTCACACCACTTCGGGAGAACCAGTTGTTAATTTTCTGAGCAGTTTGGCAAACTGGTTGTTGGAAGAAATCATTAGGGCAGACAACCGGTTGTTAAATTACTTGAATCCCACCACTGTTCAAAGGTCTCAATTCTTTGGCGCTCAGCCTTTCTTATGGTCCAACGCCATAAATTGCAACTGGGAGAACTATAGCCTTGACTATACACACTTTTGTTTGCAGGGTGATGTAATGCTTTTTAGTATGCTATTGTTTTGATAGATACATAATGGTCCACCGAGATAAGATTTTTAACAGTACTTTCCTGCTGGGAAATCTAAAACCTTCCTTTGCAGCCACTGGTTTCACTACCCTCTCAATGCAATGGATACTTTGGGTTTACCATACAATGCCTAGTAACTGTCCTTATCATCTCCTCTTCCTCCTAGGCAGCATCTAGGAAGCTGGAGGGGAGGCTGTCAAGAGGAAATAGTTGTGGGATCTGCAGTTGAAGTGGGGAGTGGGGGAGTTAAGAGACTGGCTAGCTTGAAATCACTGAAAGGGAGAAGTGACAGAAAGCAGATGCTTTCCTAAGACTTGTGGTGTTTATCTGGTTGCTCTGTAGTGTGTGGAGTCAGTCTGGCAAGATTCTTGTAAATAGGCGAGCAGCAATAAAATACCACTTCGATCAACTCCCAATATTGTTCTGGTTCTTTCGGCCTGACGTCCACCTCGCCAGACTCCTCCCCTCACTTCAGCTGCAGATTCCATCATAGAAATAGCTGGTGCTCTGAGCCCCTTCTAACTGTTCACTTCAGAGAATCATAGTGGAGGAGAAACCCAAGAGATGGCTTTTTGAGGGAAGAAGGGGTCTTGAAGGTATTCCTGCCTGCATTTCTTCTGGAGCAGTAATTCAAATTGATTGACTTATCATTAGCAGGTAATCAGTTCAGCTTTGTAAAATAGTCAGAAGCCCCAAGATGTCATAGTGGAATGCAAGGACACCGATAGCTCAGATCAGAGCCTTTAAAATGTTTTGGTTACACAGATTAAGAAGCATCTCCTTACAGTTTCATCTGATACTAACAAGGGGAAAAAACAGCAGTTTTACTGTTATGCTGTGTTTATAACACAGAATTCTATATAGTAATTGACACGCTTTGGTCAGCTTTGATAGGTAAATTTGACCAAAAAACGATCATATCATTTGTCTCATTTTGCAGAAATCATAAGGCCGCCTAGTGATATAAATAATGATATGCAGCCAATGGTAACAGATGCTCTAGCCGGAGCTGAGTTGGTGAGTAACTTTTATTGTCTTTGTTCCACAACAAAATTTTAACGGTTAATAAGATTAGCATCCCTTCAATCCTCAATTCAGCACAGACATAAATACAAGGCAGTTAAGAAAAGTAATTGGCAGTAATTTGTCTGCCATTCATCATAGATTACTAACCAGCCAAAGAACATACACCAGTCATTTTTCTTACTGTAGGCTGAGCCCAGGTCTGAAGGACAGAAGAATAGATTTAGGCAGATTTAGACATCTACTAAAATCCGGTATCAAAAAAGATGATTTTGGGGTTTTGAGGAGGGTGAACACAATAAAACAGAAGAGCATCAACTAGGGTGATACGTGCGGTAAGAAAGAAGGGGTGATCCAAGGCCAGCATCTGACAGCCTTGGGTTTAGTTGTCAAAGTTGGAAGGGGAGGAGATACGATATGGTTCTTTCATTGCTAGGTCTCCAATACCTTAGAATCAATCCATTCAACAGGTGCTCTGGAAGTACAATTTGAAAGAGTCAGATTCTTCCATTGCCAAAAGAGTAATGCTGGTGGAAAACTCCAGCTAGGAATTTCAAGTGAAAGGTCATAACTGCAGCAGTCTAAAATGGCCAAGAGTACCCATGCCAATTCCTGCTTTAGCAATCAAAACTTTACAGTTATATCCTTGGGAAGTATTATGTTGGGACAAAAAGGGGAAAATCAATGAAAGGGAAGCTGCTAAACTTTAAGCTATCTCAACTATTGGTTGGACATAGGATGACTGGACTATCATGAGATGTGATATTTAACAATGTTTAAAAAGGCCTTCTTCTTGTACCATAGTTAAAAACTCTTGGTTGAATTCCAAGGATTTCCAAGATTTGCTGTTTATAACAGCAAATCAAGATAGATGAATAATGCTTTAGAAATATTTATGGATAGACTGATGGGCTGATAATTTATCTTTTAGAGAGTATTTTAAACATTGTAGCATATAATTAAAGTAGAAGTAAAACCTACTGTATTTTGGCCATAATAAAATATAAATGAAGATTGCCACTATTTTTCTCCTCTTTTTTAGACTTCTGAAATGCCTTTCATTTATGCAAATGTAGCAACAGTGACAAAAACCTTTAGTGAGGTACATTACCCAGTCTCCACCATGTCTTCTACTGTCTTGGATACCACAAGGATTCTCTTTCCTTCAACATTTAAAGAAATCACCAGTCAGAAGACTGAAGAAGAAACGACAAAATATACAATTTCCAGCATCCTCTCTGAGCAAGGTAAGTTGTTAGATTGTTAGCTGAGTAACAGATCCCTTTCTCTTATTTTGTACCAGCAGAAATTAGAAAGGGGGTACTCTCTTAAGTGCCCACTTACTTATGTAAAAATGTCTTCTATTTCAGCCACTTCAGTCACTATTAATTATTGATTATCACATTCAGAATTTATATATTATACTGGTATTTATTTCTGAAACAATTTAGAACAAATTTTAGTTTGAAAAGCTCACTTCCATTTCATGTTCTGAATGTTTTAGACTGGCAATAGTTCTTCCACAATGCAATTACTTCAGAAACAGTTCACAGAAAGGGCCCTTTTTCCTTCTCATTTTTTTAAAGTATGTCCAATTTTGTTTCTGTTTAATTCAATTATATTATTCAAGGATCAGAAACAAATATGGATAAAATGACATTTAAATGATAACAATTGCCTGAAGAGACCCTCTTATGAACCCAAGGCCAGTCACAAACAATACTTAATTTCATCTTTGGATATTATTTTAAACAATGGAGAGTGATTTCTAATCCCAACTTTAAAAGAGTTACTTTAAAACAGTTAAAACAGTTAGCTTAAATACTATTATTCAGAGTGATGAGAATATGGCGGAAGGAGAAGGAAATAAATGAGATGCCTTAAAATAAAGAAAAGACAGTAATTTCTTGGCAATATTCTTCCTAGTTGAATGAGTATGGAGAAGTATCTACCATTTTTGATTGACTAAGATGAAGGTGTATTTTTTAAAAAATTAAGAATATTCTCATTTTAATAAATTTTGCTACTGATTCATGAGAATTTATTTCCATTCATTTCTCAACAAGTTTAACGAAAGTTTAAACACATTCATTTGGAGTAATTCTCTTAAAAAGAAACATTTGATCTTGGTTTAGTTAATGTTTGTCATTGTTGTCATTACATAAATGATACATAAATTTCTTTTTTTTAAATCTCTGCAAATGTATTTATTTTTCTAAGACATAGCTGCCTTATGAACAGCTTTTTCCCCTGATATCAGGATTACCCCATCCCTTTTAATCTTCTGGAAAAGCTTGAAGATCTGGTTTTTCCCTAAAACACTGGAGCCAGGCTGTCAATGGAACCTGCCCTGTACAGAATTTTGATAATGAGATAGATTTATTTAGGGGGCTTTCCCACATTTCTAATTTATTTTTATGATAACGTACACCAGGTTGTATGTTGTGTTTTTTGTCATGAGCCACCTAAAATCACAAGGATGAAATGGGCATTTAAATAAATTCTATGAATGAATGAATGAATGAATGAATGAATGAATGAATGAATGAATGAATCTGTGTGTGAAGGCATACCTGGTAACACTGCTAAGAAACAAAACATACAAATAAGAGCCTTTGCTCCCGTATGGGAATTACACCCCTCCATAATCTCCAAAATCAGTGACAGCTATGCATATTTAGAACTTTGCACTGGAGATTTAAACGCTTGTGCTTTCTCTGGAATGCCTATCTAGTCAATTCATATGTTTGGCACATTCCAAACATCTAGACAGACTGATATTGACTTCCGGAAATCAATAACAGTTTTGAGTTGTAAGGACTTTTGACACATAATCACCCTGGCCAATGGCAGTAATTTCTGAGAAATTGAAAGTGCATCAAGATGTGTCATTGATTCCTCCTCTGATTAGAAATTGTGCAATTGACTCTTGACATGTCCCTGATGAGAACAATGTCAGTTGTTTACTGGGCAGAGAGTTTCCCATTCTGTGAATATGCTGGCTTCACATATCAAGATCATACAGCATACATCAGCTTACCAGCAATAACCTAGACTGTGATGAAGTATTTCTGTTTGGAAATACGTTTTGGAAGAAGGTGTGGCTCTGAATATCTAATCCTAAATAATCTGAAGGTATTTTTAAAAAATATTTTGGACAAGGTATGGCAGTAAGAAGAGATCAATTTGCATACGCTTTCCATTTTCATAAATTCTCTTTAATCACAAGTTGATAATCACTGTTAATGTTTCTATCACAAGTATTGTTCACTGCCTGCAAATATTGTTTCTTCCTACAGGTGTGTTAAAAATGTCATGAAGTCAGTACATTGAAGATAAAAAAAAAGTCCACCTATGACTTTCTTTTGATTAATATTTTATATTTTGATGATATGAAACTTGATATTAGACTAATGCATATCGTCTCTCTATATGTACAGCATTTGGTTTAACATGCACTTATGTTAAACCAATGGGACTTTTAAAATTAGTACTCTATTCTGGATTTCTCCGGGAACTTTTCAAATTCACAGTGACTTTTTCCAGCAAAACCATTTTTATGGTAATTACATTTAGATTTTCAGTCCTAGGAACATTACAAACTAATCTTCAACATATTGAAAGATTTTTTAAAATGTAATCAGAATTGCACAGCAAGATTCTATCTTCAGCCAGATACTCTTTATAATTTCTTCCATAAATTTAATATATTAAAATGTACTCAAGCCAATTAGAATGTGCCGTAGCTGATGGTCCTGCATACATTGAAAGGAACACAGATTAGCGAAAACAACTATTGCAATCAAATCAGTTTGGTTAATGCTTTTTTTAAAAAAATAATTCTTTGCTACCTTTGTTCTTTATTTTTTTAGAAATCTTGTTTTATTCTTCCATGTCACTTCTGCATGTGTTATACTTTGTTAGTTTTCATAAGCCTGATACTACAGACTCTAAATTTCTGGGTATTAAATTAGCTAACCAAAGGCTTGGTCTATCCAATCTATCACATAAATGGGAGAAATCCATGTTTTAAAGTTCCTTTTTAAGCTTTAATATGGACTCCTTCTTCTTCCATTACAGATAAACCATATTATTAAATATTGAGCTCCCAAAATGTAATTTTAAAAGGCTACTAACTTCTCACTCACAAATATACATGTACTCTCAATATGTCAAAAGCTTTGGAGGTAAATGCCTCTATTTCCTCTGAGGACAAATAGCTTGTGCTACAAAATGACTTCTCTAACAGCTACTCAGATTTGCATTGACAATGTGTATAATTTGGAAGTACAATGATGTACAAGCTATACTTTTAAGTTTTGGTTTATTAAAAAGTATTCACAGAACATAGAACTTCCACTTCAGTATATATTTTTCTGTTGCTCAGCTCTCGTTGACCTCTGTGCAGCTAAACCAAAGGCTTCCAGAAGTGACGTGAGTGGGTTAGAGCCATGCCACATCTTTCTCTTCAAAGAACCCAAAGGACATTGAAACCCATATAGCAAAATGTTAAGTTTTTTTTAATCTAGCCCTCTACGCTGATACCTAAGGACAGATTTGTACTCTTTGCTTGGCGCATCACCACCTCAGGCCACCCACCACTTCCTGTGCACTATTCCCTTATTGCAAAGGGAACAGTTCAATGGATGTGTATTTATACACAGCCATCCAATTGTGCATAAATCTCATATGTAAAATACAGCTGTGGGAAACCTGATCAATCTGAAGATTAATGGAAGCTAAAGGAGAAAGGCTGCCAAAAAAAATCACTTCTCAGGAGTTATTTTGTTTTGTGTTTCAAAAATGTTTCCTAGTGGTACTGGAGGACCAGTGGTGAAATCCGTCCGGATCTATCTGGTTCGCTCGAACTGGTAGCGCCGGCAGTGGGAGGCTCCCCCCACCTTCCGGGACATCATTATGTTCCATTTTATACCCTCTGCGCAAGCGCAGAATGCTCTGCGCATGGGCAGAAGAGGCACGCGCACTTACACTCCCAAACTGGTAGCGAAGGTAAGTGCATTTTAATGCTATGGTGGACATTTCTCTTTAGCTAAATGTCTGTGGAGATTCTCAGTCATTCAGGTCATGGTTGTCCCAGAGGTGCTTTTTCAAAAGGCAACTGGACTTTCTGGTTTTTCCTTGAAGACATTTTGCTTCTCATCCAAGAAGCTTCTTCAGCACAGAGCTGAAGAAGCTTCTTGGATGAAAAGTGAAACGTCTTCAAGGAAAAACCAGGAAGCCCAGCTACCTTTTGAAAAAGCACCTTTGGGACTTTAGCTATTAACTTCTGAAAGAAGTTTCTGGTCAAAAACATAGCAGGGAAGAGAACTTAACCCCCTTTTCTCCTGTGCTCCAACTCTAATAGATGCTTAGCTCATTTTTTCCATCACCACTTACTATTTATATAATAAAAATATGCATGTTGTTTGCTTTCCAATAATATTTAGTTTAACATGAAATCTGTTTTTAATTGGAGTTGAACTTTTATTTAAGCTCTCTTTTTTGTGAAAAGTTGACTTAGATATTAGAATGTAACACAGGCTGAAATCTTAAGCATAAAATGGAACTTCTCAATAAAAATGCAAGGGATAGCTCAAGAAATGGCAAGTTGGCAGTACAAGTAGATACCCATGGATTGAGTTCTACATGCTTAAGAGCAGGAACTACACCACAAAAGTCAGGGAGGAAACATGTTTAAGGAAAGTAAGCAATATTCTTCTTTACCACATAGGATTCCAGCAAATTAACTTGTGAATTATTGAAAATTTGCCTACATATCCCACATGAAATATAGCTGTGCTACTTTTAGGCTTCAAAGAAAACTATAATCTAGCATAGTATTCACCATCATAACCTGATAAAGCTCAGTTTAGAAGTAAGTCCATTGAGTTCAGTGAGGTTGATTCCTAAATAATGTAGAAAATCAGCTTTAATTCTATGTTGGATTGCAGCCTATAGATCTTCTTGTTGTTGTTGTTGTTGTTGTTGTTGTTGTTGTTGTTGTTGTTGTTAAATGCTGTTGTTAAATGTTGTTAAATTCAGCTTAACTGAATTACATATGGGTTTAGGATTTTGATAAACAGAAAACTCAACCTGTTTCATTTAACTACAGCATACTGACCTGCTATAATTGCCCTCGGTGTGTTTTGTTTTTTCCCTGTAGCTATCTAATTAGACTCACACTGCATTGGTGCTTTTATAGACTTCAGTGAGACTGCTCTTACTTTATAATCCTCATTAGGAAACATTAATTCCATAAGCTGCCTAAAATGCAAGCACACAGAAATACTCTGCGCTTCTGTCACCGAAGCTTAGAAATACAGCTTCAACAAAGGAAAATCACCTCATCCTTTGTCTGTTCCGTGATTTCTCCAAGATAATTTTGAACTGGAGACGCCACTGCTACTTGAACAAGTTTGGCTGTTTTGTTTTACATAGCATCTTCTGATTTCTGATTTGAATCTTTATTTACTGTACAGATTTGCTTTGCTGATGGCAGCGGTGTAGATTATCTGTATTATGGCCCTGAGAAGGTTGTTCAGGAAGCTATAATCAGGAATGAGGTGTATGAATGGACACTGTATAAGTGATCTTCCCAACCTCGCTGAGAGCTTGACCCATTTCTCTTCATGGCAGTACAGATTGGATCATGTGAAGATTAAGAAGTCTCCATTTAACAGAAAAAATGAAATTAATGCATTAATCATTAAATATGTCTTTCCCCAGCCTGTGCTAAAAGTGTTGGATTAGAATTCCCAGAAAGATTAAAAAGGGCTGCACCCTATGCAGCATAAAATGACAAAACTAGATAAAGGTGAATGTGTTGTAATAGAGGAAGATGTCAACAAACTGGAAGTAAAATTCCTGAATATTTAATAATACATAACATTTTAATAAAGAAAATGGTGATTTGTAGTATTTTGATGACAAGTGATTATAAAGGAAGTCTTATATATCAAAATAGGTTATTAACATTGCAGCAAGATAGAAGCATAATTAATAAGCAAATATAAATGTAAGAGAAAATTATTTCTGAGTAAACACAAGACATTTACTAAATATTGATCTCCACAGAAGAGAAATTTCAGAAGCTCAGCACAGAAAGGAGATTATGAAAATTACTTGACGTTAAAAACAGCTGGTAGGTAAGAAAATAGGATGATGGTTATGTACTTTATCCTGCATTGGCAGCAAAATTCAACTCTTTAATAGTCACATTTAAGATATAATCCTACATCAGTAATTAAATAACAATATTATATATCTTCTTTACTCTTTTGGCTTACTTTTGTAATCCTTTGCAAATAAACTTGAACAATGGGCCTTATCCAACAAAATGAATTTTAATGTGGAGAAAAACAAAATTTTACATTTAGGCAGGAAAAATCAAAGGTGTAAGTACAGATTAGTTGAGACCTGGCTCAAAAACAGTCACTGTGAGAGGGACCTTAGAGTCCTAGTGGATGCTCAGTTGAGTATGAGCCAGCAGTGTATAGTAGCTAATACAATCCTGGGTTGTATAAACAGAGGCATAGAATCAAGATTATGTGAAGCATTAGTACCACTTTATAAAACCCTAGTAAGACCACACCTGGAATACTGCAACCAATTTTGGTAGCCACGCTATAAAAAAGATGTTGAGAATTTGGAAAAAGTTCAGAGAAGAATAATTAAGGTGATCAAAGGCCTGGAGACTAAAACATAGGAAGTACAGCTGCCGGATCTGGGTTTGACTAGTCTAAAAAAAAGAAGAATTAGGGGTGACATGATAGCAGTATGCCAGTATTTGAGGGGCTGGCGCAAAGAAGAGGGGGTCAACTTATTCTCCAAAGCACCAGAAGGCAAGACAAGAAACAATGGTCGTAAACTAATCAAAGAGAGAAGCAACCTGGAATTAAGGAGAAACTTCCTAACAGTGAGGACAATTAACCAGTGGAACAGCTTGCCTGCAGAAATTGTGGGCATTTCATCACTGGAGGTTTTTAAGAAGATATTGGGCAGTCACTTGTATATATGGTATAGGTTTTCCTGCTTGTGCAGGGGGCTGGACTAGAAGATCTCCAAGGTCTGTTCTGTTCTATTCTATTCTATTCTATTCTAGTCTATTCTAGTCTATTCTAGTCTATTCTATTATTCTACTATTGGATGTGGTTTAAAATTGGAAGGCGTCAATGGTGAATCTTGCATATTTCCTTAACCTAAACAATCTTTGAGTACAAAAAACAGTTTCCAACATGATGTAGTGTTGTATAAACCCAGGAAATGTTACCACAGATAAGAAGAAAAGGATTTAGGAGAGGAGTGGGAAGTAGGCTAACTGGAAAAAAATTTAGTGTAGGTCATTCTCGATTTTATGACCACAGTGAGTCCTTTATTAAACAAGACAGTTGTTAAGTTGTGTCCCATTTTACAGCCTTTTTTTTTTTTTGCCACAGTTGTTAAATGAATGACTGCAGTTGTTAAAGGAATCATGTGGTGGTTAAATGAATTTGGCTTCCCCCATTGATTTTGCTTGTTGGAAACCAACTGGAAAGGTTATAAATGATGATCACATGACCCTGGGACAATGCAACTATCAGAACTACATGCAGTTACCAAGCACCCAAATTTTGTTCATGTGACCATGGGGGATGCTGCAATAGTCGTAAGTGTGAAAACCAGTTATAAGTCACTTTTTTTCAATTGTGTTGTACATTTGAACAGTCACTAAATGAGTGGTTGTAAGTCAAGGACTACCTGTACAATAGCTCAAAATACTATGTATAAAAGAGCCAAGGGTGCTTTTTCAAGAGGCAACTGGACTTTCTGGTTTTTCTTTGAAGACATTTTACTTCTCATCCAAGAAGCTTCTTCAGCTCAAAGGAAAACCAGAAAGTCCAGTTGCCTCTTGAAAAAGCACCTTTGGGACAACCATGACCTGCATGACTGAGAATCTCCATAGACATTTAGCTATGCACTTTGGTGTGTATAAAAGAGTTTTAAGCTTATTTTGGTATCTGTGTTAAGGATCTTCAAGGACACAAATCCAGGAATCCAAAATGATATCTATTTCAAAGTCTAGGTTCTGTGGCAATGTACATGCATATGTTTAGCAAGATTTTAAACTAAACATGTTGTGTAAACTCAGCTCAGATAAAATTACTTGGTTTTTATTCTGAGAGAACGTAAAACAAGGCAACAATTACCCCACTTCAATTACATTTACTCTGCCTCCTTCTCTTTGGGCTATTGCCTCCATTTTTTCTGCTTCTTATAAGCTTATTGCACATTTATATGACTCTATTAATATATTTTTGCATTGCTTCCAAATCAGTCTGAAAGGATTTGTATCCAGTCAGGTAGGAAACAAATCACTGTGGCTTTTTTTTTTAAAAATCAAACCTAGTTTATTTCCTGACAGTGAGAACAATTAACCAGTGGATGTCTTACCTTCAGAAGTTGTGGGTGCTTCAACACTGGAGGTTTTCAAGAAGAGACTGGACAGCCTTTTGTCTGAAATGGTATAGAGTCTCCTGCTTCAGCAGAGGGTTGGACTAGAAGACCTCCAAGGTCCCTTCCAACTCTGTTATTCTGTTACTTCCTTTTTAGAGGAAAAGACTACAGAACAACTGGAATCTTCGGGGGAGGAGCCTTTGACCACAATTCCATCTGTCGTTCATTCCACAGTTCTTCCAAGAGATGATATTTTAGAGCCTACAGATCCGTTGACTTTATTGCCAGCAGATACCTCCAGTGGCCCTTCCACTGACATGGACCAATTTTTTGAAGCCACAAGCTCCAAAAGTTGGGCAATCTCAACTGATTTTGAAATGGGAGTGCAGGACCATGCCACTGACTTAGTTATCACTGACATGGTGGCTCCAGTGGCAGAGGAGGAGGAGGAGGAGAAGGGAAGTGGCTACCATACATTGCCAGAAACCCCAGGTATGACTCCAGCTCCTACCCTGAAGTATATAACCACAAGCTCCATGACAGCTGCAATCCAAGGCCAAGAGCTGGTGGTCTTCTTCAGCTTGAGGGTGACCAACATGCGCTTTTCCAATGACCTCTTCAATCAGAGTTCCCCTGAGTACAAAGCACTTGAACAACAGTTCGTACAGCTGGTAGGTGACAAAGGATGGTATTGAATTTGTGGATAATCCCCCACCCCCACACCTAAGAGAAATCTTAGAACATTATGCCTCACATTAAAAACAAATTGAATTGATAGGGAAAAATGCTTTCAGAAGAAAACTAGGGTTCCTTCTCCTTATAATCTCAACCTTCATGTATTATTTCCTCAATTCTACGTACTGCTCCTCAGGTTCACCTTGGCTCCTAGTGACAGCATGTATATATTCTTGTTTTCTTGGCAACAGTATAGCAGTGGTTAATCATTGCTACTTGTTTACTAGTCATTGCTTCTTTTCTTCCTTCCAGAAAGGAGGGAGGGAGGGAAGGAAGGAAGGAAGGAAGGAAGGAAGGAAGGAAGGAAGGAAGGAAGGAAGGAAGGAAGGAAGGAAGATTAGTTTAAAACCCTGGGATTGCCTTATGGTTTTTCCCTGCCGGTATTAATTTGCTTAGATTTTTGAGATTTTTTTTAATGCTATTTTGGGATGCATTTTTCAGTTTCTTAGATCCCTACTGTTTACAGCCAATTTTATTTCCAGTTCTGATGCCAAAATGAATTAGGAAGGGAGAAAAGTTGGAAAGTGATAGAAGATGAATTTATTGCTTTTTTCAAGTGTGAAAATACAAGTTAATGGAAAGAAATGTGTGTTTGAGGTTATAATGTTTATTTTGACCTGAAAACAGTAACAGTCAATATTGTATTGGTTTTACTGTACTCACAGTTCAATGTAAGTGAACTGTGTACACTTACATTGTACACAAGTTCAATTTGTGTACCCATGAGAGTACACAAATTTTAAAGAGCATAATAATTTAGAGATGACAATTAATTTAGTTCTTTGTCAAAATATATCCTTCATATTATGTTCTAATGCAAATAAGAGTCCAGATGAAATTGAATGTTTATTATCTCATTATCCTGAAAGTACATGTGAACAATATTTTGTATAATATAGAAACTCAAGTAACTATTGTGGAATGACAAATAAATTTATATAAGAATGTAAGAATTGTCCCTACTAGATCAGACAAAGTCCCATTTAGTCCAATATTTTGTTGCTTATATGTTTCACAAACGTAAAGCTCATTCTTTCTACCCGCATAACCTATTGTGGGAAAAATCTGTATGTAATTAAAGGAAACACTCATACAACTGTAATTTACATTTAAGTAGACTTAAATATCATTGATTTCTTTTTAACTGTACTGCATTCTGTGAATGAAATTTGCATCAAAAGAGCACTGTAGCTGTCTTGCTTGATTGTTTTAAATTTAAAAGATCTATCTTGAGAGCTGCCATTGAAACGCTAATTCAGAAACTTGGACTTGGTATTAGTTGTAAAATCAGCTAATAGCATCAGTTAAACAGAGTAAGTTTGTATTTCTCAAAATAAACAGTGAGTGCGGGTGACATCAATAGCATAATTTTCTTTCATTTTTCAGCTGGTTCCCTACCTACAATCCAATCTAACAGGGTTTAAGCAGTTGGAAATACTGAATTTCCGCAATGGAAGCGTGATTGTAAATAGCAAAATGAAGTTTGTGGAGTCAGTGCCATACAACATCACAGAGGCTGTTCACTGTGTGCTGGAAGATTTCTGCAATGCAGCTGCTCAGCATCTTAACTTGGAAATTGACAGCTCTTCTCTTGAAATAGAGCCAGGTAATGGAAAAAGTGAAACAGAAAACAGGAGAATATTGCTTTCCTCTAAGCCAGTGGTGGGTATCACTTACCTTTGCTACCAGTTTGCTTGCGCATGTGCAGAGCATATTTGATGACATATGGGTGGGTGGGTCGGTGGGCGGAGCCTCCCACCACCACTGCTACCGGTTTGCCCGAACTGGGGTGAACCGGTAGCAACCCACCACTGCTCTAAGCCCTGTACATTGTTCTTCATAGATGAACAAATAGATAAATATCGAGTAAAACTACATGGAATGCAATATATTTTGAGGAAGCTTGTAAAATAATAATATGATGATAACATGATGACAAAGAGAGACTTTATTGTGGTGGGGCTACTCCGTTTTTCATGTTTTCTTCATTGTCTGGTCAGATATCTGATGGAACATTAGAAAATATTTGTGGGACCTGTAATTTCCAGAAACATATCTGGAAGTACTTTGAAAACCTTCCATTTTTGGGGGTTGAGATAGAAACAAACTGGTTGTTTTTCAACACTTACGTTACTATATCCCAATCTGTACTCTTTTCAGCTGCTTTTGTTCTGATCCCGTCTTTGATAGTAAGTGAATCTTAACAAGCTTAGAATTAGTCCTGAGAAACTTCTATTTACTGTATTTTTCGGAGTATAAAACGCACCTTTTTCCCCCTAAAAGGGGGTGAAAATTTAGGTGCGTCTTATACACCAAATGTAGCCCTGCCCACCTATGGCCCCCACCCTTTGGCCTCTGCCTTGCAGCAGTTACCTCCATGCAAGCAAACAGCAAGAAAAAACAGCTCCTTTCAGCTTCAGCACAGGCTAATTAGCACAAGTTGATTGGATCGGCCTCCTGACTCTCAGCTGATTTGCTCTCAGCTGTTTTGAGAAAGCTCTGCTATTGGATTGCTGGAACAGATTATTTTTTTCCTTGTGCTAATCAAGCTATGCTGAAAACGAAAATGAAAGTAAAGCAGGCTGTTTGCTGTTTGCTGCAACAAGGCAAAATTGCTCAGAGGCAGAGGGAAATTTCTTTTTCTTCTTTTCCTCACCCAAAAAAGGTAGGTGCGTCTTATACTACGAAAAATACGGTATTCATTTTATTTATTCATTCATTTCTTCAAATCAAACCAGCCCTAACAGTGCACTATACCAATGTAACCAAAACTATGGCATATCCAATTCCTAATAACAAGCTATACTCCATTAACAAGCAATAATATAGAATATGATAATAAAATGATAATGATGATACTAACCTAGACAACAAATTATAACACAGATATATGCTCAGGTTGTACTGTTTGTTCCATTGATAATCAATTCACCAAGCCTGCAGTACTTCCTTCCTTGATTTTCACTTCCGATTTATGATGTAATGAGCTAAAACATTTAGCAGACTGCTATACAACAAGTCATATTAAACACAGTGTATCTGCTTGAGCTGAATAGGAAATTGCATAGATGTATAAAACTGCACATCTTAATTAGAGAAAATAAGTTGCAGTTTGAGAAAGTGGAAGAACAAGCAAAGCAACTTGATATGCAAACAGAACATGTGGATTGATGGTACAGTGAAGCCTCTAGAGATGGTATAAAAATTAGGCAATAATTAGACTTAAGCAAAGACGTTGGTGTGCCAGGGATTGTAAAAATTCTGTTTTTTCAATCCCTTGTAATTTTCTGTCATAGAAATATGGTATACATCTTGCCATGAGCTTCTGTTCTCACCCTTTCACAGATCAAAAGTACTTGTACACCATGTTTATGTTCAGTTGAAGAAAATTGTCAAGTGATACATCGACATAGCAGTGTCATGATTCTACTGATATTGCCAACATTATGATTGAAAGGTTGTCTTGATGACAGTGCTGGAATCTCCTTCATTTAACAACCTTTAAATTAGAATATGGATGCTACAAGGAAGTGCAGGACAGGTTTTCAAAGGTGTTCCCTTTCTAACTGGAGGATTCAAGGTTAGAGCATGAATTTTAATGCGTCAAGATTACAAGCTGCAATAAACTATATAAAAATAAACAAACAGGTTGGAATTAACTTCGTTTGCATGGATGCCAGATTATAGATTCTACGGGTAGAATCCTCGGCTTACGTCCATTTGTTCAGTGATCATTCAAAGATATGGTGACACTGAATAAAATGGATGTGCAATCCATTCTCAAAATTCTGGCTATTGAAGGACCCCTGCGATTGCTTATCAAAATCAGGCAAAATGGTAAAACAGAAGAGACAAGGAAAAGAAGGTATGGTGCTGAAATCATGAAATCTGCATGTAATCACAGTCTGAGATGAAACAAGGAAGGAGTAATCAGACCTTTAAATTAGGGCTATTGTGATGGTTTAAGTCAGAATTATTCCTAAGAATAAACAATTAGTTTTCCTGTTTTGGAGAATATAAAATCGAGTTGATGCTTGAAGATGTCTCCAGTCAGAACAGAACAGAACAGAACAGAACAGAACAGAACAGAACAGAACAACAGAGTTGGAAGGGACCTTGTAGGTCATCTAGTCAGATACTCTTCTTTGGTAGGGTAAGACCCCCTGAAGGCTTGCAGGCATCTTCTTCTTCTGGAATGAAATTAGAAGTCTGTATCCTACCTTCATGTTTAAATCAACTGAATTGCAAGAAAAAATGAAAAAGGTACAGCTCAACCAAAGCTGAAACCAAGAGATTGGGGAAATAAAAGTACTTCTTCTGAAACTTCTTCTGATTTAGCACACATTTTTTAAGGGGGAGAAGAACTGAAAACAAAAGATGTGCTTCGCTGACATGACTTAACAGTGTAAAACAGGACAGGCTGGTGACTTCCCTTTTTTCCTGATATGCTGCCTTGTTGTCTTGTAGATGTTCCATTGCTGCCAGTGAGTCAAATAAGGTCTCTTCAAGGTTCCTTATTATTTGGCACTCTAGAGCAGTGATGGCTAACCTTTTCTGGACCGAATGCCCAAAGTGCACACACATGTGCGTAAATGTTCGCACGGGTGCCGGAATCCCCAAAATGCAATGCATGTGCTGCCCTGAGCATGTGTTCTGTCCCCCACGCATGCACCCCATTCACAATGCATGCACACACTTCCCCCGCAGGTGCCCTGTCCCCCTCACATCCACATGCTGCCCCCCGCACACGCCCCATCCCCAGTGCATGCGTGGCAGAGATCTGAAGACCAGCTGGCCGGTGGGAGGCACGTGCACATGTGCAGCAGACCTGAACTGGGGCAACAGCTTGTGTGCCATCAGAGAAGGCATTGTGTGCATCCTCTGGCACGTGTGCCATAGGTTCGCCATCACGGCTCTAGAGAGTTTGTTTCCTATTCCACTTTTTCCATTTCTTCCATTGTGGTGTCCAGGATGGAAAATAGTTCCAGGGAGTGTTTGCCAGAACAGAAGAAATTCTAAGATTGTTTGATGAGTTTTGGAAGATAATCTTAAAATGGTACCTGAACTCTTGTGATAACTCCATTCAGTTTCATGATCCAGGAGAACACTGGGAGTGCTGTTGATGTCAAATTATTCTACCTTCCTCCCTGTCCCACTGCAGAAAACATTGCTTTCATCTATACTTTTAGATTCCTACTAATAGCTTACTATTTGGGCTTGTTGCATTAATGCAGGCAAATGGTCCATAGTTCCATGAAAAAGAAATTGTTCAGAAACAGTAGGATAAAATTGGACTGTTAGCATAGTTCACCTATTACGGAATACAATGCACCACTTAGACAAATAGAGTGAATTTATTGCAAACCTCCAATAGCCTTTCAGTTTATCGGATTTCTAAACCAGCTTTGCAACTTTTTTTCCCTCCCATAGCCTTTCATATAGTTGTTCGTGCCATTTTAATTGGATGGTCACAGTATATAGGCAGTACTAATATGAATGCACTCATTCAAGAATTTAATTACTAGGCAACAGATGACAAGAATATGAAATTGAAACAGCTAGGGGGTTATTCTCTTTTTTATTTATTGCTGCAACAAAAGCTGGGAATTCTTCTTGCATGCCTAAGGAATGAATACCTATCGTATTAGTAACAGAGGGACAATAATTTCAGCACAATTAGGGTGGACCTTACGTATTATAAAACAAAGCCTACCATGACCAACAGCAGCTGTGTTCCACATTTCTTTGCAATGACACATGTCGTTTACTTTACACCTGATGAGTTCATCAAGGGGGCTTTGAGTTGGTTGCATTGTGGATGTACCGCAATGGCCCAGCTGGGAAACCGTTTTGGCTGAGAGTCCAGAAGGGTAAAATGATTCCAGTGCTTACCATACAAGGCAATGCTTTCCAAAGGTTTTCTGAAGGAGGCCCTGCTCACTTCCTCTTCAGAAGAAGGCATCTGCTGTAAAATATGGCTGATAACTATCTAAAAGAAATATAAAAGTAATACCAACTTACTGAAGTAATTCATCACTGCTGCTTGTGAAAGCCAAGAAGAAGGGACTTCACTCTATTGTAGTCGTATATTAGCAACGGTAGGGAGCTGTGATTTACAAATGTTTTCTCTAGCAACCATACGGTTTTACCAGGTCCACGTGATCCTGCATCAATGAAATCCATTTCAAAAGATTTTTCTCTTCTATTCCAGCGGATCAAGCAGACCCTTGCAAGTTCTTGGCATGTAATGGATTCTCACGGTGCCTAAAGAATGACTGGACAAAGGAGGCAATTTGTCTTTGTAAACCTGGTTATGCAAGAAAAAATGGCCCGCTTTGCCGTAGCATATGTGAGACAGAGCCATACCTTTGTGCTAATGGTAGCAAATGCGAATTGGTTCCAGGAAGAGGTGCAGTGTGTAGGTATGTCCCTTTATTATAAAGTTGATCATGAATACTGATGGTATTGTGGATAAGTGCAGTGGCAATTATTTTGAAATTGTCAAATGGCATTAATGGTTTCATTTTGATTGTCGGTATGAGAAGAGAACATTCTGAATGCAGATTTTGTGCTCTGTTATTAAACAAAGTTTCCCATTCAAACTCTCCAGTTAAAAGTTTTCTGGGAACTGGACTAGAGAGGCTTTATCTGAGATATACTGCTGGTCAAAACAAGTATACTGATTTGACTCAGATGCATTTATGTGAGATTATAATCAAATTCAATTTGTTTTATTTTACATTGTACAGTTAAATCACTTCAGGTACAGAATATTGCTCAAAAGCCAGAATCTACCTAATAAAATCTGCAGAATAAAACAGTAGTAGCTTTAGCAACCATTTTTAATTATCTCCTACACCTACATCAGGAGTGTCAAACTGGTGGCCCATGGGCCAGTTGTGTCATGCACAGGCCACGCCCACCCCAGTACCACGAATGGGAAAAACATCATGAAACATCACATGATGGCAACGTGATGCAGCAAGTTTAACACCCGTGACCTATATGATCCAATAATACAAAGTGTTTGATGTTTGACTTAAAGAGCCTCATTCTTTGCCCCATCAGTTGATTAATTAAATTACAACAGAAATGCAAAATGAAGACTAAGTGGGGACAAGCAGATCCACCCTTCATATGTTCACACATCTCAGTGGCCTTTTTTTACTATAGTTGTCTTACCACCAACCAGCAAGTTCTACATTTCTGAGGTCCTCCTTCACCCCTCAGTCACTACAGTACAGATAATCCTAGTCAAATTCATCCTAGTCAAATTCATCATGGACTGTTTTCCATGACAATCCCATCAATAAATTTTGCAATGGACCATATAAGTATAAGTTTTTATGAGTAACATTACAAAATAAAATGTCAGGGTTCCGAGTAATGCACCCATTGAAATCAGAACTCCAAGGCAGGTTAACTCAAGGAACATGTTTATTGAATACATCATATTGGCACAGCTGGTGAAAACCAACTCTGACAGTTCCCTCAGTTTTCACTTAATTAAGAGTAAAACTCCCCCCTCCCAGGTGTCACCAGTCAAATTGTCCAATGAAGGTGGAAGGCAGGCTCTTCTCCTTTTTCAACAGCCACCTATTTCAATCACTTTGGTTCCCACAGGAAAGCTTTTTGTTTTGACTGTAGCTGGGCTATCTACTTCCCCCTCCTTCCCTCTCTCAGGTTTCATGGCAGCTATGAGGCAGCACAAGATGGCTTCAGCCAGGTTCTCTTCAGAGTTAACATAAAACACAGAGTACGATAGTAAAATACATACACATATTATCATTCATCTTCAAAATATGCTATTTATATATTTATTTATTTATTTATTTATTTAGAATTTGTATACCGCCCTTCTCCCTGAGGACTCAGGGCGGTGAACAGCCAAGTAAAAACATCAAGTACAAATATTAAAATACAGTTAAAATATACATATATAAATTTGGCCCCATTAATTAAAAACAATAAACAAAACACTTAAAAACACTTAAAAAATTAGGCCAGCCCGGCTTGCTGGAAAAGGAAGGTTTTAAGGGCACGGCGGAAGGCACTGAGGTCTTGGATTCTCCTTATCTCTGGGGGCAGCTGATTCCAGAGGGTAGGTGCCCCCACAGAGAAGGCCCTCCCCCTGGGGGTCACCAGCCTGCACTGTTTGGCTGATGGCACCCCAAGGAGGCCCTCTCTGTGGGAGCGCACGGGTCGATGGGAGGTCGTCGGTGGCAGCAGGCGGTCTCGAAGATAGCTAGGCCCTATGCCATGGAGCGCTTTAAAGGTGATAACCAACACCTTGAAGCACACCCGGAACACCACTGGGAGCCAGTGCAGCTCGCGCAGGAGCGGTGTTACATGGGAGCGCCAGGCTGCTCCCGTCACTACCCGCGCTGCTGCATTCTGGACCAGTTGGAGCCTCCGGGTGCTCCTCAAGGGGAGCCCCATGTAGAGAGCGTTACAGTAGTCAAGGCGAGAGGTGACGAGGGCATGAGTGACTGTGCACAGGGAATCCCGATCAAGAAAGGGCCGCAACTGGCGGATCAGGCGAACCTGACAAAAGGTCCCCCTGGTTACAGCCGTCAGATGTTCCTCCAAGGACAGCTGCCTATCCAGGAGGATTCCCAGATTGCGAGCCCTCTCTGTGGGGGCCAACGACTCGCCCCCAATAGTCAGTGATGGAGTCAACTGACTATATCGGGATGCCGGGAGCCACAGCCACTCAGTCTTGGAAGGGTTGAGCCTGAGCCTGTTCCTCCCCATCCAGATCCGCACAGCCTCCAGGCACTGGGACATCACTTCAAGGGCATCGTTGGGGTGGCCTGGGGTGGAGATGTACAGCTGGGTGTCATCAGCGACTATCTTCTTACTGTGTTTCAATGTTCCCTGATTAACATTTCTTAACCCAGATAGTGTAATTAAGGTTTGACACACTTCACTGCAGTGGCTTCATACCAGGGCCTTCTCAGTAATGAAATTATCTGATAATATTTCTGACATTGTGTCTCTTGAGGGTCTTGAGTTTAATGGCTTGTAATTGTAAACATTTAATTCACAACCTTTGTTTTCTTCATAGGCCCCAGGATACAAAACAAAAAATAACAAGTTAGCATCTGAAAGTTTGAATTCCAGAGACCATGAAGGTTTGTGATTTTTTTAAAAAAATGCATTTTTAGTAATGTCTGGGCAGCTTACATACTTTTATGTGGCTCATTAAAACTTAGAATCAGTCCTTCATATGAGATTTATTTGCCTTTGCTAAATTAAAATATGTAATTTAAATTATGGGCAATTTTTTTGCAGCGATATTCAGGCTTATTATGTAGGGTACCATGTGCTATGCTTTTTATTGATTATTATGTGCCATCCTGTTGATGTCAACTCATATACTGTATATATAAACAGACTTCAAATTCTGGACTTAGAAAACTTAGAACTATGCCGCCTTCGGTATGACCTAAGCGTAGCTCATAAAATTATCTGCTACAATGTCCTACCTGTCAATGACTACTTCAGCTTCAACCACAACAGTACATGAGCACACAATAGATACAAGCTAAAGGTAAACCGCTCCAAACTCAATTGCAGACAATATGACTTCAGCAACAGAGTGGTCAATGCCTGGAATGCACTATCTGACTCTATGGTTTCATCCCCAAACCCCCCAAATTTTAACCTAAGACCGGTTACTATTGACCTCACCCCATTCCTAAGAGGTCTGTAAGGGGTCTGCATAAGAGCACCAGCGTGCCTACCGTCCCTGTCCTAATGTTTCCTCTATTTGTATCTATTTTATTTATTTGTTTGTTTATTTATTTATTTATTTATTTAATTAATTAATTAATTAATTAATTAATTAATTAATTAATTTTTATACCGCCCTTCTCCCGAAGGACTCAGGGCGGTGAACAGTTAAAATAACATACATATAAAATGTGAATATAAGATGATTAAGCCAATTTGGTTCATCGGTTAAGAATCTTCAGCATAAAGATTTAGAACAATTAGAAGAGATTTATGCCAGCCCGGCTTGGTGAAATAGAAAGGTCTTAAGTGCACGACGGAAAGTACAAAGATCTGGGATCATTGGTATCCCTGGGGGTAACCTGTTCCAAAGGGTAGGTGCCCCCACAGAAAAGGCTCTTTCTCTGGGAACCACCAGTCAACATTGCTTTAGTGACAGCATCCTGAGGAGGCCCACCCTGTGGGAGTGTGCTGGTTGGTGGGAGGTTATTGGTTGCAGAAGGTGGTCTCGTAGATACCCAGGTCCTAAGCCATGAAGCACTTTAAAGGTAAGAACCAACACCTTGAAGCGCACTCGGAAGACCACTGGGAGCCAGTGCAGCTCGCGTAGGAGAGGTGTTACATGTGAGCGCCATGTCACTCCCAATATCACCCACGCAGCTGCATTCTGGACCAGTTGGAGCCTCCGCGTGCACCTCAAGGGGAGCCCCATGTAGAGAACATTACAGTAGTACAGATGGGAAATGACAAGAGCATGAGTGACTGTGCGTAAGGAGTCCTGATCTAGAAAGGGTCACAACTGGCGAATCAGGCAAACCTGATAGAAAGCTCCCCTGGCCACGGCTGTCATATGCTCTTCTAAAGACAGCCGCGTGTCCAGGAAGACACCTAAGTTGCGAGCCCTCTCCGTGGGGACCAATGACTCACCCTCAATAGTCAGCGATGGTATCAGCTGGCTATATCGGGACGCCGGCAGCCACAGCCACTTGGTCTTGGAAGGGTTGAGTCGGAGCCTGTTTCTCCCCATCCAGATCCACACGGCTTCGAGGCACCGGGACATCACTGCAAGGGCATCATTGGGGTGGTCTGGGGTGGAGATGTACAGCTGAGTATCATCAACGTAAAGATGGCACTGCACCCCAAAACCACAGATGAGCTCACCCAGCGGCTTCACATAAATGTTGAACAGAAGAGGTGAGAGGACCGACCCCTGCGGCACCCCAAAAATAAGGTGTCTTGAAGTCGACCTCTGCCCTCCTGCCAACACAGACTACGACCGGTCAGAGAGATAGGAAGAGAACCACCATAGAACAGTGCCTCCCACTCCTAGCCCCTCCAGCCGGTGCAGCAAGATACCATGGTCAATGGTGTCAAAAGCCGCTGAGAGATCTAATAGAACCAGGATAGAGGAGCAACCCCTATCTCGAGCTCTCCAGAGATCATCAACCAATGCGACCAATGCCGTTTCAGTGCTGTAACCAGGCCTGAAGCCGGACTGGAATGGATCTAAGTAGACAGTTTCATCCAGGTACTGCGGGAGTTGCTGTGCCACCACACTCTCAACAACCTTTGCCACAAAGCGAAGGTTGGAGACAGGACGGTAGTTTGCTAGAATAGCCGGGTCCAGAGAGGGCTTCTTGAGGAGGGGTCTCACCACCGCCTCTTTCAAGGCAGAAGGCAAGAAACCCTCACACAGAGAAGCGTTTATAATACTCTGGAGCCAGCCTCGTGTAACCTCTCGGGAAGCCAGTACCAACCAGGAGGGACACGGGTCCAATAAACATGTGGTTGCGTTCAACTTCCCCAGTAACCTGTCCACATCTTCAGGGGTCACAGAGTCAAACGCATCCTAAATAACATCCTCAAGACTCGCCTCCATCACTTCGTCTGAACTTACCCAGTCAGAGTCCAAGTCTTCCCGAATTTGAGCGATTTTATCGTGTAGATATTGTGCAAAATCCTCAACTTGACCTTGCAAGGGGTCTTCCCGTGCTCCCAGATGGAGGAGGGAGCGGGTCACCGTAAACAAGGTGGCTGGGCGATTATCTGCCGATGCAATAATAGCGGAAAAATAGTTATATTTTGCCGCTGCTATCGCCACTAAGTAGGTCTTAATATATGATCTCACTAGTGTTCGGTCAGATTCGGAACGACTGGCTCTCCAACTACTCTCTAAGCGTCTTTTCCAGCGTTTCATTTCCCTCAACTGTATGTATGTATGTATTTATGTATCCAATCCATGCTTATACTTACATTCTTGACAAAATAAATAAATAAATCTTCTTCAGGATGATCTGTCCCCAGCTTAGTCTTTCAGGTACAACAGTGCACCCATCGCTGTTGTTATTGACCTTTCACTCCCCAATCCATCCCTTCCTGTATTTTGCCACTCTTAAAGCTTGTCCTGTACACCACTGAATTCCACTTTAAGTAACCTTACATTCCTTTCATGAACGCTGTTTCTACAGGTGCTTTAGGAACAGGACCTCTTCTAACATGGAAGCTCAGTGGAATCTTTGAGGAAGAAGGAGGACAACCACAAAATCCATCTTTTTCTTCCCCATAAAGATATGGAACATTTTAACTGAAGTTTATCTCTCTTTTTTTTAAGGCAGAAGCTGCAATTAATTTCCTCAAAACTGTTTAACTTTATAGTATCCCTATCAACATAAATGCAATGCTAAATGTAACATATTTAGTAAATATCCAGTGTTTATATGCTAAATATTTTTGTTGCTTAGTTGTAAGTCAAGTCCATGTATTACAGGTAGTCCTCAACTTATGACTATTTGCTTGGTGAGTGTTCAAAGTTACAGCAGCACTGACATATGACGGGTCCTTGCACTTACAATAGTTGTAGCATCCTACAGTCATGTGTTTGCCATTTGCTATCTCCCCAGCCATTTTCTAATCAGCAAAGTTAATGGGGATGCCAGCAGGAGATCGCAAGTAATGGTCATGTGATGTCTCAATGATCATGGGTGATTCACTTAACGACTGTGGCAAAATGGTTGTAAAATCCAGTGCAGTCACATGATGCCTCACTTAATGACAGTACTGTTTAACAAGAAATTTGTAAGTGTAGGATTAACTGTATTGATAAACTACCCCAAAATTAAAAAGGCATCAGGGTGACATACTGCATATGATCAATAATATAACAATATTTCAAATGTAGTAATTGGAAAATCAGACTGTAGACCCCAGAAACCTATCCAAAACCTATAATGATGTTTCATAGTTGTCCTTTTCTAATCCTATCTCCACCATTAATGGCATCAATTACATTTTTTAAAAAATTGTCACTGAAAGCAAAATGACTTCAAAATTAAACGCAACTTTTCTTAAAGTTTCTTTTAAAGAACGTGACTGTAAATATCAAGCTGCCTTTAGGAAGAAATATGTTTGCTGTTATCTTTAAATACATAAGTTTCATAGAATAGAGACACTGAAACACAAATATAATTGTTAGTTCTGTATACGGCTTATCTTTCTATCTATGGGGACATTTAGGTTTAAACTAAATAACTCCACAATCAAAATTAGGCTTCAAAATACTTTATACACTTGATGCAAATTGGCAGTAATGCATGCATGCCCATTCACAAGACATAACCTGGCTGCAACAGAAAACCATGCCTTAGATGATCAACCTCATTTTCACTAGTTTTGAAGCAGCTCAGGTCTAATGAAATGGACTTTCTCTCTTAACTACACAATTAAAGCCACAATTACCTTCAAATAGAGGAGCATAGTATGAGCTCTAAGTGGCAGGGTTTTACAATGGTTTAGCATTCCCTACTTCCTTATGCTCTGGCAGATGGTGTCCTTTAATGCTCAAGTGTATTTCTGCTCTGGGTATAATCTATGTACTCTGAACCATCTTCTTTTCTATGCACAATTAGGCATTACAGCTTGTCTAAGCAGTAAAGTGGCAATTGCTTTCTAAAGATGGTTACCTCTTGGAGCCTATCTCTCTAAAACAGGGGTGTCAAACTCGATTTCATTGAAGGCCGCATCAGGGTTGTGTTTCACCTCAGAGGGCCAGGGTGGCCGTGGCCTGGGTGGGTGTGGCCTGCTCGACATCACTCGTGTTGGGGGCTCCTGTGGCTCTGCCAGTGAAAACGAGCTCCCAAGCTCCGTTTCTGGCTATGACAGCCTCCTGCAGCCTTCTGCCAGTGAAAACGGAGCTTCACTTTTTCCAGGGTGGCCCTGCAGGCCCAATCTAAGCACTCCGCAGGCCAGATCTAGCCCACCGGCCTTGAATTTGACACCCCTGCTCTAAAAAGTAAACTTCACTGGACATTCTCTAGTGTCAAGAAAAAATTATTCTTGGGACCCTTTGTATATGCTGTTGATACTTTGGGGGTTATATTAAGAAGATACTGATATCCCTTTGCTGCATTTTAGTGGTTGCCCTGATTTAGTAGCTCTAGTTTGCTGCATAAAGTAAGAAGTTGGGCTTGGTGTGTTCCCACTGCAGATGTTAAGATATAACCATGAGTTACTCTCTTATGGGACACATCTAGAGGTACAGTACCCTGCTTCATATATGTCAAGCACCCATGTTGGCTATGTACTTACAATTCCTTATTAATGTTAAATTTTGGTTGGCTGGTTGGTTTCGGAGCTATTTTCTGAGTGTTTATTCATACCAGTTTCTATTCAAATGGCAGAAGTAATGTTTACATTTTAAACATGAATTAATTGTTCCTAAGCATAACTTATCATGGGCCAGTATTAATTATAGAATATTTGGAGAATATTTTGTATTTCAATAAAGTCATTAAATATGTTTCTGTATCCCTAGTTAAATAATTTGTTCTATTTCATCTGAAAAAGGTATCTATTTTTCCATCTCACATGGTTATTTAGAAGAATGAATGTTTTTTTAGATATCGTAGCAACATGGAAATATTTTTAACATCTTAGAGATTTAGATTCTGGCTTTTTTTTTTCAAATCATGTTTCTCAATGTAGTAAAGCAAGTAACTACTAGCTTTGTTCATTTGTTAAATATTGTTTATATCATAACCAACTTCGGTGGCATTGTAGGAAAATGCATTAGAACTTGAGAAAAAAAATTCTAAAAGAAAAATGTCAATCCTTCCATAATTCCAATTTTCATTGTCTTTTAATTTAGCCTAATATTTTAAAGAACAGTTTTTCAAAGCCAGATTACTTTAATAGCAAACGTTTTTTACTTATCTGCTATAATTGGTATATCATTCTGGGGGGGGGGGAAGCGAATCTAAGTCAAAATTTCCCAAGCATTCCTATTCTTTTTAAAATAAATATTGCAGAAAGATCAACAGAGTGAATTTATTTTGTTATAATTTGCAGTACACAATTAAAGTTATTTGACAAAGTACTTGGAACAGTTTAGTAGGAAATAAGACAGAGATGAGAGAGATACAATTACAGATGAGAAGAACATTTCCAAAGTAATATTAAGAATCCTGCGCTGTTCAAGGAACTGCTAGTTGTATGCAGACTTATAATTGCATGCAAAATTTAGGTACTGCTGGTCGACATATGTTTCAAGAATACATAAGGGAATAGAAGCTGACACAATCTCTACATTGTACAAAATTAACCATGACATGTTTCTGCATATTTGAATGCATACTTAAGTATTTTGTACCATTATTTACCAAATGAAAATAAGAAAATTGTTAATATGGCAGATACAGACATTTGGGCACCATTCTAACTGATTCGATGCTACTTTTTCTAAAACTGTAAAGTTGTTAATGAGATAATCAGAAAGTGGTTAATTTGTCAGGTGTATTGTATATTTAGCTACCAATTCCACAGGTGAAAAATATTCTGACTTTTCTAACCTGTCAGGTTATAAATGTTCTATTTATTTTTACCAACTAAGGGCTCTAAGCAGGGATCTGAGTGTGTGCAAATGAAGATAATTCTCATTACAAGGAAGAGGAGGATTATACCAAAATCTTGAAGTGCTTTCAGATAATGCTTTCCAGCTAAAAATACTATTAAGATACAGAAGTTACTGCATTTTTTGGAGTATAAGACGCTCCGGAGTATAAGATGCACATTAGTTTTTCGGGAAGAAAAAAAAAAAACCCCTCTGCCTCTGTCTACCAGCATCCATCTGTATTCATCTGGCTAGCGTCCTTGCAGCAAACAGCCTGGTAAGCTTCAGCACGTTATTGCAGCCTGATTTAGCACAAACAGCTGATTGGCGGTTGGATTGGCCTCCCAGAATACCGCCAATCAGCTGTTCCAGGCTGCAGGGATCACCAGAGCCCATAGCCGCCTCCGCATGTCGCGTTTTTGGCCGATTCCAGGAGGCGGGGATCAAAAACGCGATGTATGGAAGCTGAAAATGGCCCAAGGGTGGGGGCTGGCAGGTGGACAGGGCTTTGGTAACATTCAGTGTATAAGACACACCGCAATTTTCACCCACTTTTTTTGGGGGGGAGTGCGTCTTATACTCCGAAAACTATGGTATATGGAATTGTTGATATCAAGGTGAGAACTGGAAGCCCAAGCAAAATCTCTGCTAGAGCATTTCGAAAACTGTTCAGATCTGCACTGAACTCACAATCACAAGAAATAATTTAAGAATTATTTCAGAATTTATTTTATGCATACACAATTAGCAAAACAATCTTTAATCTTAAAATAAAAAAATAGAAAAGAGCAAAACCCGAACAAGGAAGAGAAAAGAAAAAAGAAAGAAAGAATCTATTATATGTTACACTTATCAATAACCACTGGTTTACAAAGACCTGCTGGAAGGTTAAGCTATCTCTGGAGTAGCTGCTCTACATAACAGCACTGAATATACAATGGTTATCTTTATGGAAGAAGGAAAACCTTTTTACTAAAATTATCACAAAAGTCAGCATCTCACATATCAAAAGAAAACCTTGATAAGCCTAAAATATCAGCCATACCAACATGGGATGAATTTGGACAAAATGGTGAAGCGTTTGAAGAAAAGAACACATTGTTGACACAGGGATGGCTCTATTATATTTTGGAGTTGTGTTGCAGCTGGAAGCACAGCAAATATTGGACAGGTGGAAAGAAAAGATGGATTGAAGTAAATGTCAATAAATTTTAGAAACTACATTCAGTTAGAAATTTTAGCAAGGAAATTATCTAAAATTATCTCCAAATCAGGCATGATCTCTTGAAGGGGAAAAAAGGGGACAGTTCCCAGAACTGAATAATATTGACAATCAATCGTGTAACGCACAAGAGATATATTTCTGAATTCTGCAAGGAAGAGTAGGAAAAACACTCTAAAAACAAGACTAGACAAACTATTAGCTATTTGGAAGCTATTCTGACAAAGGTGATGCTACAGTTACTGATTAAAAAGATGTCCAAACTTTTCCTTATTTTGGCTTGGTAAACATTTGCACATAAATATTTAAGTATGCAATTGAATTTTGTAGAAAGTCATTGTGTTTAACTTTGTACTATGTAGAAGTTATGTCAGCTTCTGAACACTGAAATATGACACTGAAATATTAAATTTGATAAGCAGTACCTAAACTTTTGCATAATACTCTATCTACTTGGTCATGGAACTAGGGCTGCTATTTTATGAGATTTAGAGTAGGTTGATGTATGTATATTCCTCATTTAGCAAATGCAAGCGAATATGATGGCCTGCAGAGCTAGAATAGCCATCACCCAAGACTCACTGTATTTTGAAACCACATCGCAACTGCACAAGTAAATGTATTATCTGGAGGTCTACCTACTTTTGTATCTTGGAGCTTTCACATCACAAACACACAGGAAGCAACAAGTCTCTAATTTTTTTCTGTTGAGGAACTGGCATTTTCATTCATCTTTATCCCGAAATCTCTGGCCAGATGTTGGGGGCAAAAAAGAGATGCTATATGCATCTGCCAAACACATATTAACGTAATGTGTATTTGAAGGAACCCCAATCAGGTCAATTGGCGATAATGGCACCTGCTCATTAAATATTATATAGAAAACAATGTCATATCTTTCCTATAATGGGAATTTAGAAAATTTGCATCAAGGTGCCAGCCCCTTACCAACTGTTAATCCTCTATACTAACCAATTGGTATAGTAACTGCAGACACATCTAGGACAATCAAATTAATCCAAAATATTAAAGAAATATTACAACAACACTCCTTACTAGCACTGGTGATGTTACTTAGTTGGGGTAATGAAATGTCTACAAGAAAACAAGCAAGCTCGGAGAGCAAGAAGGACCCCTCAAACATTATTTTAAAAGATGGTCATCTGTTTTAGCCTTAGCTATGATTGAGGTGCTCAACACAGTCTATAAGTTTTACAAGACAGTACAACTGTAGAGGATTCTGGGTTTGGCTACAGCAGCAATATTAAGCAGCTTTTCCTCATTCTCTCTCGCTTTGAAAGCTACTTTTCCTATCAATATTTCTCCATGCTGCATTTCCACACATAAAGGTTATTGTCATTCTTAATTAGAAGCAAAACAGTTGGGGACTGTCAATGGAGTCATAGTTTCCATGCAAAAAATGAAACAACTTTCTCTCTTAATTGCTATTCCGAAAAAATTTCAACCTCCCTCTCAAATTTCAACATAAAAACACTGCTGATGTCCTGCAATGCCTTTAACTTAGCCTCCCACTGAAACCAAAGGCACAAATGAATCAAGGAAACAAGCTGGGTTTGATCCGTGATGAACATATATGCAAGTCAAGTCCTTCAAGTCAAACTCAGCTTCTGGTGATATCATGTAATCTTTTGTAGCAGCAATATGGAAGTGGTTTGCCCTTCCCGCACCTTCCTAGTCCTGGTATTCCCTGATTCCCATCCAATATTAATTAGGTGTTATTCTGATTAGATTGAGATCAATCAAAGTCAACTAGACCTTGCCACCTAGCTGCATAGATATCTGGCATATGCCTCTGAATTATCTAATACACTATGAAAGTTAATATCAGTTACATTCAGTGGTGGGTTGCCCCCAGTTCACACTGGTTCTATAGAACCGGTAGTAAAACCGGCGGGAGGCTCCTCCCACCGACCCCATCAAAACACTTCTGTGCATGCGCAGAAGAGTGCGCGCGAGCAAGCGAAGCTGCCGCGCATGTGCGGCCCCACTCCAAACTGGTAGTAAAGGTAAGTAGAACCCACCCTGGTTACATTGGTAGATGGAGAGATCTTTATGGATTTAACATATGAATAAATATTTTCTTGCATAACCAATTTAAACAGAGCTTTTACAAATCTACAGCCTTTGGAGGCTTTTCATGAGACCCACCAGAAGTTCTTCTGTGCAAGCCTGATGCTTTGAAGGAAGAGAAAGAAAGAGCAAGATTGTGATAGGGCAAGTGATGCATATTCCTTTCCATCGCAACTGCCCATCAAGCAGCTCTTTCACAAGCTGAAGAAAACACAGCTTAAATGAAAAAAAATAAAAATGGTATGCAGGATGTTAAATAAATTCTAATTTCAAAACGGGGAAGAAAAATCCCAGATGCAATCCAATTTTAGCAAACAGGAACAATTTTGAAAACTAACTGGCTGTTCACACTTGTATTCCACTCTTGAGCATATATTTTCACCTAATGATTGTGTATATAATGGAACATAATCTTATCTTCTGCCACATGATTGGAGGATTTTGTGGGTAGAGACATGGGCTTCTAGGCTCTCCAAGTTTTATCTATGGACAAAAAAAACTCCCAACCATTTGCATGATTTCTGATTTCTTGAACTTTATAGCCAAACCAAAAGGATACAAACATCCATTTGGATTCAAAGCCCCCTAAGTGGATTTACACTAATGACTTGGCTTGCATTTCCTTTTTTACTTTCTTCTGCTACCTTTATAATTTGGAAAAGTTATTACTGGTAGTGAGATTGCCTATGGAATGGAAAGGAGCAGAAATCCTTACTGCAAGCTGAAGAGCTTTCACTGGTGAAATATATTTTTGATTTTGACAAATCTGATCTTGTTGATTATCTTGATGGGGTAGACAATAGACCGAGTTTAGCCTAAAGCTGTCAAAGCTGCCTACATTTGAACTGCTGCATTAGGGTCTGAGAATGGTACTTGCACATGGGAATACATAAACTGATGATCTCAATAATCTTAAATATAGTAAGAATATTGCTTAGATTTATTAATATGTTTTCTTTTTTACACCCATTCTGGTCAAAACATAGTAGCCAATGTAAACTCAGCTCATTCTTCTTTTTAAATTCTTATTTGAAGATTTAAAAACCAGAGCTAAGAAACGGAATTTACTCTAATAAAGGAAAGAAACTCTCTCCTAGTGAGTTCTGTAATTTTTTTTTTATTAAGTGACATTTCTTAATTTCTATAAAGATCCCAAAACGGTGATAACACCAAGATTTGTTATTGCTTACATTAGGTTATTTTGCAACATCAACCAAAGGCAATTTAAAACTGTCTGAAAGAAATAACTTGCTGCAAGTATTTTAATTACTGTTAAGGAAATCCTGCCGAAAAGAAAAGCCCCCAAAACCTGAATTTGGGAGATTAGCAACAAGAAAAGATCTATTAGATTAGGAGAGAGAGAAAAACCTTGAACACTTTGAAGTTAAACAATTTGAAGCAGCATGATGTAACAAGAAATGCCAGGGTTCTGCCATTTCATCAGGATTCAGGAAAAAATCTACTTAATCCATATTCATTTCAGAGATGCATAGAAGGACAACACAGGTCCCTATATTCAAATTCAACTTTGCTGGCATAATTCATGGAGTTCACTTCTCTGATGGCTCCAGCCATAAATATCTGCATATATAAATCTCTGTGAATTATATTTCACTTTGACTGAGAAATACAGTTGACTAATACAGTTATGACAAAAAAATTAAACATGAATTGTCTGAAGGAAACTGTTTTGTAAAAAAGAAAAAAAAAGCAGTTTAAAAAAGAAGACAAATACACACATGCACAACTGCTTAAAAGTGCATCAAACCGTTTCAGTTCTGAATTGCTAAAGCACTTCAGGCTCAAGTTTTTCTATATTCAGTATATGACACCCGATCTACCTTAAGACACATTTTCCCAAAATGCTTGTTTGCAAGTGATGTTGAAGGGTTATCTTTCACCTTTATAGGAGTCTACTTTAATTTCTGTACATTAAAAGTTAAGAACATTAAGGCCTCACAGTTCTAGTTAGCCTAGTGTAAAGAAAACACGGCTTCTTCTACTTTGTGGAAACTCATTTTTCCAGATAGTATCTGGGAACTGTGTTACAGAAGATAAAACGCCATTTTGGGTAGTTCTAAACTACATATTGGTAGTATGTTATGCTACATCAGGGATGGTGGTCTCTAATTCTCCAATCACTGCTGGACTTATACCCCATAGCACTGACTATGAGTTGGGGTTGACAGATGTTGGAACCCAGCACGATAGGAGAATCGTAGATTTACCATTTCTGCTCTATATTACAGTATTATTTGTATTATCATATGCTGGCCTAAAGCAAACAACATACTTGACTGAAAGAAAAATTTAGATCTTGAGAATGAATGAGCTGACTACACAAATTAAGACATCAAAAGTACAAACTAAAAATCGACACATTAATAAAATCAATTTATATTAAACATCTCTACATGATTATGGAATGTTAAAAGTTCCGCTGTACTCAGAAGGTGCAAAATAACTATTTATTTCAACAAGTTCTGCAGCATAGCAGTTGCATAAGTCGGCCGAGCTTGTTTGCTCTCAATTGCATTTTGAAGATACTGGATTCCACCACAGCGTTCCCAAATCTCTTCAAACTGCCGTGGCAAAATTTCAGCACCTCGCTTACGAGTCAGGCCAGTTTCTTCAAGGTTCAGCTCACACATCTCCATGTCATCCTTGCCTGGAATGAAGGAAACCCCAGATTTTACAAAAGTTATAATGCAAGCCTACCTTTTTTAGTTTTGGACACATGCAAAATTGAGAACAAAACTATAGCAAGCGCTAGGTTCTTTCCCAAACGTATTGTCTTTAGAGGAAAAGACCTACAACTATCCAAATTCTTGTAATTCTTGTTTAATCCTCCAATCACCTATATTTCAAATACTTGGAATCTTTGAGACCCATAATGCAAGAGGAAATGTGAATCGATAAAATAAGTTGTAACCAACTTTGCATCGCAATCAGTTTTGATAGCAGGAAATAATAACAACCTTATTATTGCAGAGATGAACATGCATTTCATATCAAGAAAGACATTGATTTTATATGTTTATCATGTTTTATGTTTATGTTTTATGTTTATAATATGTAAATTTCCAAAGGCGTAATTTTGGAGTATCAAAACCCAACACATAAACAAATGTTAATCTACTACTTACTACTTCTCTCAAGGGAGAAGCTGGAAAATTAATTAATTAATCATTCATTCATTCATTCATTCATTCATTCATTCATTCATTCATTCGCTGTTCATCTCATTATCCAAAGGAACTTGAGCTTTGTTTATTTTTCAGATTCTTCTGAAAGTGAAGACAATCTTTTTAAATAAGACAATATTTTGCTTTGCAGTATAATTCAGATCTTGATTTACCGTTAGTACATCTTCTCAATAAACAAAGCCTACCTTTCCAACTTTATTTAAAAAAACGAAAATGAAACACATACTAACCAGCTACTAGCAAAATGGGTTGCTTATCAGGATGAAGTTCCATTTGACGAGCAATCCATGGTCCATCAAAGTGAGCATACCACCAGCCTTTTTTCTTATTCTGTGGATCCTTGTATTGATCTGCTGGGCGGATGAAAGGAATTCGAAAATATCGCTGTTGGCGGTTCATTTCGATCTCTTGCTGCTGTCTAACGGACAACTGACTTGCTGGATTCTGCTGAGCTGTAAGGAATAATTACAGTTAAAATTTGTAGCCAAGATCAAAACCAGTCTTCATTACCATCACCTTTTTTAAAAAGTCTGTGCAGAAAAGTAGGACAAGTTTGAAAATACAAAGACAAAATAGTGAAAGAAGATCTTGCATTGCCCACAACATTTTTTGAAATAACATGGATTTCGTTTCAGCCATGGAAACAAATGTTTGACCGTGGATCCCAGCTGAGGAATCTAATCAATGAAGCTAAGTGTGCTGGACAAATGAAGAAGGAGCATTCCAAATTATTAAAAGTACACTATAATCCCAATGGCAAAGGTCCAATAAATACGTTTTTACAATTTTTGAAGTGTAAGCCACTCAGAATCATTGACTCAGATGGGTGACTATGGAAATTGAATGAATGAATCAATGTCTATGTAACACAGTGCTGGAATATAATTCTCAAAGCATATTTTTTTTTGCAAAGAAAATTGCCTCCCAACCTGGGAAAAAAGCAAAGTGAAAGGATGTGAAAAAAAATAAGATATCGTTATAGATGGAGAAAAAAGAACCACTTGAGTCATTTGCAGACTGTTAAGATGTTTAATTTAATAGCTGGAACAGTAAAGTGTGTGATGGGCCAGAAAGCACAGTTGTAGTTGATTGGTTGGAGAGTGTTGGTTCTTGTATGAGGTAATCTATGTTATGATTGGTTGCTGTGGGTGTAAAGGAGGAGTTTCCCTTTTCCCCCGTCCTTTTCTTCTGTGTGCTCTGTATGCTCCGGGATTTACCTGACAATTTACTTCATGATATTAGTGTGTGCCTGACTATCTTGTATGCTGTATAGATATTAAATATATTTATTCATATAAAGCTACAAGTTCATGTCAGTGTCTCCGACTTCATTTGTACACCTGCTGCGCAATTCCCTGACACAGACTCACGTTAAAAACGTTTCTGACTTTTCAGGTTTCAAGTATGAGATTTCAAATGCAAGGTTGTTGTGGACAATTGCAGAGAAAGCAGTTCAGTTACTCATGAGAGGACACTTTTCTTTCTATTCCAGTTTATGGAAGGAATTAACAATGAATAATTTTAACTACAAGTTAAATAATTATAAATAAAAAATCTGGTTTTAGTTGAATAAAGAGGAATGAAGCTACAATCACATCAAATGTGTTTATTTCTAGATAAGCTGTTGATTACTGGAACAGGAAAAAAAATGTTCAAAATATTGTGTTTATACATACAGAAGTAGCCGTTGTTTATCCTGCTATAAAAGGCAATATCTGTTAAAGTATTTCTCATCGTTAATATCAGTAGACATTAAAGCAGCTCATCCATGAAAAGCAAATGGGTAAAAAAAGACCTTTTTCATATTAACCAGCCTTCAGTCATAATTATGTATCATTTGACACGACAAACATAAGCAAAAGCCCACATACTTTTATTTGTTTTAAAAAAATTGTTTTAAAAAAGTGAAATTGGTTTTCAATTGATGAATCGATTCGCCAGGCAATTCATCATTTTCAAGACATCCTCTTGCTGCATTCTGCAGCTAATGGAGACTGGCTACCCATCGCCTGAATTAACATATAGGACAGTGTCCATCTTGAGCTCTTTGTCTGGTATGTAGAGGTCTTTTTTCCTCATTCTCATGCACAGCTGCCCTCACCCAAAAGATAATCAACATAGTGAAGAAAAGCGCTTTCCTCACAACAAAGGTAATTATTTTCTCTCCCTAAAACAAGTTCCTAAGTGTTAGGCTTTGTTCCAAATGTTAGTTGATTAGTACCAGTTTCAATGTTTTGCTACAAGGGGAACGTATTTTCTCTTGGCAGAAGAAAGGAATTAAAATTAAACCAGTATACACATTTTTATTGAAATAAATTATTTGTTTCTGTAAATAATGCCAAAATTCTTAAGAGAGTGTGAACATTCCTGCTGTCCAATATCTTTACCAACAATTCTTTAATTATATTTAAAACAGACTGTATGAATGTTTCTAAAGAACAAATATAACTGTAGCAAAACACAATTGTGTTAGTGAAGTGGCTTCTATTTCCTCCCCTTTTTTCTAATTAGATGAAATAACCTCCCACTTACTTGAGTTGTTCAAAAATGGTGCAAAATCTGAAAATAAAATTTAATACTGAGCATGCAAGAGAAAATGAGACCATTGGTCAATGGGGAAAACTTCCTTTTTGGGTGTCCAATAAGTTATGTCTTGATGGCCATGATTGGCCATCCCTTGGAATGGCTTCAACATAAGAAATCAATGGAAGAGGACAAGAGCACTGTTTTTAGTTAAATGTATGCAAAGCACAAAAAGGGCTTCAATTTATTTTTTTTAAAGAAAAGGAATTTTGCCAATATCAAATATGGAGGGGCATAATAATTCCATCATTTACATACAATGCCATCATAAACTGCAACCTAAAACATATAATGCCATCTAGGAAAAACTACAAAGGAAGACAATAACTTTAATAACTTACTTCTGGCTGCCTAAGGTGGCCTTTTGTTATCTCAAGGGCTACTAGATATGATGACAATATATTACATCCATTATAGAATGCTTGCAGATTTCCTACAGGTCTGTAAGTGGGGATAGAATGCTGGATCAGATCAGCCTTGAATTTTAGTTTAGTTTAGTTTATTATATTTATATACCGCCCTTCTCCCGAAGGACTCAGGGTGGTGAACAGCCATGGTAAAAACAATATACAACAAAAATTTAAAAACTTAATTAAAATAATTCAATCATTGGCCGAATTTAAAACACCCAACTAAAATCATTTTAACCAACAGGGCTCTTATAAATGAGTAAAAACAGCCCAGATCCATTTCTCAGAATCCATGCTATATCCTGGTTCCCATTCTCCCAATATTCAGTTTCAGAATCAGAACAATCTGGTCTAGCCACTTGAGATAATTCTCTGCACCCCAAAATCTCACTCTATCTCAGCAACATGTACAACAAAGGTCAAGCCATTTCTTAGAAAAAGTTCATTTGGCTATCCCGTGTATTATCTGATAAAGCCACATGGTTCCTTAATTTGGTTTTCTGGAATAGCACAGCTTCTTCCCCTTTGAAAAACATGGAAGTCTGAGTTAGACACGCAACAACAAACACTCTTCTACTTGAAGAGCATGCTCTGTACCACCTGGTGCCAACTATGATTATGGATGTCACTGTTTCCACAAATCTTTACCACGGTTCCTGCCAAGTGCTGTGGCCCAAGTGACTTTTATTTAAACTATTGTGATAAGAAGAAATTAAAAATCACCTGGCTTGTAGCAAAACAAAGCTACAAACATCTGGATGGTGCTTAGTTAAGCACCAATTACTACTAAATTAGCAATATACTACTATACTTGTTTCTAAATAGGAATACTCTATTACTAGCTTCCTTCACTAATCCATCATATTTAGCCTGGCCTTTTATCTCAGCCCTAGAACTGAAATTATCTCAACCTGCAATCCATCCAATGCTGTTGGGTTAGGATGCTGCCCATGAATTTAGTCAATGCGGTAAAAATAAGCTCCTCAATATTCTCTAGGCACTTTTGCTAACAAGGATACTTTCCTTCCATATACTCACACACTTTTGTATGTGTGTGGGGGAGAGGAGGGGTTAAATTAAGATTTTCCCTTACCGTAATCAGTCACTGATTTGGGAGCCCGCTGTTCCATTTCAGTATTGCGTTTCTTGTTCTTGGCCTTCCAAGCATGATAAACCTTAAGCCGCCTATGAAACTCTTCTCTGCAAGCTGCCAGCAATTCAATATCTTTGATCCAGGAAAAGCACCAGGAGTGGAATAAATGAGAAACAAGTGAAAAAAGCAAATAGATGAATATGTTTATGAATTTGTTGACATGGAAAAAATTAGTTCACAGATCCTTATATTTACAATATGACACACATATATACAGGGTGCATAAACTGGTAATTGTACAAAAAAAAGAAGGAAAATTTTCTAAAGCTTACATTCATAAAATATCCATTTTGTTATTTTCAAATGTTATCTAATTATTCTGCTATTTCAGAGGCCCTTTCAGAGATCAAGAAAAACGAAGGCCTCTTCCAGCTTTTGAGGCTCATAGTCAAAATGTTATGTATGTTCGTATGTTTCTTTCTGAGACATTAGAACCTTTATTTTATTTTGTTGATGTTAAATGAACACATACACATTGTCTAAATATCATATTCCCTTTGAGCCTCGAGCTCAGCCCAATTGATCCTCCCCTTCCTGCTGAATTGATATATATGGTACATGAGGAAAAGAGGGTTTAAATACAGAGAGCATAGCCATTAGATCCCTATCCAATGAGACCTGCGCTAAATTACATGGTGCAGAGAAAGCTGCTGCCTCAGAAGTTAGACAAATCAAACAAAAGTGTATGTTTCGTGATTTTCTATAAAGTCTCTCCACCCCCCCCCAACAAACATACACAAACACACCCTGCCAAGCTCTGAAAAAGTCAATATAGAGATCTCAGGATTTGGGGGCTCTCAATTTCAACCTGATTAATGATTATTCTGCTATTTCAGAGGCCCTTTCAGAGATCAAGAAAAACCAAGGCCTCTTCCAGCTTTTGAGGCTCCCGCTCAAAATCAAAATTATGTGTGTGTTGCTTTGTTTCTTTCTGAGGCTATTTTACAGTCTCTCTGTGTGTGTGTGTTTTTGTGTCCGTGTGTGTATCTGTCTTTGAGTCAGTCTTGACTCCTGGGGACTGCATGCAGTGTTTTTAGCAACACTTTTGAAAATGGTTTGTCACTGTCTTTTTCTTAAACTGAGGGAAAGTAACTAACTCAAAGTCACCCAGCTGGCTTTGTGCCCAAGGTGAGACTAGAACTCACAGTCTCAGAGTTTCTACCCAGTGCTTTTATTACACTAAAATGGCTCTCAGTGAGCCAATATAATATCTACCTGTCTAATTGCTGTCTATTTAGGAACTGAGTAGCTCAGCACCTGCTTTGCCTGCAAAAAGTCCACTGTGTAATCCCCGTCATCTGCAAGGAGGGATGGAAAGCTACTGCCAGACAGCTTGATAATACTGGCTAGACAAACTAATGGATTAATTAGGAATAAGGCATATCCCTATCTTTCCCTAATTACGAGATTTAATATCACATCCAATTTAGTATGAGCATGTTTTCCCTTTTAAAGAAAAATAGGATATGTAGACAGATCTGAACTAGTATCCTACCTTGGGGAAAAGAAAGGACGGTTCGTTGCATTTAAAAGGCCCCTTATTTAATCTGTAGCTGTCAATCTTGAGCTTGCTAGAAACAACTCTGCAAAAGCTAGGAACATCTGATACAAGCTGTATAGGCAGACTACAGCCTTCCAGGTTCTCATCTCCAACACTTCCAGTGACATCTGAACGAGTGAAAGCTTTCAGGTTCATGAATTGCACTCAACTTTAAATGTAAATGGTTGATATTGACAATAGACCAATCAAACTATTTAAAAGTCATTAGCAATAAACATTTTAGATTAAGTTTAAATGTAATGACTTTGCATTATATTCAGTTAATTAACCCTGCTGGTTCTTACATGCGGCTTAGTTTTGAATGCTTCACCCTTTCTTTTCTTTTGACATATGGAGCTGTTTAAAGTAACTTTGCTCAAGGCATTTTCTCCTTTAGAGCTGAATAAAGAATTATTTAGTGATCCAAGGCCTTTTTTTTTTTTTTTAAAGAATGGTATCAATTCATTATATAGGCTTTCAAAACTGTGAGAGAGAGAAAAAAATTTCAAATATTGATGTATCCTGACACACCCTACATTTGAAACAGGACAACACCCACCACAAGAGGTATTGATTGTATCTCGCAGGTCTGCATACTTCCACTTGCTAAGGTCATGCTTTTTAATGCCAGCTGCAGCTTTGGTAGCTTGAACTGAAGGTCCCCTAAACACATCCAAAGAAACAAAAAATATAGAAATATTCAAGAAAGGAACAACTGAGGTCAAGAATGCAAAGTGGAAAGAAGGACTCATCAAAAAAAGGCAGGTGCAAAGATTGGTAACATCCAAGACATGCTTCTTAGGCATATTTATTTAAGAGAAAAGGAAATTTAGATTGCAAATTACTAATTTACAAATTAATCATAAATGTCATCTGAAATTTTAAACAGTTTCCGAAAAAACCAAATGGATACATTATGTGAAGACCTAGTTCTCTATGCAAAGGTCTAATGCTGGGAAACTAAGAATTCTAAATTTAGGAATGTTTGACATTGCATCCCAGTTTTTAAAAAAGAGAGAACAGATTAATTCTCCCTAGAGCAAAATAATAGCAAAACTTTATCAAAAAGTAATTCCTATTCATGCAATTCATAAGTATAATAGTGAATTAGAAAGGAAATGGGTACTAAAGTAATGCAGTGAATGAATCTTGATTAGAATGTATATTTTTTACATAAATGAATTAAATGGAATTTATAAATTAGCTGTCTTTTAATTTATCTTATAGTTATTGAATTTGGTGATTAAACTGATTTCTTTCTGGCAATCGATTACACCCACCTAGATAAGTATTCTGATATTTCTTTGACCATTTGTTCCCTATAAAAACATGAGGAATGTATGTTAGGGAGTTAGGATACAAGATTTAATGCATTATTTTTACAATATTAACGGATAACATAGTATAATAGATACTCTGAATTAACCAGTTTTGTATGTTTAACCTTATAGATATGCAATATTTAAATCACAAGCATTTGCACCTATATATAATTGATCTGACAGACTGATACTCAAATGGAGTGTATTGATTGCATGCTCAAATTGTGATTAATTAGGAAAAATTAAAGTGAATTATTTTGCAAATTGCTTTTAAAGTGAACATTGGAATAATTTTACCCTCCCGCTCTCAATTTTTATAGAATTTCCTAAAAGGGAAAAATGTTTTCATACGCGGTCATTTGACACCTTGTTCCATTGAGTCTGCGAACAGAACATATTTAGGTTAGTCTGAAGTTCTCCTAAATTGGGCACTGATGTACAACATTACAAGATCATCCTGGACACAAAATGATGTTCTTATAAGATCAAGATTATAAGGGGAGGAAGAAAAAAATTTCACTGCGCAAAAATGCTGTCTCATTTTTGATATGACACTTATCTGTCTTTTAGGGTTGCAAGCATAATAAGAATAATAAGTAAGTAAGGCAGTCTAAATGTTAGGTAGGTTTCCACATTACACTAACAAAGAAGGTACTCTGTTTGGGTTTGATATGCATATTGGGTGAATCCGGCCAAACACAATTTAATACAAAAACAAAGTTTTTCTGAACTTGATGTATGAGTCCCAATATTAATTCTTCTTGAAGAGCAATTTATGAGGAACTAAAATGGAATTAATCCACACCAATATGGGCCAGGAAAATTTTCAAATGGCAAATCCTTTCATTGTAGTCTTTATTGCTTGTAGCACAGTATCAAAGGACACTATTTGACCAAAGGTCCAAACTTGGCAACTATGAGACTTGTGGACTTCAACTCCCAGAATTCTCAGAAAGTTGCCGAGTTTCAAGATCCTTGGCTTAGGCTGAACTGGGATGGAGAGGCATAACAAAATTCCTAAAAGAATTTTTCCTTTTTTCCTCTTTCCATAAAGTTCAGAAACTGCTCTCTGAACTATACTCCCAAATCTTTGACAGAACATAGGTAGTACGGATGCCTAACTAACATCTGTTATAGCAGCTTCCCCATATTGGCACTCTCCAGATATTCTCTAAGTCAAATCAAAATATTCAGAATTGCTTACAGCAATGGCTAAAAGCTATCCTTGCTGAGAATCTGAGGAACTGCAACCCCAACATAATCGGCTGGCAGAAAGTTGAGGAAAACTGTGGCATAGAATAGCTTCTAGATTATGAGTGTTCAAATACAGGAAGATATGCAGAATCATGTTACCTTAATTTAATGACAGTGTTCTCATTATCGTCATCATTATTATACAACTTATTATACAACTGCCTTTTCCAGCAGCAGCATAACCAATGAAGTACAATACCTGCGCAAACTTGGGTCCAGCTGAGCCTCATCGTTGATGAGCTCAGATTCGCTTTGAGCAATTCGCAAAGCCAGCTCGTGATCTCTGCGCTCTTGTTCGAGAATGGTTTGCTGCTGACTCGCTTCTTCACGTTCTTTGGCCAGCTGAGCCTCAACTTCAGCCTGCAGAGCCATGAAAAAGATAATTTAATCAAAATGTCTATTTTTCCATTGATACTGAACAGAAGGACTGTCTAGCTAGATCCAATACAGCATGCTAGAAGCCATGCCAGCTAGGATTTTTAGAACTAGTACTGTGAGAACATCTTAAGAAATACCAGCTTGTGGTTTGCAATTAAAATTGAACCCAATTATGTGCAAATGGTTACTGCTATTCAGTCATAATTCATTACAACCAACAGATGAAGCAAACGAAGGTTCAAACAATCTTAAAAGGTAAAGTCTCCGTCAAGTTAATTTTAACTCCTTCATTAAAAAGAAAAAAAAAACTTCTTCGTGAAAATAATCTGCCATTGTCTTCTGTTTTTTCTTTTCTTTTGTATTGTAGCCTTGCATTCCCTGCAGTTCCTTGGATGTTTCCTCTCTGAATATTAAGTACTAAATTTCCCAACCTCAAACAAGTTGGCCAGGCACTGAGACTTCTTTAAATAGGAGCCTCTTAATTTACCCTAAACTTATTTAATTTTAAAAATACAAAACTATAAGGAGTCCAGTCTGACTGATACTTAAAATTGCACTACAAACTATAAATTAGACTAGCTGTATCAGAAACAACCTTGATTTCAAATTTGGGTGGGAAGAGGCATGGACAGAGAAGAAATTATTCTGTACAGGTAGCCCTCGACTTTAAAAAAGATTCATTTAGTGACCATTCAAAGTTAACAACGGCACTGAAAAAAGAGACTTATGACCATTTTTCACACTTATGACTATTGCAGTGTCTCCATGGTCACAGGATGAAAATTCAGATGCTTGGCAACTGACTCTTACTTATGACCGTTGCTTTGTCCCAAGGTTATGTGAACCCCTTTTGTGACCTTCTGATCAGTAAAGTCAATGGGGAATTCAGATTCATTTAACAACGTAATTTAACAAATGCAATGATTCACTTAGCAACTGTGGCAAGAAAAGTTATAAAATGGGGCAAAATCACTTAACAACATAAATTTTGGGCTCAATCATGGTTGTAACTCAAGGACTTCCTGTATCATTCATAAGATGTCAGATGGTCAATATCTCAAAATATTTTAATTTATCTTAAGCTGTAGCTTTTATTAATACTGTATTTTTGATTATATTTGTTATTCTGATTATTGCTACTGTAGCATCCATTTAGATAAATAAACAAATCTCTTGGCTCAACATTTTTAATGTTTTCCTGTATATTGGTCCACCTCTGGAAAGCTGCTGAAAAGTAATACAGTTGTAAGCTAAATACTTTTTTGGAGTGGTAAGTGGACTTAGTAATTCAGCTCACTACTTTTGATAATAATTAAAATCCCTAAGTCCAGTGAAGTAGATAAATAAGCAGAGCTACTGAAAGATGAGAGAATTAAATCCTTTAATGCTGCAGTTCTTAAAGTCATACTCAGAAAATTGATTTTAATAAAGCAGATTAAAATTTACAATTAATAAGAAGGAATAGGAGCAAACTCTTAATGCAGGAATGAATTAGAACTGCATATTGAAAAACAAAATAATGCCTTTGTTTAAAAAAATTCAAAAAACTTGCGAATTTAGTTGTTAAGAATGACTGATTTATCAATTGTCAGAAACTGGACAGTCATTTGTCCGGAATGGTATAGAGCAGGGGTGTCAAACTTCATTGAGGGCCGCCTTAGGGTTGTGTTTGACCTCAGGGGGCCTGGTGGGTGTGGCCATGATGGGCATGGCCAGCTCGGCATCACTCAGGTCAGGGGCACCTGTGGTGGCGTGGGTGGGGCTGGGGGGAATCCACTTTTACTAGTAGGTTGTTTTGCTAGCACTCTGCCAGCGAAAACGGAGCTCAGGGGTCCTGCGCGCAAACAACCCCCCCCCCCCCCCCGGACTCCACTTTTGGAAGTGACGGCATCCTGCAGGCCTCTGCTAGCAAAAAGGGCAACTGTGCACAGCCCTCCTGAGCTCTGTTTTTGCTGGCAGAGGCACTGCGGGTCAGTCCTTTGCCGTTTCCAGGACAGCCTCATGGGCCAGATCTAAGCATTCTGCAGGCCAGATCCGGGCCCCGGGCCTTGAGTTTGACACCCCTAGTATAGAGATTCCTAATTGAGCAGGGAGTTGAACTACAAGACTTTCAAGGTTCCTTCCAACTCTGTTATTCTGATAGCTTCTGATCATGATATTGACAAAAGTGCATGATATACTCCCAGAATATACGTCAATATAATGAATCAAGGAAGAAGTACCATGAGATCTGAAGGGAGCTTGGACAACAGAATCTGTTGGGCTAATTCTCCTGTAGCCAATTCCCCTTCTGATCATCCTAGCTGCTTTTACAGTTGGCAATGGTGGCCAGAACAGCAACTTTCTTTTTGTTATTGTTGATCGGACTGTAAAAATATTGTCCTGGCAGACTAACCAATATTGCTGAAGCCATAACAGGAAAAGGTTCTAAGCAAAAGGCAGCTGAACCAATCAAGTGCTGCCGTTGGGCAAAGGGGAGATCCTAACATAACTCTGATAATCTCACTGGGCACACCCCCATCCATCTTCTACTTTAAAATTATCCCACACTGTCAACACATGCTTAAGGAATATGATTATACTGACTGTGGCATTACCTCAGGGCCATCTCAGACACTTAGCCTGAACAATATGCCCTGTGGTCTAGTTCCACAATGGCAGCATAAGGGAATTGTTTTTATTGTATCAAAAGACAGATTCATTCTACGATGATATATTTAATTGGCTTAAGTGATAAGATTGTAGAGAATATTGTAGCATTCTACAAGCTTCTACTTCTAATACATGAACTTCGTACATCTTATGGGAATTATGAAACTGACAGCTTAAGACTCAAGTAATCGTATTTCAGTGCATTAATGCTGATACAGTCTGAAAATTTCACTTGAACTTTCTTTTTCGAACAGCAAATCCATGAAGTTATTCCCCTATCCTAGCAGACTTCCTAGAACAATGAGCTGGCATCATCATTTATTCTGATCATGATATTGCCATGTAATCTTTCTTTCTGCTGTGGATGTTTTCTTATGCAGATCTGTTTTTGATTACTCAGTGTAGCATTCATCAAAAGAAAAGCTGACTAAATATGGCCTGAGAGAAAACGCTACAGAAAGGAACATCTGCTTTGCTGCTGAGACTGGAAGGAAGTCTACTAAAAAGTTATTGCCCAAGCTTGGCAAAGCATGTTGTCAAAACAGATTTCTATACCAAGACATATATGACTGACATAACCAACAAAACTTCCTAGGCAAGAAACAAAAAAAAAGAGAGGTTCAGTTGATAATTAATGGTATTCAATTGTTGGCGCTATATGTATTAAGCATTAAGTATACACAAAAGGCATTGGATTTTGCCCATTCCCATTTAGATTTTATAATTTATAACATATAATCTAAAGAGATTGCCACTTTCCTCTCCCTAATAAATTAGCAGCAGAGTAGATTTTTCTGGAGTAAAATAGTTGATGGCAGTATGTCTAGTTGGATCATCCCAAAAGTTGTGCGGAGAATACAACATTATCATAATAGGATGGTTTGAAGACCCCCATGGGAATCAGAAGAGATCCAAGTCACCATATCTCATGCATGTGCACAGCCCATTATATCTGTGGATCAAGGTATAGGAAATGCAGCACAAGATATGCCTGCTCAGCCTCACCTGAATTCTTCTTTCTTCATCCTCTCTCTTTTTCCTTTCTTCTTCTTCCAGTTTTCTCTTTGCTTCAATCTCATATTTCCTAGATGGGAAAAATTGAAATCCTGTTAGATACAGACAAACATTAAAACCGTTTCACTCACTTTCCCACAAATTTTATTTTTTTCCTTTGTAACAGAACTCGGAGCTGCTTGAAACAGCAGTCACTTCCAAAATATGGCTTTTGTTTAAAAAGCTGATGTTGGAGATGACCAAATTGAGCCTGAGGGAGGGGTCAAATGTGCCATAAGTCACGAGTCCCTGCATACTCACAAGAGATCTAGGTCCAGCCTACCATCTTCCACTCATTTCCCTTGACCACTAGTTGGCCAGATTCTTATAGAGAGCGTGCAATAAATCTTTACACTCATTTGAGAATATTGAGCCTGAATCTCCTGATTTCTCCGTTGCCTGACATTTGCCTTTGCTTCTGCCACTCTTCATCTAGATTATTTCACACTCACAGTCGCCTTTCTTCCTCTTCCTTCTTCCGACGCTGTTCCTCTTCCTCACGCCTTTTCCTTTCTTTCTCCATTTCTGCCTGGATGCGTCTCAATCTTTCGGCTTCCTCCTCTTGCTGCTTCTTTTTCTGAAGGGCACCCAAAAGTTTCTCAGAGCTTTTAACTAGGGCATCATATTCCTTCTGAATCTGTTGTCTAGGCATGACAGTGGCCTGTAAAATAAGTCGTAAAAACAATCACAATAATTTGCACATATCATGTAGTTTTAAAAAAGCAAGACAGAAAGAAAATGAACCACAGCAAGAATACGGAAACTATGTTCCTCCATCAAAGCAGCAAAATTTATGTATTAAGATTCTCCTAAGCTTTGCCCACCTATTTTGATTTGACAAACCTTATACTTCCACCTACAAGCAACTCCCCTGGTATAGTGAACACTTCATCATGAATGCTGAATGTAGTATTGGTACAATTAAGACTCGTAAACCCAAGTCTACACCTTCGGTCTCTTACTAAAAAGTGTTATGTCTATACCATCAAACTATAAAGGGATAAAATGGGACTTGAAATGTGTCCAGTCCTTGAAAAATGTTCCTAAAAAAAAGTATTTGAGGTCACTTGCCTTTTTGGTAGAAGATATGTGCTTGAAAGCATGCAAAGCAACATGTGTCAAAATTTGAAATGCTAGAACATTGTTGATTAAAGTTTTAAAGTCTTATAAGTGGGGGAAATCTCTACATTCTCATCTAACCCATGAGTAGGAAAAAAAAAAAAACAAGTGATAGAAAATTGACTGAATGATATATACGAATGGTAATATGCATTTTAAAACAAATGTGATGTCATATTCCAATTCTGTCAGCACTAAAAGTTTTGGATTGTCAAAATAAGCGAAAGAAAATAAAGCAACAATTAGGATTTGAAATGTTATAGTTGGAATTCAACTTGGTACCCTACAGATATCAGTCTTCAACTGCAAAAATATTTCCATGGTTTCTCTTTTGGTTGTGCACACTGAAATCAAAGATCTCTGCCAGATCCTGATACAATGTTCTTTTATTCTATAGCATAAAGGGTCCTCCTACCTTGATCTTGGCCATCAGAGCATCAATGGACATCTCAAGGTCCTTGACCTGCTTGCTCATTTCTGCCTTCCCCTCTTTGAGAGCAGTTACTACTTCATTGAATTTATATAGCCGCTGTTTCAGTGTGCGAAGCTTTATTAAACCATCTATGCTGTGAAAGGAATGTTAATATTTTAGAAATGAGAGGCAGATAACAAAATAGACAGCTATTGTTCAAACTCTGCCCCTTCGATCTGCTTCGATCTGAATGAAGCCATAATAGTAGGATTACAATGGGTCTCATATTATCCATTTGGTCTACGCTGCAATTAAATTTTGGAATAAAAAATATGGACAAATAGCTTTGGAAACTCCCACAAACATAAAAAAATAGATACATTTAAAATAATAATAACTTTATTGTCATTGTATGTGTATACACAGTATACCCATACAACAAAATTCACTTAACACCCAAAGACCAGGTCCAACACACATAACAATCCCCAAACACACTCCCACCCACCACAATTCTCCACCCCTAAACCACCCAAACATATCCACACAACAGACCAAGTAATACTGTCCAACAGCTCACTGATGGTAGCCTTTTAGTTCATTGTTGAGTATAATTATAGCTCAGGGATAAAAACTATTCAGAAAACGTGTGGTTCGAGTTTTAATTGTTCTGTATCTTCTGCCAGAAGGCAACAGTCCAAAAAGATTGTAAGCAGGATGGGAAGAGTCTTTGAGAATGTTATGCAACTTCCTCGAACAGCGAGATTCAAAGATGTCGTCCAGGGCTGGTAGCTGGAGTCCAATGATATTCTGGGCAATTTTAATGATTCTCTGTGGAGCTTTTTTGTCTGCTACAGAGCTGTCCCATACCATGCAAGAATGCCGTATGTCAGGACACTCTCAATGGTGCTGCAATAGTAGGACAGAAGTAGATGCTGAGATAGATTTATCTTCCTGAGCATTCTCAGGAAGTACAGCCTCTTCTGTGCCTTCTTCACAAGCATGTTAAATATGTTGTGCATAAATGATTACATTATATGTGTCCTGCTGGATAGGTCCATGATTGCCATGAAGGATCCCAACTTCAGGCCCTGGAGATTAAACTCTAGTACTGAAAACCTAGGATGGTCAATATGAGGGACAGCACAATTGGAACGTCAATAATACATGGGTTTATTTTTTCAAATTCAGTGAAACTCCAGTTTCTTACAAGCCGATGCAACAGATCTGTCATTTGATTCTTTTAGAACAATTAGGCCATGTTGTCTCTCCTTTTCTCCCCTCTCCTTCCAACTCTTCTATCTGAATGAGGAAAGCACTGCTAACTTCTATGTGAGAACAGTTGCTTTAGCATACATTTGGGATGTGCCATCTCTGTGTGAATATGCAAAACTACTTTTGCCATATAAGCAAGGATAGGAACGCTGTGGTTTTCCTCTTTGTGGCCCAGAGGAACTTGCCACTGGTGAATAAAGAAACACTAGCAGCAAAAATGCTGGAACGTGCTGGAATTTCTAGCATGTATACACTATTGAAACAGCAACGTCTGTGCTGGCTGGGGCATGTCGTGAGAACGGCTGATGGTCGGATTCTGAAAGATCTCCTGTATGAAGAATTAGTGCAGGGAAAGCACCTCAGAGGGAGACCACAGCTGTGATATAAGGATAAATGCAAGAGGGACCTAAAGGCCCTGGGAATGGACATTAACAACTGGGAAACCTTGACCTCTGATCGTCCAGCTTGGAGGCTAAAGGCGCAGCATGGCCTTCTCCAATTTGAAGAGACACTTGTTCGGCAGGCTGAGGCAAAGAGGCAGTTCTGGAACCAGTGAAATCTGGGGGCTGGGCAGGGGACAGAATGTATCTGCCCTCAGTGTGGAAGGGATTGCCACTCTCAAATTGGCCTTTTTAGTCACACTAGATGCTGTTTTAGGAGCACGTCTTACCATAGTCTCACTAAACTTACCATAGTTTAGGAGCACTCTCTTACCATAGAGCACAATACCATAGTCTCTTGAGACTGAAGGATGCCAATGATCAGCAAAAATGGGAAGATTTAACCGTCTACATTGTTTCTAAGTAGAAGCTTTGAAAGAGAAGATATGGCAATATCCTGCCCAAGTAATTCGAGGGCTGGTCCTTTGATACCAGTTTCCACAAATTGTGACTGCACTAATGACATATTATGAGTCCAGGTGTATGAGTGCCTGGGAATCCTTCCCATTACTATTCAGCACCTCATGAGATTTACTAGCAAATAGGACACAGTGAGTATTTATATAAGTCTTCTTCTTACCGTGGTTGATGCCTTCTCTTGCATAGCCACATACGAATTGTCTTTTGTATTTTAATACAGGCACTTGCTCTGTACTTGATTTTGTTTTTCACTGAAAATAAAAGGAGGGGAAAAGTGAGGGAAACCTCATCAACAAATGTCTAAATACAGAACCCACTATTGGGGGGGCGGGGAATGGATGGATGGATGGCTAGACAAACAGAGAGTTATATAGATTTTTACTACTGGATAAAATCTAGCGGATAAATCTATTTTATACTAGTGGATTTCCTTGTTTTATATATGATTAATATGCAAGGATAGCTAACAATTCTTGGGTCAGTGAGACTCGTGCTTCAATTCTCAATACTTCTTGTATAAAACCTAACTGGAAATGAAGAATTAGGAAAGTCTTCCATTTTAATATTTGATTTAATTGATTAGTAGCATTTTTACAATTTTGGCAGCAATCCCTTTAATAATGCATGTGGAAAATATTAGTACAGTGTCTACTACACTTCAGTAGACTCCTATATTGTGCTTGTAAACCCACAGGATTTTTAAAAAATTGAATAGACAAAATCTCACAAGATAAAAAAATCTTGCAAAACTTCGGTGTTCTCTCAGTATCTTGTGGGATTTCAGAAAAGGACACAACTTTCAATATTATCGCAAAAGTATACACAAAATCAAGATTAATATTCCTAAATTGTTGTGATTTTTGATAATCACACAACATTTCAGCCATTTCTTTATGAAAAGAAAATATTCTAGTCTTCCAAGTAAGTTTAAAAAGACAGAGTTATGGGTAGTTTTTTTAAAATTTTGCTCACATGATAGAACTAGCATAGCACTTAGACTTATATACCGCTTCATGGTGCTTTATAGACCTCTCTAAGTGATTTACAGAGTCAGCATATTGCCCCAAACAATATGGGTCCTCATTTTACCAATCTCAAGGAATCAATCTTGAGCCGGTCAGGATCGAACTGCCGCAGTCAGCAGAATTAACATGCAATACTGCATTCTAACCACTGCACCACCACGGCTCAGTGGTGATCCTCCCCTTATCACCCCATCTCACAAGATATTTTTGAATTCTTACATTTGATAACTGATAAAGAACACCACTGAACCTTCTTCCAACGGCTGCAGAGAAGCCAGTGGTTCACACGTTTAATCAGGTCAGCAAGATGATCTGGATCAGACTTCATGATTTGATCAAATTCTGCAAACTGAATACAGGGTGGGGAGGAAATGCCATTTAAGACAACCAACAAGAATGTTGACAGATGGAGAGTTCTGTTGTAAACAGAATGTTGCAGTCATGACAATGTGAAGAGACCCCAGGGTTCTGAACCCTAGTCATGATACTTAATAACATCTGGAATCTGCCTATTTTTTATATATCTGTGACACAGTACAAATTGTGATTACTTATTCTGATAGTGATTACTTATTCTGATAGTTATATAGAGGGCCTCCACTCAACTTTAAGTTAGAAATGAAGTTAAAGCACAGAACCGAAGCAGTTAAAAAGTCTTATTTATCTGCCTTTTAGAGAATACATTCATAGTAAATGATTATAGGGGTTAACTATCACACTGACCACTCTTAGCACAGGTAGACCTATAAACAAAATAGTTTCTACCAATATATTAAACATAGAGATGCCCATGTCAATACAGATGCTAGCAGTGATCAAATGACAATGCATCATCTTATGAAATTACTTTTAAGAAAGGTAATGCTATCCTTTTATCTCAATTATTTTGCAGGCAAGTTGAAGAGAAATTAGTTTTTTAAAAACTCAATTTGTGTTCATTTATACTTCAGAGTTATCAGCACTGCTTACCTTGCCAGGTCTAAAGAACACTTTGGTTAATCCAAATTTATAATCTTGTTCATTTAAGCCAAGGGCTTTGAAGAGAGCCTGAAAGAAAAGAAATCGACAGTTTTACAAATCCTTTGAAGGAAGGAAAGTATCCGTGAATATCAACTCACCATGAAAAAGGCACATATAAAAAAGCATTTGCATTCTGAATATAAATACCTTGCAGAAGAGTCTCGGATCCAGACGGGTCAGTTTTTCAGGCATATATTTTTTATACATGTTATAAAGTTCATGGAATGAGGCTCGTGATGGGAAGCCACCTTGCATTAAGTCCAAAACAGACACCATGCCTAGAGTAAAAGAACAGGCAACAAAAAAAATCACCACTAAATTAAGATGATGTGATTGTCAGTCTTTATATTTTGGGATTGGTGTAAACAAACAAACAAACAAAAGCTAAAACAAGAAACACAAGCCCTTATAAAGTCATTGTGGTTGAAGATGGAAAATGAGCTTCAAGTTTGAATTAAAATCAAGACTGAGTCTCTGTTGACCTTTCCAAATATTAGCCCTAATCTCTTTCAACTGTTTTAGCCAAAAATCAATGGAGTAAAAAGGCAGGCAAAGAAATAAATAAAACTTTATTTTCACTTTTAAACCAGAAAAAAATAAATAAAAACTAGATGAAGAATAATGTAATTCATAGACTTTTTTTTTTTTTTTTTTTTTTGCAATGTTCTGGTAACCCTTTATGGACTTTTGGCTGACATCAGGATTGAAAAATTGATGTTTTATGGATTTATAATAAGGAATGGGATATGGGATGAAGAGATATCTGTTTAACCTTAAGGGGGTGAAGAAGTACTACATTTGTTGATTCTTGTTGTGATGAAGGTTTTAATCACTCCTTTATTTATTTCTTTTCTTTTTCTTTAGTCTCTCTTTTCTTTTTCTTCTTTTTCTCTTTTCTTACATTTTTCTTTTGTTTCCATTCTCTTTCTCTAAATTTAGTTTATTTTAGTTAATATCATTGTAATTTAAATCCTTGATAAAAATATACTTTAAAATAGAATGTAATTCATGATTAAGATAGAGGGAAGGAACTTCATTACTTTCCTTGTCTCCTTTCCTACATTATTGCTGAGTATCCAGTCTTCAGACTATCAGCCAAAAATTGAGTCAACAAAACACTAATTAAGTGAAGATGTTAAGGATTTCTGATTTGCTAAATTAAAGTTTAAACATAACTTGACGTGACAAGCAATAGGAGTGTTTGCCAAGTTGAACAGATGCTTGAAGACTAAAAGCTTTCTGGGATGCAAAAATTATAAAGAAATTAATAGAAATACTAGGATAGCAGCTAATGAAAACAAACAGTTTAGCTTGAAATAAGGCTTATTTAAGGACAATTATAACCATCCATTTCAAAAGCAGCTCTGTGAAATTGTTACTTTTGTTAGTTCATTAGGTCTTAACCATCTTTAAGTTACATATTAATGTCATCTAGTTCTGTTATGTCAATAAGAACACCTGAACACCTTCCAGATCTCTCTGCTAGGAAGAGGAGGATGAGATAGAAGGAATAGGCTGGATAGAAATCACCAATTGTTTAAGTTGTTCTGTTCCTATAACACACTATAGAAATAGTACAATACTGGGGAATATTGGAGTGTCCCAGAGCCAATGGAACCATTTGTCCTAGCTTTGCCACCCATCAGAATCCAGTTTGATCCAAACCAACTTGTACAATTCTTACCTACAAGTAGAATTATTTTGTTTTTCTGTTGGTGGAAGGAGAAGGATTAAATGAACACCTGAACTTTACTAAGAATATTCTACCACAATAGTTTAGAAATAGCTAATATATTGATAGTATTGAATGGCCAATTGATAATACAGTGTCCAAAGTGCAATCATTACAGGTGAATCCAGTTTTTGAAATGGTGGAGAAGGCAACAGCTCAATGACGATGAAAAGATGGTATCTTCCTATTTGGATGATGCACTGTTCTTATATATTCAAAAAAATAGGATGTTCAGTTTCCTTTGGGTTGTAGGCATTTGGAAAGGTTTTGATCTTCAGGGTGGCTTTCACATATTTCTAAATAAACTACATTTTAAGTACATAGAATACCACATTATTTTTTTGCATTGAAGTTTATTAGTTTATTTTTTTGATCTTTTAACAGTCATTACAGTACTATCTACATCTTATTATTTTGCAGAATAATTTCACTACAGCAAAAGAGCATTGAAAAAGCTCACTCTTTTTTTATTGAAAAAATTTATATAAAGCCCTGTGATTCAGTATTGCTAATATCCTCATTTGAATATTTGTTTGTTTGTTTGTTTGTTTGTTTAGACTTATATGCTAAATATTATTAGAGATCTAAAGTATCATCTTCAGCAGATACACTAAATTACCTGAACATTGGAGCTGAGAGAGGATTTGAGCACCTTCAAATTGGTGACTGGTCATCTTTAGATTCGGTTTGATGCATCGAATAAAGCTTGATCCCTATTGAAAAGGCAGAAGATTAGCATAATCATGATTAAGACTACTTGAAAGGGATGTTAGAGACAACTCATCCCACAATACTCCTATGTAGTCCACCAGTGGATATTTTTCCTTTTATACATTTATATTAAGTCTCCCCACCTGGTTTTTTTTTAACAGCTATAGCACTTAGACTTATATGCCGCTTCACAGTGCTTTATAGCTCTCTCTAAGCGGTTTACAGTGTCAGCATAATGCCTCCAACAATTTGGGTCCTCATTTTACCCACCTTGGAAGGATGGCAGGCTGAGTTAACCTTGAGCCTGGTGAGATTTGAACTGCCAAATTGCAGTCAGCCAGCAGTCAGCAGAAGCAGCCTGCAGTTCTGCACTCCACTGTGACACCAAGGCTCCTGAGTTAATAAACTCAGAAGCAGTAAATATGCTGAAATATTTAACTCTGCCCTAAAGACATTGCTTTTAAACCTCTATAAATATTATGTGAAAGCTTGTGCACAGAGACTGTCTTTTCATAAGACCATCAATAACATTCAATTCCTACCAAGTTTAGCACTTAGCAGAAACATGTAACTACTCAGATGCCTGACCTCTACACAAAGGGGTCAGGAGCCTTGGGAAAATTAGGTCTTCTAAGGTTTCTGATACTTGCTCTAGCAGTGTACAAATGCTGACAGGAAGGAAGATGGCTGCTCTGCTGGGGTCATTGTCATCAGGCCATGGAGGTTTGGAAAAGAGGGCCGGGAGTATTGTTAAAGCCACTATACAGCCCAAGGTGTGGAGATTAGCAGCCCATTTCATGCTTAACTAATTTTTTTGTTTAAATGTGGAGAAATGCATGATGAATCAATTTCATTTGGAGGGATAAGAAAAATTAATTCCAATTATCTATTCAAAGCCATTTAAAAGGGAAACAAAAGGAGGAAAGGGAGGAAAATCTTAGAGCTCTAAATCCAAGGTGGCCAACTATAGCACCTTTATAATCTCTGGATTTCAACTCCCAGAATTCCTGTGCCAGCATGAACTGGCTACAATGAATTCAGAACCATGGCTGATTTGACATTTAACCTCTGGAACGGGAAACAAAATGCACAGGACTGGCTAGAGTGGTGCTTCTGCATCATCTCTTTGCTATCCTGCACATTTCATCGAGGATCACAAACTAGCAAGAACTTCCTCTATTTATTTATTTATTTATTTTGTCGCATTTCTATGCCGCCCAACTCTCAAGGGACTCTAGTTCAGCAGCAGGGAAATTCTGTTGGATTGAGGCTCCATACAAGGCTTAGTGTGGCATATGAAGCTCAGCATTCCAAAACTGAGCAGGACCACAAACAAAATGAAATGCACTCATTTTATTTCTTAAATCATCACAAACATACAAAAAGGGCTGAATTTATTGTTCTGGTCTACTGTGGAGGCTCACAGGGGATTGTAAAGAGGAATTGGTAAGTTATATGTCATCTCCCATCTGCAAATTTTTAATTCTTCATCTAACATTTACTTGCTTACAATTTATATACATATATATATTCGCTAAATAAATGAATACATTTGTTTTGAGATGTTTATGTTAAGGCCTACAAGTAAACTACTGACCCCAAAGGGCTCCAATCTCTCTCTAGCTCTATTTTTTTAAAAAAATATTGGACAGTTTCCTGCAAGCATGTTTCCCTTATTCTTTGGTGTAATGCGGAATCACTGATGAACTGACTACATGACTCTATACCTGTAAAATAATAAAGGATTCCCATAATACATGGATTTAGCCAAGATTACTCTTAAAGCTAAGTATGCTGGTAGTGACAGTTCCCATCTGCTCCCTGCATTAAAAAAAATGTCAAATATGCAAAATGCTCATGTGTAAAATTCTGTTCAAATTTAACTGATGCCCTGGCTTTAACAGATCTCCATCCCTGCATTAGTACAACAAATCTAGGGTTTATTTTATTAACAGATCTAGTGCAAAAATATAAAAATAGATGAGGCCTTGTAACAGAAGGCACTGATTTTCCATGACTATTTACTTACAGTGCTACGAAGCTTTTCCAGAAGCAGGTTTAGCTGAGTCTGTAAAAGAAAAGCATCTGTGTCAAAGTAGACAAGCACAAACAAAACACAGGGGAAGATACATCATTATCAGAATGCATCTCTAATCACTGGCTCTTTGCAAAATATAAATTGTTGCTGGAATGGAGTGCAAAGGCAAAGTCGTATGCTGGGCCTGACCAGCCTCAACTACGTCAATTGCTGCACTTCTAATTCTTGGTTGAACACCTCTAGCCACAAAGAGGTTTACATCTTTGCATACCGACAGGTAAAGGGAATGCCTGGGAGCGAAAGAAAGGAGGGAAAACCAAGTTGTCAAAAGATGGCAAAGCCACCTGTAAAGAAATGCCCTTAGGTAGAAGACAAATCTGGGCCCTGACAGCAGAACGCCACATGCAACGTTCCCAATCGAATACCTTTCAGATACCCTGAAGTATAACTCCTATTAGATCCAGGCTGTATGGCTAATGAACGCCATACAGCTCAATATCTGGCTAATCCTTTCCATTGACAGCTACCATATTCACAACAGTTTAGGGACAGCTTTTTTACCCAATAATCTTATTCCACTGTTATACAGAACAGATGAAGTTCAGTTGGGGTCTTCCTTCAAGCAAAGATCATGAAAACACAAAATGCATCTTTTTAGCGTAGGATGCTTGGTGTTTTCTCAGCTTGGTTGTTTTTTTGCAGACATTTCATTACCTAACTAGGTAACATCATCAGCACTAAAATAGAATGTGATTTGCTTTCTATTTATATGTAAGTGGCTTGCTCTGGGAGTGAGTGTTATTGGTAGTTCCTTGATTGTTGTTTACAATCAAGCTCAGGAAGCACCAGGATCCCACAGTTCAATCCTGAGTAAATACTCTCTTCTATTGGTACATCTTGTTAGGCTGGTATCTGACATAACCTGCCTTGCTGGAATATCTTCTGCCAAGCATTTGATGATAACTGACCCTGGGTTACCAGTTGTTGATTTATAAAATGACAACTTTGGTAAACTGGTTTACTATGAATAACAGTTTTTATATCAATTTTTAATATATAAACCTGTTTACTGCTGGCCCAGTGATGGAAAATCAGATGGTTAATGTAATAAAGAACTGTTGGTTTTTTTACATGCAGAATAAACTACCAATGCCATAAGAATACATTCATTATATCCATCCAACCCACCAGAGCAGGGAGGCAGGGAATGTGGTGGGTTGCGTCTCCTAAGGAGGTGTATCTGTTGGGACATAGAACTTCATGGCCTTCTCCATGATGGCTCCCTCCCTTTGGAATATCATCCCCACAAAGACGGCCCCAACTTTGACACTCTTTCGCAAGGCCTTGAAGACCTGGTTTTGCTAGAATTCAGAGTGGGATGGAACCAATCAAGTGGCTCATTTTTTTTTATTTTTTTTTTATTTGATTTATATGCCGCCCTTCTCCGAAGACTCAGGGCGGCTTACAATGTGCTCAGCAATAGCCTTCATCCTTTTGTATATTTATACAAAGTCAGCTTATTGCCCCCACAAACTGGGTCCTCATTTCACCTACCTTAGAAAGGATGGAAGGCTGAGTCAACCTTGAGCCTTGGCGAGATTCGAACCCTGCAGTAATTGCAGGCAGCTGGTCTTAATAAGCTTAATAACAGGATGCCTTAAACCCCTGTACTACCAAGGCTCTTCTTAATTGAGTGCTGTCGCCGGAGGAGGGGCTTATTTGTTGTACCTTGGATTTTTATTTTTTGTAAGCTACCCAGAGTCACTGAAAGTGGGTGGGCACACATATAAATTGTCTAAATAAATAAATTCAAGCATTCAGTTCCCCACCAACAGGCAAAAATTGCAGAGTCCAGGAATAGTTCCATAATGGCATCCTACTTTTCTAGAGTTCAACAGATTGTACATATAAGAATCTCTTGGTTCCTAGGACATAACATCCTCTATCCAGCCAAGCCCATTACACCTCTTCCCCTCCCTGTCGTTTATGACAATAGTAGGAGGGGATATTCATTTTAATTGTACATAACTCGTCTTAACACATTGTGCAATGCTATTGCTACAAAAATAATCAACCAAAATAACAGCTGCTTGTAAAGAAAGAAGGAGAGAGTAGACCGCATATAGAAGAAAAGCAGCGATATCATATACAACCACTCTCATTAAACTTTTAAAGTCAGTACACTTAAAATATTTCTTTCTTGCTTTTGGAAACTAGAGCTGTTGCCATAGTACTCACTGGCTACAATCTTTCTATGTAACAGAAGAGCATTACTTGTTTGCTTATTTTGAGCTCATATTGAAACCCTATCCATTCACCTGAGAAACAGATATTCTGTCTCAAGTTAGTAAATGATCCTGAACTGGCTCCTCTGACAGGATTGTTATGTTGGACTAATTAATTAATTAGTTTTGTTTCACTAGGTTAAAATGCCACTTCTAATAAAGAGTCTGCTGGCTTACTATCCTGCTGCCTCAAACTAAGATTAAAACAATCCAATAAATAAATGAAAACTTTAACAAAAAATAACAACAGGCTGAACAAAATTAAGGAACAGTGCCTACAACAAAAATCAAAATCACTCATGCAAAAAAAATGGAATGAATCAATTTATTTCTCTCTCAAAGGGCAACCAGCAGGAACGCATTATCTGATACAAACCAATGGTCTCTGTTTTAAATGTTTTATATTACATTTCATTGTGTTATATTACATTGTGCTTGTCCGGTAGCTCTCATTCCCCACCTAGGGATAGAAGGGCTAGGTAAGAAAGGAGGAGTGCAGTAATGAAGATGTTATGAATTGCTCCTTCCTCCCAGCTGCACTGGATTGATGCAGGAAAGGATGGAAGGCTGAGTCATCCCTGAGCGGGTGAGAATCGAACTACTGGCAGTCGGCAGAATTAGCCTGCAATACTGCATTCTAACCACTGCGCCACCACCAAATATCCACATAGGTTTCAACCCTCTTTTATCCATAAGAATCTACTGTTCATGAATACATATTCACCACTGATCTGTTCGGCTAAAAATTCACAAATCCAGTTGCCTGCACATCTGCAGCATCTGGCATATCCATCTTTTAGTGTTCACTGAGTAGGGCACAGTGCTCTGAAGGAAGGCATTGTGTATACAGGATGCAAGAGACTGACCCATTTTATTTATTTTTAGATTTTTTAATCCCACCTTTATTATTTTTATAAATAACTAAAGGTGGTAAATATACCTAATACTTTTTCCTCCTCCTATTTTCTCCATAACAACCACTCTGTGAGGTGGATTGGGATGAGAGAGAGTGACTGGGCCAAGGTCACTTAGCCTAAGGCGGGACTAGAACTCAGAGTTTCCTATTTTCTAGTCTGATGCCTTAACCACTAGATCAAATTGGCTGTGAACAAATTTTAAAACTTATTCAAAAGAGAACATGATGGAAAGACAAAAGAAACATTATTTATGGTACTAAATACATAATTATTACCCTTGGAAGAAAATCAGAATTCTGCTCTAGAAAGAAATGTTTTCTCATTCTCACCAAGCAGAATTGACTCTCTGGGGATCTGTGGTTCTGTCTGAGGATGGTTGTTTCCTTGTAGACATTTCATTACCGAACTAGGTGATAGTATCAGTGCACTGATGTTACCCAACTGAGTAATAAAACAACTGCAAGAAAATAATCGACCTCAGAGAGCATTGAGGACCCCATAACATAAAAACTGTTTGACAGAAAAAGGAGAGGAAAAAAAAAAAAACAGAGAAGGCTTCACACAGTGCTTCCAAACCTGAGTAAATTACTCCAAATTGGGTCAAAGTGGTTTTTCTGTCAGTAATTACACACGTAAACCCATTAACCAATCACAACAGGGACATTTAAAGTGACTTGAAGTGTTTTACCTAAATTGGAAAAAAAAGACTTTCCGATAAGCAGCCTTGGGTACTGAAGGAAAACATTTGGGAAGCACTGGCTTAACATATCAAAGACAGAAGGCAGCCAGAAGCCAGATTTACAGCTCATAACAAAGGAATAAAATTCAAAAAAGTATCAGACTCTTTAGTTAGTTAGGAAAAAGAAAGAAAACAAATCCCTGGTGCCCTGAGATTGTTTTCCCCTTAAAAAGCAGAGTGTTTTTCTTTTTTCTTTTTCCTTCTCACTGCATTAGAACCATTGGTCATGTTTCACTTTCACAGACAGCATTCACTATTTAAACGGAACATCCCCTGCAAGTTAATCAGGGCCACTTCAAAAGCACACAGTGTAACAGTATAGCAGAGAGAAAAGCTTTTGAAATTGAACATATTCCATTTGGCTTTGGCAAAACAATTGTTCTCCACAGCCCCTGTCATTTGTGTGATTCTACTGCTGAGGTATTTAGTAACAGAGTCCGTGAGGATTGCTCATTTCTCTGAAACATGCAGCATAGTCATAGCAACCTCTTAAGAAGTACAAGGCATGTGCTAACAGCCTGCTATTTGTCTCCTAAAATTCCTATAGCACTGCTTATACACAGGTGGTAGAGGTGGGCTGAACCAATCACTCGGGTACACTCTGAATTTAATTCAGATTTATGGTGCAAACTAACTTTTCCTTCCTTAAATGCCTATAGAGATTCTCAATCATCCGGGTCATTTTTGTCACAAAGGTGCTTTTTTTTAAAAGGCAAGTGGACTTTCTTGATTTTTTTCCTTTTGAAAACGTTTCGCTTCTCATCCAAGAAGCTTCTTCAGTTCTGGATGAGAAGCGAAGCATTTTCAAAAGAAAAAAACCAAGAAAATCCACCTGCCTTTTGAAAAAAAAAGCACCTTTGGGTTTTCCTTCCTTAGTAGCAACTAAAGGCTGGACAGAAAATGTTAATGAAGTATTTGTTTTAGTGGATAAGAATTTTATGTTAGATATCATGTTGGCAAATTTTGCTTTTACAACACGGTGGATAATGATTTCTGTAGCATAAAAATTAAGAGCATTGTTAGTATTCTTAATTTCATTACTGTATATCTTAACTGTTAGGTATATATAGATAGGTTGGTGTTTTGCTTGTCTGCCTAGTTGCTTCTACATGTGCTGGATTTAAGCTGTTGGAAAATGTCATTTGAATTTTTGGTTTAAAATTTCCAAGGAGAACTTGAACCATGAGCTGCATGGAAAAATAAGTAAAGGGACAATAGGAACATCCAAAAATTGGAAATATGAGATAAGGTTATTATAAAATATAATGTGGAAACAATTTCCTTTGTTCAGAAGTCATAAAAGATGATCAAAGAATGATGGTAGGCATACCATCACAAATTGATCCAGCAAAGTAAATAACAGCTGCAATGTTTCCAAAAAAACCAAGGCTCCCCAAATCTATAGAGTCTGTGAAAAAAACCTGTTAAAGCATTAACATCTCCTACTATAAGGAACAGATCTTCAGATGCTAGAAAGCAGTGGTGGAATTCAAATTTTTTTACTACCGGGCGTGGCAGGGGAAGGATACTGCAAAATCTCCATTCCTACCCAACTCCAGGGGAAGAATACTGCAAAATCCCCATTCCCTCCCCACTCCTGGGGGAAGGATATTGCAAAATCTCCATTCCCTCTCCACTCTGGGGCCAACCAGAGGTGGTATTTGTCGGTTCTCCGAACTACTCAAAATTTCCGCTACCAGTTCTCCAGAACCTGTCAAAATAGCACCCCTGCTACAAAGGATAGTGGAATGATACTGAATCCACTATCATGTGTGGATTCCTTTATAGGACTATTAAAGCCAGTCTTATAAAACTACCATACCTTGAATTTGTTGCCCACGCTGATAAAACTTAGTTTTCCTGCTTTTTGCTTAGTATCCTTATTGTTGTTAGTGTTGGACTCAAAAAGTAGTCGGATAAATTTATCTTTGGATTCACATATAAGGGATTCCAGAGACATATGCAAAGCATCGTTGTTTTTCTCCACAAATTGGGTCTGAGGAAAATCAGAAGCATTTAAGTCACTCAGGAGAGCATCCAAATCCAAGCTCCCTGTAGATCATATATATAGGAATTAAAACAAGCACATATGAAAAAGATTGGCAACAACCAACTCTCTCTAAAAGCAATGCTGTAAAACCTCTGCAATTTTTTTTTCAGCATGGAAGAATAGACCAGCTCTATTTTCAAGTAGTAGTTTTTGGGACAAATAAACATCAATACTATCACTCCATGGAAGACTCCTAAGCATCAACAGGTTTCGGGCTATCTCAAAAAGCCTGAACAAACCAAACAGTGTCGGCTGGCGGCCCCCAGGGGGAGAGCCTTCTCTGTGGGGGCACCTGTTATTTGGAATGAGCTCCCCCCGGAGATACGGAGGATCCCAGATTTACGCACCTTCCGCCGCGCCCTCAAGACCTTTTTATTCCAACAAGCCTGACCTGGCCTGGTATATGAGAAATTTTAAATTTGTTTTAAATATGGGGATGTTTTTTAATTCATCTTGGGCCAAAGAGTTTAATATGTTTTTATACTGTTTTAAATTTTATAATCTGTGTTTTTTATCTTTTTTGCTGTTTACCGCCCTGAATCCTTCGGGAGTAGGGCAGTATATAAATCTAATAAAATAAAATAAAATAAATAAAATATCAGATTTTAATACAATTGTTAATTGGTAAGGCACTTGTAATAGAATAGCACTAATTTGCATAACTTGCATCTGTATAACCACACTGTCTTGCTTTCCTTTTTTCTCTGTGTCACCAGTTTAAATCTTACATCTGTCAGCCAATCCCTGTATCTGATGAAGTGAGCTGCTGCTCACAAAAGCTTAAACTTTACTTTAAAATTGTTAGTTTTTAAAAGGGCTGCTTGACTCGTTTTGATTTTTGGGGTGGGGGGGCTACAATATATTAACTTGGTTCTACTTCTACAATATTTTCAGGTATTTTTTTTTTTATTTGATTTATATGCCGCCCTTCTCCGGAGAGTCAGGGCGGCTTACAATGCGCTAAGCAATAGCCTTCATCCTTTTGTATATTTATACAAAGTCAGCTTATTGCCCCCACAATCCGGGTCCTCATTTTACCTACCTTAGAAAGGATGGAAGGCTGAGTCAACCTTGAGCCTGGCGAGATTCGAATCTGCAGTAATTGCAGGCAGCTGGTCTTAATAACAGGGTGCTTTAGACCACTGTACTACCAAGGCCCTTCTTCTCTAAAATGTTATTTTTCCTAAAACAATTATATATTGAAATGGAATTGCTCATAATGAACAAATTTATTGCCTTGATAACAAAAACCCTGTGACTACCAGCTAAAGTTAACTATTTTTAAAAAAATTTCTGGTGAATTATTATAATAAACCAAAGAAACAACTATCTGCTATCACTCTCACACATACAGGTAGTTTTTGACGTACAACCATAATAGAGCCCAACGTTTTTGTTGCTAAGCAAGATAGTTGTTAAACGAGTTTTGCCTCATATAACGACCATTCTTGCCACAGTTGTTAAGTGACTCACTGCAGTTGTTAAGTTAGTAACATGGCTGTTAAGTGAATCTGGCTTCTCCACTGACTTTGCTTGTCAGAAGGTCACACAAGGTGATCGCATGACCCTGGGACACTGCAACTATCACATATACTTGCAAGTTGCCAAGCATTCAAATTTTGATCATGTGGCCATAGGGGAATGCTGCAACAGTCGTGTGAAAAACGGTCATTTTTTTTCAGTGCTGTCGTAACTTCGAACAGACACTAAACAAATGGCTGTTAAGTCGAGGACTACCTGTTGTGTTATTACTTAGAGAATGGATGGTTCTTAGGTTATCTCTGTGTTCCTGAGCAGAGGCTGAAATGTGTAAGAAACAGGAGCTCTATAGTGATGGCCATGCATTTGTGAAGGCTTCCAGACTCACATTGTTCACTTTCCTTTTGCATTGAGAAAGCAAGTATGAGTTCCCTTAAAAGTCTATGCTTTTAGCTGACCTATTTATTTGTGAATTCCCAGAGGGATCTCCTGATTGTCCTTCAATATGGTGCTACATATTTTATAGACTCGTGATGGCGAACCTATGGCACGCATGCCACAGGTGGCACACGGAGCCATATTGGTGGGCACGCGAGTGTTGCCCTAGCTCAGCTCTAGCACGCATGCGCACGCTGGCCCACTGATTTTTGGGCCTTCTGGGCCCACCAGAAGTCAGCAAACAGGCTGTTTCCAGCCTCTGGAGGGCCTCCAGAGGGGTGGGGAAGGCTGTTTTCGCCCTCCCCAGGCTCTCAGAAAGCCTCTGGAGCCTGGGGAGGGCGAAAAATGGGCCTACCAGGTCCACTGTGCCAACACATGCCAAAAGAGGGGGGAGCACAGGGGGGTCATGGGCACGTGCATGGGGTGCAGGCACATAAAATTATGGGTGTTGGCACGCACGCACACGACCACCCCACACTCCCCCCGCTTTTGGCATGCGATGGCAAAAAGGTTAGCCATCACTATTATAGACAGTAATTGCTCTGTAATGCTAAATGCTCATTGTAAAGGGAGAATTTAACTTATATTAAAATAAACATTTATAGAATATCCATAAAAATAACCAATCATTGATTAACACTTTGCTTTAAAAAAAAAATTAAAGAACGAGCAACAGCATTAATTTACCGTCTCATAGCAAACTGCTCCTGCAAAATGTCTGACGATAAATCCCTCATCATCACGAATATTTCGATGAACAGCCAATTTAGACTTTCTGGGTATCTGAGGTGAAAACGAAATAGAATTTAAGATATATACAGATGTAAAAAAAAAAAAAAGCTGCAAGAACTCATGACAAACACCAATGAGAGTTTAAAAAAAATTTATTGTGAAGAAAATCCAGCAGCAAGGTCATCCTGTGGCAATATACTGGTTAAAGCGGTCTCAATTGGCTCTTAGTTAATATTGTTAAATTGCACTAGCTTGAATACATAAAAAGGGAAAGGAATCTTAGGAGCTTTTAAGGTACATCTTAACAAACAGATCAGGTATGTGCAACAAGGCAGATCTTCTAATAACCTGATCCCTGGCAGTTTAGGCTCTAAGCATTAAAAAGATCAGTAATTTAAATGAATTTAGAAATAAGTCACTGGAATTAATTCAAAATCAACTGTACCGCAATCTACTCAAGTCATCAGTTTGCACCCACATTTTACACTACATATAACTTCTGGTGAATGTTTTGAAAGCAAGCCTACAGAGCACCATCTTGGACTGGCCCAAAATCACTTATGGTGTTTCCATTATTGAAGGTGGATTTCTATTTGGTTATTAGCAGTCCTAGTCACCTAAACCAGTGTTTTTCAAACTTGACAACTCCAGGAACTGAAGTCCACACATTATAAAGCTTAAAAAGTTTTTTAAAAAACACTGACCCAAACTATGGTGTTATTCTGGTTGAAAAATGCCAATCTACACTTTAACACAACATGATTGGCATCAAACTCTTGTGCTGCATGGGTAGGGTAGGGTATCTAAAGAACTTGTCACAAATTTTATTTTAGGAACTGTGGCAATGAATGCCACAAAGCAAGTAATTTCATAACTAGAGTGGCTTGTTCATCAAGACCTCGCAAAATTCTTTATTTCAGGGACTTCGCCAAACTGAACTGATTCTCCACTTTCACTGTCCCCCTACCACAGTCATCCTCTCTATTAGTGAAGGGTAGCCATCTGGTTTTGAAACAAGTATTTGCTTTTGTGTGAATCCGCTTGTTGCACTTATCTTTACCTCCTTAAAGAAAGCATGGCCTTTTTCTGGGATCAAAAGGTAGCCATGCAATCCTTGGAATGTGTGCATCTGAGTTAAAGGGAAGCTGATATAATGCAATAAAGAAACAAGCCAATCTCAGGCAAACAATTGTTTATATAAACTGATTCATTTGGGGATCAACTAATCTAAATTCAAAAAATAAACTTACTGATAGCCTGAAATGTTGTTTTTGTTTCTGATGAACCACTGAAGCGAAATGTTGATCGCTTGGCTGTGGAAGACGATTTTCTTCGTCCAAAATATCAAGAATTCCTATCAATTTTCCTTCAATCAAATCTGTTTGAATGATAAAAAACATAGGCTATTTCATAAATAATATGCAATGATAAAAATCTAACTTAACCAAATAAGAAAATACTTGCATGTATCCTATTAATGTTATACTTTCTATAACCCATAGAAATCTCAGCCTAACAAGAGAGATGCAGTATGACTATTTGAATTTAAATTATTTAAAATGTGAATGATTGCAAGTTATTGGAGTGGCTGAAGTTTAAACAAAATTCTCAACCGCACTAATATGCTGTTATGGTTTAATACCTATGTTTCTACTGTTATTCAAAGGCTTTACAAATATTCATTAAAAGAACAAAAAGTTATGATAAAATCAAATTCAGAAATATTTGTATAAACATTTTATGAATATACTAGAACAAAAGTAATCAAGAAATACATCCATGTTGACAGCAAGAAGGTTCTTGACTTATTACTGTAGGATGAACAACAATTTAAATTAATAATAAAATATCATTAATCCTTTCCCTCTACACATTGTGCCTAGGGCAATACATATATTCACATCCACAATATCCAGAACAATGGACTCACTAAATTCCTTGGTCCAGGAAAAAGCCAAGTATTAATTTCATGAGTCTGAATGTACTTCCAGAAGGCATTCAAGATGTTGGTGGCCACCTATAAAGCTCTTTCTGGCACAGGGCCAGCAGTCTTACATTGTCTGTAAGACTGCTTCACTTTGATTGATACCTATCCCACCAAGTCCAAAAGGAGGGACATGTTCCAGGTCTCCTCAGGTAAAGAACGGGATCTAGAAGTGGGTTTTTCTTCCTCTCCTCAGGTACACCCCAAGATAATATGGAATTGGCTGGCCCTGCCAGCTTTTCATAATGCACTGAAGACCTGAATATGCTCCAGAATATGGAGCAAAGTTGGGAGGTAGATTACCTATGAAATGTTACCATAAATTTTCCTGGTTTATTCTCAGCACTTTTTTAAATGTTTTGTTGTATTTTTTTCCTAAGATTTTTAAAATGTTTTGTTAGGTGCCCAGGGACATATCTGCAGAATGGGTAGCCAACAACTAATCAGTGGAACAAACTTGCTTCCAGAATGAATGCTCTGTGAATGCTCCAACAATGGAAGTTTTTAATTGATTGGACAACCATTTGTCTGAAATGTTATATGGTTTCCTGCCTGAGCAGGGAATTGGACTAGAAGACCTCCAAGGTCCCTTCCAACTCTTATTCTATATTCTAAATAATGTAGGGCCATATAAATGTATTTCATTATTAAATGATATGAAAAATAATGCATTACAGAAAGCTAACAGGGATAGGGATATCCAAAGCTCAAACAGATATTTTGTTCTGTAGAGCAGGCACAGAAAGGGAGAAGGCACACTTCTCAGATCCCACTAAATAACACCATTCTTGAACTTCACACCTACTTTGCCACAAAATGTATGTTTTTAAAGGTGTGGTGGAAGAACTATGGGAAATACAGCTGGGGCTACAGGTAGAAAGTCATAAAAATTAATCTTTTTTTCTACTTTCTACCTGAAAGAGCATCAAGTTAACAAAGCAAGTGAACCTTCCAGTTCACTTTTCTTCATGTAAACATGACTTTTAAGGCTGTGAAAATATGGCTTGTCCCACTAACCAGTGTTTAATACACTCTACAATGAACTCTCTTATTACTGAGATGAATGGTCCAGGCTAATTAACCAGCTTCAGATTTTGGTCTGGTGGACCCAAACTGTTTTAGTGGGAAGACTCAAGTTGAAACATTAAAACGTTTCCATCCAACTTAAAAAATATTTTTCTACAGTTTCTCTTCCCCAACCATTCCAGCCATAAAATATAGATTGTTAAATCCAGAAGGTACAGTTGCAAGAAAAAGTATGTGAACCCCTTGGGATTACGTGGAGTTTTGCATGAATTGGTCATAAAATGTGCTCTGAACTTCATCTAAGTCACAACAATAGAAAAACACAGTCTGCTTAAAATATTACTACACAAACATTAGATGTTGCCATGGTTTAATTGAACATAACATGTAAACATTCACAGTGCAGGGAGGAAAAAGTATGTGAACCTTTGGACTTAATAACTGGTTGACCCTCCTTTGGCAGCAATAACCTCAACCAAACGTTTCCTGTAGTTGCAGATCAGACCTGCACAATGATCTGGAGTAATTTTGGACCATTTCTCTTCACAAAACTGTTTCAGTGTAGCAATATTCTTGGGATGTCTGGTGTTAATCGCTCTCTTAAGGTCATGCACAGCATTTCAATCGGGTTGAGGTCAGGACTCTGACTGGACCACTCCAGAAGGCGTATTCTGTGCTGTTGAAGCCATTTTTTTGTTGAATTACTTGTATGCTTTGGGTCATTGTCCTGTTGCATCACCCATCCTCTGCGGAGCTTCAGTTGGCGGATAGATGGTTGTACGTTTTCCTGCAAAATGTCTTGATAAACTCTGGAATTCATTTTCCCATCAATGACAACAATCCATCCAGGCCCTGAGGCAGCAAAGCAGCCCCAAACCATGATGCTCCCTCCGCCATGTTTTACAGTGGGGATGAGGTTTTGATGTTGGTGTGCTGTGCCTTTTTTTCTCCACACGTAGTGTTGTGTGTTCTTCCCAAACAACTCAATTTTGGTTTCATCTGTCCACAGTATATTTTGCCAGTAGTGCTGTGGAACTCTTTTGCAAACTTCAAACGTGCTGCAATATTTTTTTTGGACATCAATGGCTTCCTCCGTGGTGTCCTCCCATGTACTCCATTCTTGTTTAATGTTTTCCTTATTGTAGATGTGTCAACAAAAATGTTAGCATGTGCCAAAGATTTCTGTAGGTCTTTAGCTGACACTTTAGGATTCTTCTTTACCTCATGAAGCATTCTGCACTGTGCTCTTGCAGTCATTTTTACAGGACGACCACGCCTAGGGAGAGTAGCAACAGTGCTAAACTTTCTCCATTTGTAGACAGTCTGTCTTACCGTGGACACATGAACATCAAGGCTTTTGGAAATACTTTTGTAACCCTTTCCAGCTTCATGCAAGTCAACAATTCTTGATCTTGGTCTTCTGAGAGCTCTTTTCTGCGAGGCATGGTTCACATCAGACAGTGCTTCTTGAAACCAGTAAACCCAAAACAGGTGTGTGTTTTTAAAGAGCAAGACAGCTGTCAGCAACACATCCAATATCATCACACTGATTGGAGTCAAGGTTGGCTCACTCCTGGCTCCAATTAGCTCTTGGAGAAGTCATTAGGCTATGGGCTCACATACTTTTTCCTCCCTGCACTGTGGATGTTTACATGTTATGTTCAATTAAACCATGGCAACATCTAATGTTTGTGTAGTATTATTTTAAGCAGACTGTGTTTTTCTATTGTTGTGACTTAGATGAAGTTCAGAGCACATTTTATGACCAATTCATGCAAAACTCCACGTAATCCCAGGGTGTTCACATACTTTTTCTTGCAACTGTATAAATTACAGTGTTTTCTTTCAAAGTACCTGTAATTTAACTTGGGGGAAGGTAACATTTCCCCAAGTCATTGTTCCTAATTGCTTTAAAGAATAAGGGGGAAAAAAACCCAAACTTGATATAGTTCTGCATAGTTGCAACAGAAGCCATAATCAATAGAGCTTTTGCATATAAATCTTATGCCAGTACTCAATTTACATACCTATACAGTCCTGGTTATCCACATAATGTACTTCATTAACACCTAAACCTTCTTTTTGATAAAGTTCTTGTTCCTGTAAGAAAAACAGAATTATAATAACCTGTCTGATCATACCACCTACAAAGGGGTTAAGCACCCATGCTTGAGATGCCAGATTCCATTAACGGCACTGCTATTCTTCTGACTCTGTGACTTATTTCCAATGAAGCTGAGCCCACTCAAAAAGAACTTGTCATTCTGAAGCTGTAATGAGGTATTTTAGTGTGGTAAGCAATTTGACTTTGGAAAATAAAACTCCAAAACTGAAATAGCTGGAACTTGTTTTGAAAAACTCAAGCTTATTTTTTTACAAAATCCATATCTGTACCAAAGAAAGAAATGATCTGAAATCATTCTTTTCTCATTTTTCTTACTTTTTCTTTTGGTACCTCTATCTTCTCTCTTTCTTGGGTTTTTTTTTTTCTTTTTCGTATCTTTTTTCTTTAGATTTTTTTCTCATCTGCTTATTTTTTTAATCTTGTGTTTTTGAAAATCAAGAAAGTTGTTTTAAAAAAAACCCTCAGGCTTCTTAAAGAAAAAAGCTTCATATTTTTGAAGCGAGAAATATTCCTGTTTTGTATGTTTATTCTTTTCTGGACATTAGGGATCATGAACACTTATGAATAAAGTTGATCTTTTTCAGTGTTAGTGGTATAACAACATAGCACTCCTTGATGTAGTGTGTACTAGAATATTGTCACTTTCAAGTTTTCAAGGGCTTTGCAAGCATGCCACACGTGCTCTAAATGCCACCGATGACACAGATTTAGACATAAATCCTCAACAAGTATTCACATAAGACTTTTCAAGTCACCATGTAAGAAGAAAAAGTGCTGCAAGAACTGTGCTGTAAAAGACTGAAACCAGAATCAATGATTTCCAGGCTGAAGATGGCCATTATGTAAAAACACGACAGCCACTTGTCTTCAAAGCCACCCAGGATATTATGCTCTGCCAAGTATCCATAAATTAAAGGGAAGAAGAAGCCAGGAGTTTTAATCCCACGGCTATAAATCACTTTTAACTTCTCATTACCAGGGAGAAGTCAATCGCGCCGTATGTCTTTGTCTTTATCCACAACAAAGATTCTGCTCTAGCCAAACTGGACCTATAAGTGTTCTGCCTAGCTGAAAAGTCAAGCTAAATTGTGAATGTCACAAGCTACAGCATGTGTTTTAGTATCAAGTGCTGGATAGAGCAGTATGCCATGTGGGATTATTCTGGAGATGACTGAGTTCTGTGAGATTCAATGAAATAGCTCCTGACATTGCTGTAGGCAGTATGTGAAGCTGACCAAGATTAAGAGAAAAATCAACACATAATTAGGATAGCATATCTGGTTTCTTTCCTGAACCTCCTGATAGCTTGGCATGTTCTACATTACCTCTTTAAGGATCCTTTCATTAAAGAATTGCTGTAGCTTCTCATTACAGTAATTAATGCAAAACTGTTCAAAGCTGTTGTGTTCAAAATATTCTGCAAAACAAAATGGTGAACAGCTTTAAAGGCATCATGTCATGGTCCATTGTAACACAGCATTCCACAATCAGGCCTTCTACACTGAGATGGGCAGAAGATTGATCTAGAGCAGGGGTGTCAAACTCACGTCACGGCGGCATCACATGACATATCGGGACTTTTTTCCCCTTCGCTAAACCGGGCATGGGAGTGGCTAGCGAGTGACGCATCCAGCCTGCGGGCCAGGAGTTTGACAGTCCTGATCTAGAGGAACCAGTAGATCTCTCAATTTGCTGCAGGTCAAGAAGGATTTCCGACAGCCAGTAGTTTAAATAATAGCAACTCTCTATGGGGGACATGATAGCACTATTCCAGTATTTGAGAGGATGCCACAAAGAAGAGGGGGTCAATTTATTTTCCAAAGCATCAGACAGGACAAGGAACAATAAATGGAAACTAATCAAAGAGAGAAGCAACTGGAATTGAGGAGAAACTTCCTAACAGTGAGGACAATTAACCAATGGAACATCTTGCCTTCAGACATTCTGGGTGCTTCATCACTAGAGGTTTTTAAGAAGAGACTGGACAGTCACTTGTCTGAAATGGTATAGGATCTCCAGCTTGAGCAGGGGGCTGGACTAGAACTCCAAGGTCCCTTCCAGCTCTAATCTGATTCTGATTTTATTATATCACAATGATTACTTTGAAGCAAAGAGAGCTTTGGGTTTAGCAATCTGGTACTTTCCAACTTTTTTAAAAAAAATAGTTTTTGCAAGTCTGAAATTAGCTGGTATCTGCTTTACACAGTAGTAGCTGCTACTATTACATAGGATGAATTACATCCTGTCCACTGGCAATGCTGGGAATTGCAGAACCAAGAGATGCAAGGATACTAGGAAAAGAGGAAAGCTAATCAAGAACAAAATCTCTCTCTAGCAAACATGAAAATATGTGCAGCTAGAATTCCCTAAATTAAATGAAAAGAGTACTTTCCCCCATTTTCATATTGCTGGGGGGAAGCCTTAATGAGAAGCGTGAATGAATGGATTCTTTATTAAAGCTATTGGCCGATACCTTGAAATTCTATAAGGCTTAATGTCCAGACAATAAGCAACACACACCAAAACAAAAATAAGTATATGTACATTTGGCTGTGCACCGCCCTGAGTCCTTCGGGAGTAGGGCGGTATAGAAATCAAATCAAATAAATAAAAATAAATACATAAATACATAAGCACTGCCCTGCTGGATCAGACTCCTTGCCCACCTAGTGCAACAGTCTGTTTTCACAGTGGCCAAGCAATAGTAGAAAGAAGCCCACTAATTTCCCAGCCACTGGTAACAACGTATAATTAGCAGGAGGCTGTTGGCTGCAGACATTGAGAGAACTGGGCTGCCTATTTTGCTTACAGTGTTGTTCTCAAATGCACTCCTTTTAGAACAGGTTAAAAAAATAAATAAAGTGGGGCTTAAGAAAATATCTCTAAAATATCTAGGCATTTGCGAACTGATGAGTTTGGCTGGCTACGAAGTGCACGTCAGACTCACATTTTAAGTCAAATCATTTTGGACAAATCATTATTTTTATTATTATTAGATTAGTACCCCACCATTATTTGTAGATCTCAAGATATTGTACAAAATGCTCCTCTGTCCTATTGCCTCTACAACTACAACCCTATGTAGATGGCAGGGCTAAGACAGAATGACAGGTCCAAAGTCACCCAGATGCCGAAGGGAGGACTAGAACTCACGGTCTTCTGATTTCTAATCCTGCACTAATATTTTAATTGCTACATACAACAGGCTCTCAAATTTTGCCATTCCATGTCCAGAATTTCTTGTTGTAAGAAATTATAAACATGAAAAGCACATGGTCTGAATAGTTAAAAGGCAAAACACTTACCAAAACCTGCAATATCCAGAACACCAATGAAAAAAGACGACGTCTCAAATGGGAAACATTGATTTACCCTGTTGACCACATGGTCAAAGAGGTGACTATAGACAGTTTTTGCCAAAGCATCACGTGCATTATTTGCTTGTTCTACTTTTAATGGAACCCTGGAGGGGGAAAAATATTATAATTACTATCAATTTGTTCCATATTTGTGGGGACAACTAGGGAGATTACAATAATATGGTCAAAATTTAAATAAACTAAATATTTAATAGAAACAGCATTAAATATAACCATATGGGATTTCTGCAATAAAAGCTTTGGCAGATGACAAACTTCCTCCTAAACAACAGAAGAAAAACAATGAAACTATAAGGGAAGAATTCAGTGGTGAAATCCAAATTGTTTTACTACCAGTTCTGTGGGCATGGCTTGGTGGGCGTGGTGTAGCTTGGTGGGCGTGGCTTGGTGGGCATGGCAGAGGAAGGATACTGCAAAATCTCAATTCCCACCCCACTCCAAGGGAAGGATACTGCAAAATCTTCATTCCCAACCCACTCCAGGGGAAGGGTACTGCAAAATCCCAATTCCCTACCCACTCCATTCCCACCCCACTCTGGGGGCAGCCAGAGGTGGTATTTGCCAGTTCTCCAAACTACTCAAAATTTCCACTACCGGTTCTCCAGAACCTGTCAGAACCTGCTGGATTTCACCCCTGGAAGAATTCCATGAGAAGCTAATGGAAGATCTTGTCTTTGTTAGACACCAACCTAAGAAACCTTAGCAATATGTCAGAGAGCAGCAAAATTGCTATAATATTAGTCAACCAAGTTCCTAATGGAAGTTATATAGTAAGAAAACAGACTAAACGATACCAAATTGTTCACAAGAGCATAACCACAATCACACAACTGGAAGTATGCTAGATGCAGAGGCTAACATATTAAAGGTGTGCAAATCAGATGGAACTGAGTGTCCCAATCGATTTGGAAAATCAGTTTGATTCATTCTGGATGTTTGAATCAGTTCAGGCCAAATCCTACATAATGGAATTTGAATGCATTTCCATAAAACACATGCCAGGGAGTATCAAAATTGGTCCAGCTAGATTCAGAGAGTTGAACATAGGAGAAGTCCATAAAACATAGAGGTCTGCTGGTTTTATGACCAGGCTGGGCTTATGTAAAGTACCAATGCCACACTGGCCATGCATGTTCACACCATCCTGAATGACTTGTGGATATTCCAACATTGGAAGTTTTTAAGAAGAGATTGGACAAACATTTATGTGAAATGGCATAGAATTTGCTGCCTGAGCAGGGAGTTGGACTAGAAGACCTCCAAAGGTCCCTTCCAACTCTGTTATTCTGTTCAGTAGTTGCAGAAGAATTGTGGAAAAGTATGGCTATCATTGTAAGAACTGGACTACAAGTTTATGTAAATAGAACTTTCTCATATATCCAGACTGTGTGTGTGTGTGTGTGTGTGTAGATAGATAGATAGATAGATAGATAGATAGATAGATAGATAGATAGATAGATAGATAGATAGACAGACAGACAGACAGACAGACAGACAGACAGACAGACAGACAGACAGACAGACAGATAGAGAGAGGTGGGAGAGAGAAAAAATATTATATATATAACTTATCAAGGCCACTCAGAGAGAAGAAACATGATAATTTTTTTCATTCTCTTTTTTTAAAGTTGCTCTTTTTATTTCTAGCTTCCCTGGAAATGTGGAAAAACTAAATCAAATAAATTCATTCTTTTTTTATGAAAAACTAAAAATAGTAGAAAATGATGTGTTAGTCACTGTTATATCTCCTAGCATTAGCATTGTTTTTCAGTAATAATGATACTGATTTTCTTCTGCAATGCTGATTTTGCTGATTTTGCAGCAACGTTGAAATAGTATTTCAGTGCCATTTATTTTCAAGGACATTTATTTATTTTTTTATTTTTCAATGCCACTTATTTTTTAAAAAAATCCATTCCTGTGAAACCAATTATATAAGATGAAATGTGGCTTTTTAAAGAAAAAGTATTTAAAATAAACCATATGGATGCAATAGCATGTGACATTAAGGCATCATTGACAAGACAGAAATGCATAATCCCACAAGGATTTCAGTTCGCATCTGACAGATGAGGTAAAAGTTGCACAGAGAGAAAAAGATGGAACCAGCAATATTGGAACGACATGAAAAAGAAGTAGAAAAGTTTGTGCTGAAACACTGAATCCAGAAGAGCAACTTGAAAGAGTAGGAAGAAAAAGCTGGAAAGATACACTGTCCCAAAAGAGTTTCATTGAGGATTGAGGTAAATGTTCCTAGATAATATTTTCAAAAGCACCTTGAAGGGCCTCCAGAATGCTTCCAGGAGACCCATAAAAGATTACTGCCAGAGATCAGTTCACTTGTATTTTCAGTTCTAACAGGCTGCTGATCCCACACTCATTGATTTCAAACTTATATTGTTTTTGATGAGCACATTACAGTAGTCGTCTACTTAAGACCATTTCTTTAGTTACAATGGTACTGAAAAAAGTGACTTACAACCACTCGTCACATTTATGATCATTGCAGTGTCCCTATGGTTACATGATCAAAATCCAGCTGCTTGACAGTTGACTGAGGAAGTTGCAAATGATGATCACACGATGCCAGGACACTGCAACCATCATAAATTCAAGCCATTTATTTAAAATTGCCACTTATTTTCAGGATCATGTATTAATTTATTTTATTTTTAGCGCCACTTATTATTTTTTTTTAAATCAACTGCCAGCGAGAAAAGTCAATGGGGGAAGCCAGCTTCGCTTAACAACCATGTGACTCACTTAAAGGACAGTGATTTGCTTATCAAACACAGCAAAAAAAAAAGTTGTAAAATTGGATGTGACTCAATCAACAACCATCTCCCTTTTGTGATGGAAGTTCTGTTCCCAATTGTGGGCGCAAGTCATGGACTTATGTACAGCAATTAAGATTTAACCGTGTGACCATGCCAGTGAGGTCAAATTAGATTAAATCAGTACCTATTCAGATAAGACTGCTTCTTTCTGAATTAACCTCACTGGGGCCATGTGCTAAAGTCACTATCTACTATAGCAAGCAGGATCTCTGAGAGAATCCAGCAACTTGTTTTCATTGCCCTTCCCTCCTTTCAGGATGGCAGTCTGAACTTTTTCAGTCACCTTAAGCCCTGCTTACTGAAAAGCACAATCCTATTTGAACTGATGCGCTGACACAGTCTGAGGAAAGCTGAAGTCAACCCTGGGTATGCTGTTCTCTGGATCAGCGCGGAGAGGAAGTATAGAAGGCTTATAAGGCCAGCATTAAGAGCCAAAGGCAGCCTGACTTCTCTAACTTGATGAAATGTATTTAAAGAAAACGTACTTACTTACTAATTATGAAATAGTAACATGATATGATGGACCCAGTGCTCCCTCCCTATTACTGAAAATAAGGGGTCAAGTTAGTGAAAGCTCTCATTACTAGAAAATGGCTACAACTGCATTTCATTAGAGTACAAATAGCTTTAAAGCATAATCTCTTGATTTATCTTATGGTAATAGGCATTGACAGAATCTTAACTTAAAAATAGAGAGAAGGTTCTTCTCTATACTCCTGGGACATTTAAAATCTCAGCAGTATAATCCTCAAAGTTCATGTCAATGGTCAATCTTTTAAATAAGGCATTTGACTCACTTTAATTTTACATTAAATAGTAGATAAAATTTAAAACAGAAGAAATATTTCAGGAGCTAAAAAGCAGAAGTTTTATTGATACATGTAGTTAGGGAGCAACTACAGATACCTGTTCTATGAAAATTGGGAACTATAGAAAGTGAATGCAACCGTTCAATTAACTGTTTGTACACTAGTTACAGAAAAATAATCACTGTTCTCGATGCAACATGGGAACCTTAAAACATTTAGCAGTATAACTGCAAGACTAGGTTCAATTCAGTCTAACTCAGGTTTCAGTACCATTGTTTCCAACTTAAAAAGATTTTAAACTGTGGGCTGTTTTGAAAAGAGCAAAACAAAAGAATCTTAGCATGAGGTAAATACAACAGAAATTTCTGTTTTGTGTTTACTGACATGAATAATAAAGTATAACTATGGAGCTCCCATTATGGGAGGTGCAATTTAGAGAAAGCAAGGCCTACTCATGTGACTTACAGTTGTTTCTCTTAGGCCTTGAAATTCACTTTTACAGGTTTGTTAACAAAGATTGGTAGCTAAAGATACACGTGGAACATTTATTAAGAAATATGGACACTTCAAACAGGGACCACTGCTAAAAAAATGCAGCATTGGGGAGGTACATTCACCCCTGATTCTCAGTCATAGCTACTGTGTTTCCCCGAAAATTACGATCTATTCCGAAAATAAGCCCTAGCTTGATTTTAATGTGTGTGCCTAATATAAGCCTACCCCAAAAATGGGGCGAGGCACAAGTTAGGGCTGAGGTGGAGCTGCCCCATTTATCCCACACCTTACCTTAAGACCGCAACAGGTGTCGGGGTGTGTGAAACCTGGCTGCGGCAGTCCTAAAGTAAGTGGGTAAGACATCCCCCAAAAATAAGACCTGGTGCTTATTTTGGGAACCAAAAGAAAATAAGACCGATGTCAGGTTCCGGAATGGCGCTGTGAAATAAGACTCAAGACAACCAGATCTAGAGGTCTTTATCTGGCGCTCCGGTATTCCAACAATCATGAGTGTAAAGTGAAATATTGTCAGCGCTATTGCGCAGTGCTCCCCACCAGTTTTGAACGTTAACATCGGGGCTGCCAACCGGGTCTTATTTACAGGGAAACATGGTATATATACATTCTGTCAATATTTTGATTTTTCTGCAGGCATTTCTTCCTCATTATGGGCAAAATTCTGTAAGACGTTTCTATGAGTGAAACAGACACAAGATAATTCTTGCTCCTTCTTGGAGCCCCTCTTCCTTCTCAACATTTTCTCACAATGATAATCTGATTTTGTAAATCTGAATCCCATTGTGATATTCTACATGACAAAAGGGCAGCCCATTGGTTTTGTGTAGCTTTCAGCTATTTCCTTCTTCCTTCTTCCTTTTCTTTTTTCTATTTTTCCTTTCCTTTCCTTTTATTTTTCTTACTTTACATTAGTTTGCATTGGTTTTTAATTTTCTTTTTTAAAATTTTTAATTATACAAACAAAAGCTAGAACGAGATAGTTATGGGAGATACAAATGCTATTGTTTTGTAGCAAGAGTTAATAAAGTAGAATACAAAGATCAGAAAAATGAAATCTGGAAGAAGCACCAAAACACCATTAGCCAAATTTTGTATGCTTAAAGGAATAAAAGATTCTGTCACAAAATTATCACTCTTATAAGATAATGGACCCTGTGGGCCATTTAGAGTGGCTCACCATTCAGGAAGCCTGACAGCATGATAGTTCTGTGGATTATTTGCATGTTTACAAGTTATTTGCAAAAACACTCCTAGGCGCCATGCAGACTCTACTTTTAACATAAACTTCACGTTTGTTCTTTGCTTTTAAACTATTATTGCAACATAGATATGGATTCAAGCTGAGCTGAGCCCCATCGTAAGGCTTTTTAACTTCTACTAATATTTGACAGCTTAGTATTAACAGGTAAAAAAGAAATCCTTATTGTTATTATGCAAAATACATTTTCCCCTCACACACTGGGATGAAAGGAAACATTTTACATGGTGACAGATATTATATTACTCTAAGAAGAAGAAAAAAACCCACCAATTTACCTTACGGCACAAACAGGGAAGGGGGAGGGGAAGCTTGCCCTTCTTATACACTCTCAATAATTCCAAAACAGCTCAAAGAAGATATTTTAGAGTTGATATTTACAACTTTAGGTGCAAAAGTCATAGCAAACCTGGTGCGATCAGCAAGAAAAATTTGCTTGTTCTCTTGCAACTTACTTGATAACCGTCCCTTTGGTGCCCCCTGCTGTTGTCAGCATGACTCTGGTGGTTAAACTCACACGGAGATCATCCTCATCCAAGCCAAGTAGTTTAGCACAGTATTCCAAAGACTGGGCAGATTTATTTTTCAGTGTACATCCACCTGATGAAAAAAAAGAAAAAGGTTTACTAATATAGGTATGTGTATGTATGTATGTATGTATGTGCATATGTGTGTATGTAGATGTCCGTGTGTATGTATATTTTTTAACAATTGGAGTGTTCAGACAATTTAAAAATGATCACTGATAAAATCTGTCTAGACATTGGTATTTGTTTGTGCCATATACTAGGGGTGGGTTCTACTTGCCTTTACTATCGGTTCGCAATGGGATCATGTGTGCGCGATCGCTTTGCTCGCACACGCGCCTTGCTTCTGCGCATGCGCAGATCGCTGATGATGACATCCGGGGCAGTGGGCGGGGCCTCCCTCTGGTTTTACTACCGTTCTTGCGAACTGGTCCGAACCGGGGGCAACCCACCACTGTCATATACGTATCATTTTTTAAAATTGTCTGAACACTCTAATTATTAAGAAATTATACATAATTAATGGATACCTTCAACACTGGCATGCAGGCCAATGAAAAGAAACATAGCCAGCATCCACTACCTTAGAGCAGGGATTTCTGCCAAGGAAAATGGAAGGCAGTAACCACTAAGGAAAAATTGTTAAAGTGTTCTGTGGTTCAGTTCCTAGCACTGTCAGGTAAGAAAGGAGCAGGTAATAAGAAAAACCTCTGCCCAAAATACAGGAATCCACAAACTTCATTAAAAACTTCCCAAGAAGAGCAGGGTATAACGTAAATTCAATTTAAAAGCAATTCTGTGCACAAGCGGTCATGAAAATTTTATATCACTTCAGTGTTATCTGTTCCTCTTAAGCAGCAGAATACATATTTAAAACATCAAGAACGGTTTCAAATAAACAATCAAGCTACACTTGATATATGATATTCATTGACCCTCTTTGGATCCCACTGTGTTTCTTTCCATTTGTACATCTTACAAACGTACCTCACTCTGGCCTGCCACATTGTCAAGACATCTCTCCAATTCCACACGTTTCTCTTGGTTTCAATATTCACCCAGCATTTTAAATTATGTGTTTGGGGGTAAAACAGTAAGGAGTAAAACAAGCCACAGCGGTAAAATTTAGAGACCACTGTTTCTTCAACCCACACTGTATCTTGCATGTAATAAAAGGGGAATAAACTTAGCTCTGGATTTCATATGATGTTGAGGACTCAAGTGCATTATTTCCTACGTTTATTTACTATATTGGAGTCACCGGAGAAGAGCCTAATGTTGGGAAAGATTGAGGGCAAAAGAAGAAAGGGACGACAGAGAATGAGGTGGCTGGATGGAGTCACTGAAGCAGTAGGCGTGAGCTTAAATGGACTCCAGAGGATGGTAGAGGACAGGAAGGCCCAGAGGAATGTTGTCCATGAAGTTGCGATGGGTTGGACACGACTTCGCAATTAACAACAACTTACTATATTCTTCTATCCCTACAGGGGTGTGTGTGTGTGTATTACAATTACATTATCTGTTGCTTTTTAATTTCTTCTACAGTAATTGCAGTTTAATTTGGTTTTTCTTTGTATATTGTTTGGTACTTTTAGTACAGGGTGAATGATCAATTGAATGAATGATAATCATCCTGGCATCATACAGGAGCTTGCTCTTGATCCATTACAGTAGCTGTAATTTTACTTGTCTTAATTTCTCCAAGGAATTAAAAAAAAATAGTTTTGGCCTTTTTAATTACATTTTTTTCTTCCCAGCTTAGGAGAAAGAACTGTGTAAAGTTATCCTAGCAAGTGAGAGAATTAGCATGCCTTATTGCAAATATTTTTAAAAATTATTTTCAAATATAAACTTTTTAAATGTTTGCTAGGAAATAAGAGTCTTAATTTCAGAATTAAGTGGCAGCAATTTCTACTTTCAGCATTGCTCTTTCAGTGAAATACATACAATGATTGATTATGTGCCATCAAATCAGCAAAACAATCTAACCAGATGTGCTGCCAGCTTCTTCAAAATCAATATTCCCCAGATGTAAAACACCAGCAACCACTCGGAAGAGGTCCAGCTTCTCTTCATCATTAAGCCCAATCTTCTTCATTGCAGTGCACATCCTGTTAAAATCTCCATGGTCATCTAGCAGAGGGTCCTTCAAGGAACCTGATTTTTGGTACTATAAACAAGAGGTATGCTAAGTAATCACAAAGGGACAAGGAATCATACTTCTACTGATTAATAGCGACCCCAAATAAACAGAATAAGACATGAAAAACGGAATTTTAAATTCTGCTTAAAATCTCATGATTTTTAGACAAGATGGGGAATCTATCCAGAAACAAAAAAACAGGGAGATTTCGGATGAATGAAAAAAGGCACTGTGAGGGACAAAATATGTCCCAAACTTAGTGAGAAGTGGAATCGTCAAGGAAGAATCTACTGTACTGCTAACACGTGGGCAGGAACATGAGCTAATGCAAAATCAAAATGGGTGGAGAGCTGCAAATTCATCCCAGATCTCCCTGTTTGATTTTGTTGTTGTTTCTGGATAAGATTTCCCATCTTGTCTAAAAATCCTGAGATTTTAAGCAGAATTTAAAATTCTGTTCTTCATATCCTCTTCTGTTTACTTTGGCTCGCTTTCACTTCATAAAAATACTACTGAATCTGTTTGCATACGTAATATCCTCAGTCCAAGTGCTTTGCGTCGCAGATGCAAGGTATAGTTCCTGAAGCCTGCATATAAAGTGCTCCGAACAATTGTTACTTACACAATAAATGAAGATAGTGCATTTGATTGGAACATAGAAAGCTTCATCTAGCTCAGCTCTTCCACTGGCTGACAGAAAAATGTATTTTTCCTACCAGGAGAGTTTGCATATAAATTGAGTGGTAGATTTTTGATGCTCTGGCTCCATTAAAGCATCATTTTGGAGGGAAAACCCTTTACTTGAGGCCAGGAATGGATATCGTGAATGAAATACAAGATCACAACATTTGAAAGATTACAGTAAATAATGATCCTTGGAAACAGAACCAAGCATTCATTTCAGCATGATGGCATTGTTTTATCAAAGTTTATATTTTATACACATACCAACAGTTTTGATTATTTATCTATTTAATTTCAAACAGGACACATTATTATCAATTCAAGGTACTAAAGATTCTAACTAAAAATCAAACTAATACATGCAGAGAGAGGGCATGCTCAAAATAATTGTTCGTCTTAAAGAATATGCAGAAAAACCTGTGAAATCCCAAACAAAACTGTTCTAAGAATATGAGGAAAAAAAGACTAACGTGCATCTACTGAACTCACACCACACAATAATTAAAATCCCAGATTATACAAAATGGTCACCTCATCTTCCTGACAGGAAAGGACAAAAACAATGCAAACATTAATTGACTATTTGTATTAATATAATTAAACATGATACAAAGGGGAAATAAATAAGACAATTCTCTCAGATTAATAATAGTAAGGTTAGGACAGCTGACATTACTGGAAATCAATTATAATTATTCTCTTCACCTCTATAATACTATCTAGAACTGCTCCCTTTCCCAATTTCAATGTCATCCTCCGAGATATAAACAGGGAGAAGAATGGAAAGAAGCATTACACAAAGCGCAGAAATTCTGGATATCTAACTATCAACAGATATTGTGTTCAATCGGGACAATTGTATCAATTTGAAAGCACTTGAGGCTCTTTTACTGCCAAGCAGGTGTTCCTTTCGCTTAGGGACCAAATTAGTTATATAAAAGATGTATCTTTCATTCACCTGGCTGGCTTAGCTTTCCAGATGACAAACCCACATTATATATATTCTCCTCTGTGGATAATAGTATGTAAAAATTCAATCAAGATCCTTTTCAGTAGTTCTACCTGCTCTGCTGCACCCATAACTGATGTTAATTTGACCATCTTGATTACAAAATGCTTGTTCAAATAAACTCTTAGTTAAATGGTATAGAGCTATTGCTTTACTATTATTACGACTAAGGTAAGAAGCAGACATTTGCAAAAAGATATTTGATTGAAGTAGAATTTGAATAAATATGATCTGGTACCTGATAATTTTAAATCTCTAAGACATGTTTGCTTTTTCTTTATTTTTCCTTGTTTTATTAAGCATGAACCAATTCAGATCAAAACCACTATGAATGGGGAGGGCAGGAATTTAATACCGGTAACAAAAACAAACACACACATGCCTAAATTTGGAGGAAGCCCACGCACAGTTAGGGCTACCGTGGTTTTTATTCTAGATTTAAAAGTGCAAGGACAGATACACATGATCTTGAATTTTTCTCCTCTTCCTTTTTTGTTTCTTTTTTTTCACTTTAGTATTATAATTTTTGTAAAATTGCTGTTTGTTCTTTCATTTTTGTTAGTGTATCTGTGTGCGAGGAAGGGAGGGAGAGAGAACATAATAGCTACCTGGGAACAATCCCAGGTATTGAATTGAAATGTGTGTTTCAGCCATTTTGGTCTATGAGTTGAATTATTCTAAAACGTTTTGTAAAAACCTCAACCATTCTGGGCACAAGTATTTGAACTGGGAAGGAAAAGGGGGAAGAATGGGGAATAGTTAACACTGAGATACTTCTTTGGCAACAGAATAGATAAAAACTCCTCAGCATCCCTGGCTGAGGAAAGGAAGAGAAGATTGAGAGTGGAGGGGAGGTGCGATATTCCATTCTGAGCTCTGAGTTGAGGGGAGGGAAAGATGGAGGGCAAATTATGGGAAGAGCAGCTTTGCCTTATTTGTCCTGTGAGCTCCCCATGTTTTGTTTCATCTGAAAATCAAAACATCTCGTATGTCCTTATTTCTTCCAGAGCAAGGCTGATATCAAACATTTCAGCAGAACCTCTGGACTACAATGTTTTGTTTCAAGTCACAAGCAAAACATTTTCCATTTGGTCTATATGTCATTGTGCACTGAAGTAAAAATTCAATGGGATTTTTAATTACGATTCTGTTTTGGTTTTGGTTTTTTTAAAGAACATGGATGCCAATTTGGCTACAATTCTGTCCACACATGGACAAAATCCCACAAATCAATCCAGCTAAATATTATCAAGTTTGAATTGTTAACAGAAGGGCCTGATTACAGATCCTTGACAGTTTTGACAGCGCCAGTCTCCTGTTGCAATGCTGAGCTGTTAGCACTTGAAAAAAGTTGCATAAACCAGATTTTATGCATGATATTACCAACAACTGATGAAGTTCCATATTTTAATGTAAGAAAGGAACGTTTGAAATAGGTATCTTACCTCAGGACTTTTGCGATTCTGTAAAATCTGCTTATCAGTTTCTTTAGTAGCAAAGTAGCGAGTGCACCCACGGTTTAAATACTGTTGCAAGACAAAAGAGTTCACCAGTCAATCAAAACCTCAGCAAGTGATGTTCAATATCAGGTATCTAGTAGCAGAACTACCCCTTGCTTTCTTTTTCTCAAGTCTCCTCTGGGAGCTGAAATCTATAGAGCTTTACATTGCTAAGGTTCAGAAACACTGTGCTAGGCACTTAAATTCAGATATAATTTTATAAATTCAGATTTATTTTATTTATTTGTCAAGCATGAATAAGATAACAGATATAAACATGATTATGAATACAGGAAATGGATACGAATAAATGGGGACATAGGACAGGGATGGTAAGCACATTGGTGCGCTTATGCATGCCCCTTACAGACCTCTTAGGAATGGGGTGAGGTCAACAGTAGACAGTCTAAAGTTAAAGTTTTGGGGGTTTGGGAATGAAACCACATAGTGCATTCTAGGCATTGACCACTCTGTTGCTGAAGTCGTATTTTCTGCAATTGAGTTTGGAGCAGTTTACCATAATTAATTAATTAATTAATTAATTCAAACACTTAGTATTGTCAAAAGTCACATTTAATGCCATAGTGAAGTGTTCTTCAACTATGGCATTAGAGAAGCAAAGCCAGCGTTTTTCCAGAGTCACTTCTCTGAGCAATCCCAAGGAGACCAGAGTATTTGTTTCAAGTTAACCATAGTTTCATATTAACTCAAATGAGAATCCTGATCACTGATCAATCATAATCATGATTTGTAAAAACAAGAGAGACGCATATACTCCAGTGTGAAGTTAGGATATTGTAATAAAGTCTGGTTAAAATAAACCAAGGTTGCTAGGCAACACTTCAAAATGTGAACAAAAGCTGATGTCTTAAATAATATTTGTGGCAATATATCAAAAGCAGCAGGAATGTGATAAATCAGTTTATTATAATATTCTAACATGTCTAATACTATCCAACGTTACTGCCTTACATATCTATTCCAGAATATAAAATAGAAATATACGATATAGTGCCTTTCAAATGTTTGAGAACACAATTACATATGATTGAAACCGCATAGTCAAAAGTCACAGACTTGGGCTGCTGAAGTTCAGAAGCTCTGGAGACATCAGGCTGATTGCTCTTGGCACAGAAGAATACATATACAATACAGATAGTTCTTGACTTGCGACCACAAATTGAGCCCAAACTTTCTGTTGCTAAGCAAGACAGTTGTTAAGTGAGTTTTGGCCCATTTTATCACTTTTCTTGCCACAGTTGTTAAGCGAATCACTGCAATTATTAAGTTAGTAACATGGTTGTTAAGTGAATCTTGCTTCCCCATTGACTTTGCTTGTCAGAAGGCCGCAAAAGGGAATCAACATGACCCCATGACATTGCAACCATCAGAAATATGAACCAGTTGTCAAGCATCCAAATGTAAATCACGTGACCATGGGGATGCTGCAATAGTCGTGTGAAAAATGATCGTAAGTCCCTTTTTTTCAGTGCCATTGTAACTTTGAATGGTCACTAAATGAACTGTGGTTAGCTGAGGACTACTGGTATATGACAAAGTGATTCAACCAAGTTTGGTCCAAAATCAAGCTTCGGCACAACAGATTCATAGATCCAAACTTTTACAATCCATTAGTCACATTGATTTGAATAGACCTGCTCTAAGTGTATCTGAATCCAGTCTACTATAAGTAGTTAAAATGAATTTTCAGTATGGTAATACTTTAGATCAACTTACCCTAAAGTTATCTGGTGAACTTAAATACAATTTCTCCCTTATATTTTCAGGGGCTCCAGCACATAGCCTATAGAATATGTGGTAATTCCTTTCTTCTGGGCCTTGAACACAAATCCTGGATTTCTCCAGGAGATAATGTGACACAAATCCACCAACAACTGAATTCTAGGGTTAAAAAGAAAAAAGAAAAAAAAGCAAAATTGTGATTCCAAAGCCCAAACTCTTAATTCTTTAAATATATTATATGTACTTTCTAATCCATATAGTTTCTTGAATATATTTACAAGTAAATGTAATTTTTAAATTATTTAATGTTAACATCATTAGATCAGAGATGCAATTTGGTTAATCTCTTATTGTTATGACTAGATAGTGCCTACAATTTCCTACCAGCATGATGAAAGTCCCAAGTTGGCAGAAACTACCAACCATCATAGACCAACATATCTAGAGGACATCAAATTGAACAAGGATGCTTTATGTTAACTTATGTTTAACTTATCAAAAAAAAAAGGTATATGGTATATAATTCAGATTTTTTTTTTCTGACTTTTCTCATTTTTCCCATTGGCAACCAAAATTTTAATGCTAGCTCAGATTTAAAGTTGAGTTGTAGCTAGAAGATATGAGATTGGAGATGAAGATGATGATATGCAATTCATATTATAAAACTTATTTTGTCTTTAGATCAGGGACCTCGGAATTCTTAAACTAAATTCAGAAGAATTTTTAAATAGCAAACAACATATTGTAATCCAAAATGGACTACCATACATGACATGCCTAGTTTAATAAAAAGAAGGACTAGGGTTGATATGATTGCAGTGTTCCAATATTTGCGGGACTGCCACAAAGAAGAGGGAGTCAAGCTATTCTCCAAAGCACCTGAGGACAGGACAAGAAGCAATGGATAGAAACTAATCAAGGAAAGAAGCAACCTAGAATTAAGAAGAAATTTCCTGAAAGTTAGAACAATTAATCAGTGGAACAACTTGCTTCCAGAAGTTGTGCATGCTCCAACACTGGAGGTTTTTAAGAAGAAACTGGACAAATTTGTCTGAAATGATGTAGGGTTTCCTGACTGAGCAGGGGGTTGGACTAGAAGACCTCTAAGGTCCCTTCCAACTCTGTTATTCTATGTATTCTGTTTATTCTGTTTACATAAAAGTGTCTTAAACAAGTGATCCATACAGAAGGGCACAAAGAAAATGCTATATGAGCAATAGGACCTATCAAAAGAAGAAGATAAGAAATTTCACCACAGATAAAGAAATATAAATACCTTTTCATTGAAATGGATTTCTACAAATTTTCCAAAACGACTGCTATTATTGTTACGAACAGTCTTTGCGTTTCCAAATGCTTCTAGTAGTGGATTGGCTATTAAAAAAAATGGAACAAGATTAGCACAATTTTTAATAAACAAAACTTGGATGAAAGCATGTTTTAATATCCAAAACAGAGAAATGAAGACATAAATCTAATCCTAACCCTCTCTACCCACTGAAAAACTGGACCCGAGAGTTGGAAGATCTTTCTAAACCGTCTGAAATAATGAATGCTAATAAAAATGCATATAGAAATTGACTAGCATTATGTATTTTTTAATATGAGAAAAACCATCTTATGAACCAAAGGCTCATACAACTACTTCAGTTGCATGTGTGAAGAAACAAAAGCTTCTCTCAACATTTAAAGATAAAATTTCCTTCAGATTAACTCCACTCTGGGTGACCTCATGGAAATGTCCATATTGTATTGTTTTCTTCATTAAAATACGGGAATGGTTTATTATTACCTTCTCCGAGATTCTTTTTGAATTTCACAATCTAACCTACAGCTCTTGTTGTTCCCCCTGCTGTTCTTCCATAAAGGTACTAACCAGACTTGGCCCTGCTTAGCCAAGTAAAGTTACTTAGCATTGAGTATCAGACAAATAAATCCTGAAATCTTGAAGGGAAGAAGACTCTCTGTTCGCACTAGGTAAGGGCACCCAATGCAACAGTTTGGATCCCAATCACTGTATAATCTTCCTAGAAATTGTTCCACTTAAAGATTACCCTTTGCTGTATCCTAATATTAACAGCTGTTAAAATATTTCACTAAAGTATTTTAACAGCTATTAATATTTTACCTCACTAAATAGTTTTTGAATAATACTAGTGTTAAATCAAACGGAGTTGTTTGGAAGTGCATTAAATAGCTCCATGTTAACTGTTCCATGTTAATAAAATAATCCTGAATTATCTCATAATGCATATCCCATCAGCATGTGTGCATGCAATAAACCAAACCTACTTAATTCAATGTACAGTTCAAGCAAAAATTCAAGAAAAGGGTGGTTAAGATTTAGGCATTAGACCAGAGAACATGCATATTGGGGATGCCCAAAAATGAAGTAAACGACAACAACAAAATAATCCATATGTAATAATCTGGTCGATGCAACTAGAGACAAATCGCAAAGCACATACATTTCCCTGTCCTGGAAAGCAGAAGATGATACTAAATTAGCTATTGGTCCTCTGACCTCTTAGACCAAGGAAAAGAAGAAGAAGGTAGTTGTGAACCTTTGGTGCTGCAGCCATAAGACACAGATATAGCCAGTGGTCTTAGAACAGGGGTGACAAACTCGATTTCATTGAGGGCTGCATCAGGATTGTATTTGACCTTGGGGGCCTGGGTTGGGCATGGCCAGGGTGGGTGTGGCCAGCTTGACATCACTCATGTTGGAGGCGCCTGTGGTCGTCCAAGCGCTCTGCCAGCGAAATCAGGCTCCTGAGCTCCGTTTCAGCTGCGATGGCCTCCTGCAACCCTCTACCAGTGAAAACAGAGCTTGGGAGTGCCCCCCCTGGCCCTCGCGAGCTCTGTTTTCGGCTGCAATGTCCTCCTGCAACCCTGTGACAGTGAAAAAGAAGCTCGAGAGGACTGCATGCAGCCCTCCCGAGCTCCATTTTCACTGGCAGAGACACTGCGGGCTGGTCCTTCAGTGTTTCCAGGGCAGCCCTGCTGGCTAGATCTAAGCACCCTGCAGGCCGAATCTGGCCCCGGGGCCTTGAGTTTGACACCCCTGCCTTAGAACCAGCAAATGCCTGGAGCCAATCCAGACTATACTGATTGAGCTTAGTCCCCACATCACTCAGCAGCAGAAGACAAGAATATTCTTAAGCAAGCATGCTTGCAAGTGAGCTATTAAAATAAACATTGATAAGCTTAAGGACATGGTCATTTGTATTGGAAGGACACTTCTACAGAGTTGATGTAGACAACTGTATAATGGGAACAAACCAACCTTTGTAGTTAAAACTCTCATAATTCCCAGCCATCCCTCCTCACTAAAATATCTGGGAATTCTGGAGTCCCATGACAATTTGAGATGTCAGACTAGAGAAAGCTGATATGAGCTGTATGATCATACTAACCTTCATTGCCATTCCACATCTACCATCAAAACTGCCTCTATCAGGCATTTATTAAGCAAACTGAAGAAACACTTATAAAGGTAGTCCTCAATTTATGACTACAACAGGGACCAGAATTCCATTGCTAAGCAAGGAAGTTGATAAGGGAATCAAACCTGATTGTACAATCTTTTTTGCCAAGGTTCTTAAGCAAATCACTCCAGTTGTTAACCAAATCATGTGGTCATTAATCAAATCCAGCTTCCCCCATTGACTTTGCTTGTCAGAAGCCGGCGGGAAAGGTTGCAAATGGTGATCACATGATTCTAGGAAAGCTACAACCATCGTAAATACATGTGGGTTGCCAAGTACCCGATTTTGGATTGCTTGACCATGGGATGCTTGTAATAAGCATAAATGCAAGGACTGATCGTAAGTCACTTCTTTCAGTGCCACTGTAACTTCGAACAGTCACTAAACAAATGGTTGTAAGTTGAAGGCTAGATATATTTTGCCATAGTGGCAGTAGAAATCTATTTAGGTACAGCTTCTTGAATAAACAATTCTGCCATTCTCAAATTTTTTGGTTGGGAACAGAGGACTAACTTTATATGTAATGCTTGATTTTCAACTCAAAACTGATCTAATATTCATTTAGTCCCAAGAATGCACGGGACCTTGAGGGGGAAGACAAATAGTTTTATGTAACTGACATAGTATTAGAAAAGGAATTGGTCATTAAAGGTAAGGTTAAAAAAAAATATTGCTGAATTTATATATCATAAAGATAAATACAGATTCCTGGGATGGGGGGAAATTGTGTGTGTGTGTGTGTGTGTGTTGGTTGTCTGTAAGTTAAAACAAGTTGAGTTGGCAAGTGACCTTTCAAACTACCAACCTCTCAGGAAAATGCACAGAACTGCAACACAACGATTCGATGGTTACAGGTACAAACACATATATACACGCACTACAAAAAGGCTTGGTGAATAAGTCCTTCTGTAGTAATAATGCATCCATGCAGGTTAAGATGTGCTTAAAACAAAAATGGGAGCAAATGTGTATTAAGAGCAGATGACCTGGAGAAGGCATTTATTTCAAGCTTCCCCATCCCCAAAATGAAATACCTACGGGTACCAGTGTTGGAAATGCAGCTTCGGACATTATGCCAAATGGTCAGCCACTTTCATAGGTGCCATGGATAATGGAATACTTATATATTCCGCTGTAATTAAGCAATATCATTCTCAATTATTTTCCTGGAAGCACTGCTTTGCAGTAAACCCTGGCTATGAAGTCCATCAAAAGTAGGACTGCTCAGGCTATGCTAATCCTTCGTAGCCTCAAAGCATCTTGCCACTGGGAAAGGAAACATATCATAGACCTTGCATTTTTCAAACAAGCATACATGTGAACGCTCCACTCATTCATCTGAATACACACACAAACACACACAAAAATCAAGTATGTGAACCCACACACAGACCATTCATTCATCTATAACCTCCGGAACGGTTTAATAGCTTAGCTGAATACTTCGGACAGAATATATTTACTTATATCACAAAGTAAAGAATTGTAGTGCCATAAGGGAAGGAAAAAGTATGAAATTATTTCCTACTTTATTATATAGCTTCCCTTCTTTTAAGTCCTTGATACCGGAATAAGCTATTGTTAACATCCCGCTATTGATCTCCAAGTAAGCCACTAAGATCAGTGTTTTCTGAAGTAAGTCCCATTTCAAATAACTTCTTCAAAGAAATGGCAAACAGCATCATGCTGCTTGTATTAGAAACTGTTTAAAGGTAAAGGTTCCCCTCGCACATACATGCTAGTTGTTCCCGACTCTAGGGGGCGGTGCTCATCTCCGTTTTAAAGCCGAAGAGCCAGTGCTGTCCGAAGACGTCTCCGTGGTCATGTGGCCGGCATGACTAAATGCCAAAGGCACACAGAACACTGTTACCTTCCCACCAAAGGTGGTCCCTATTTTTCTACTTGCATTTTTACCTGCTTTCGAACTGCTAAGTTGGCAGAAACTGGGACAAGTAATGGGAGCTCACCCCATTACGTGTCACTAGGGATTCAAACTGCTGAACTACTGACCTTTTGATTGACAAGCTCAGCGTCTTAACCATTGAGCCATCACGTCCCTTATAAAAACTGTTTGCAGGTAAGCAATTCTTACAAAGACATTAAGGGAACAGATAGGGTCAACACAATACTCCTTCACTCATCCGCAAATACATCTGACACACAGAAAATACTTCTAACTGAATCGGGTAGAAAACGTGCCTTTAAATTCAGAAAAAAGCTTCAGTCTCTGCACACTCGTGCCAAAGACTTGATACAAAAGTTTTCTAGATGGCTCCAGCGGTTGCCTAATTCACCACACTTCTCATTCTGCAACAAAACTGGAACCACATTGCAAGATCTACTGGCAAAAATCTTCCAACAGTGTTTGCGTATGTACAATTGCCCAGAAACATGTTCTCCTTTTGCTGGCCTTATTTTAAAGCCTCTGTTTTCTAAAGGAACTAGAAAAAAAGATTTCAGGGATGAGTAATCTGAGATTCCCAAACTCTTTTTTGGTCCCTGGAGCCGCTCCAATACAATCATTAAAAAAAAAATCAATAGTGTGATCTCCTGCCATTCTGAGACAGGAAGCTTACAAAAATTGTACCGTAAACCATAAAAAAAGCCTAATACTTTTAAAAAGGAAAAGAAAAGAAATATTAAATTTATCTCCCCACTGAAGAAAAACAAAAAGAAAAAAAAATATTAAACCTAGTCTCCACCCCACCCCGTTCCCCCAAAATGCAATAGCAATTCCCATCTTCAAGAAAAGTTACATTTAGGCCCTCTCTTCTTCAACAGATTCCTTGTTTCAATAAATTTAAAAGTAAGTATGAATACCTTCTACAATCCTGTCATCAATATCTTGTCCACTACCATAAGATTCAGTCAAATACCTATAAAGAAAAAAAAATAGCAATTTTTGAAAGGCTCTTTACTCAAGTTTTAATCATACAGCATCCCTTGTAATTAAATGAGCTGTGTACAAAATTTATTTGTATCCCACCTTTTTTATTATTTTTGCAAATAACTCAAGATGGTGAACATATCCAACACACCTTCATCTTCCTATTTTCCCCACAACAACCACCCTGTGAGGTAGGTTAGACTGAATGAGAAACTGACTGGCCCAAAGTCAAACAGCTGGCTTTTATGGCTAAGGCAGGACTTGAATTTGAGGTTTCTTGCTTCCTAAACTGGCGCCTTAACCACTAAACTGACTTAACCGAAGTGCCATTAGCTTCCTGCCTATTGAGAAACTGAGGAAATTATTATTTTGTTCGTCCTTTTATAGGCAAGAGCAGTGTTGCTTTTGGGATATGCCTGCTGTGAGTTGTTCTGAGGTCCCTACTCTTTTCTAGAATGCTCCATGTTCCTATCAGGTTTTAAGTGTAATACAAGTGAAAGAAATTAATCGGGCAGAGTAACTTTTGTATTTTTTTTATTGGTTAAGGGTCTTGAAAAAGTCCGGAAACAAGATATCCCTACAAGAGATCTGCTAGTCTTTAAAAAGTTGATCAAGACATGACTGTTTTCCTAGTCCTCTGGGCTTAGGTGACTAGTGAGTCCTGTGGGATGGGGTTTTTTTCGCCTATTCCATTCAATTTACCATTGACTGAAGTCACATCTGAGTTATGGATGGATGATTGGGTTTTATTCCTCGTTTAATGTTTATTAATCTTCGCAGAAGCACACTGGTTGAGTTGTACAGCCACATAAATTCTTGAAATAAACAAACAAGCATTCGTAAACTCTGTTATGGGACTTCTTTAGATTTAAAATTTGTTCATATTTCAGTCACAATTGTTTTCAGTATCGGAAGTACATCCATTATGAATTCAAGATGTTTGGGTTAAAATGACTGCACTTCAACGATTCATTCAACTAAAACACTTTAAGCTAAAGATACAAACCGTAAAACAAATTTAGTATTTTCTGTCTTGCCAGCTCCTGATTCACCAGACACGATGATCGACTGACTCATCTTGAGCACTTTCATGTCGCGGAAGGCTTTGTCAGCTGAGGTAAATATTGAAGAGGACAACAAAGTGAGTTTCCAACAGAACAGATATCAATATTTTCATTACTTTGAGAAGCACTGTAATATTCTATTGTAAACATTTGAAACACAAAAATAAATACATTTTCTTTTTCAAGTATACAGCTACCTATATTTCTTGAATGAAAAGAAGCAGTGCCACAAAAGATTTGCGTAAAATGCTGATGCTACATAGGTAGTCCTCAACTTAACAATCATTTGTTTAGTGACCGTTTGAAGTTGCAGTGGCACTGAAAAAATTGACTTATGACCGTTTTTTAAACTTATGATCATTGTAGCGTCTCGATGGTCATGTGATCAAAATTCGGATGCTTGCCAACTGGCTCATATTTTTGATGGTTGCAGAGTCCCAGGGTCATGTGATCATCTTTTGTAACTTTCTGATAAGCAAAGTCAATAGGGAAGCCAGATTCTTTACTAAGAACTATGGCAAGAATGGTAGTAGAATGCGACAAAACTCACTTAATAACTGTCTTTCTTAGCAACAAAAAATTGGGGCTCAATTGTGGTCATACGTCAAAACTTGCTGTTCAGTATTACCACAGCACTCTCCTTAAGACACCAAGTCTTAGACCGTTAAAGGTCTATAGCTTGGCAGTTCAAGACCCCAGTGCCACGAGACGGAGTGAACCAGCTCCTGCCAACCTAGCAGTTCAAAAGGATGTAAATGCAAGTATATGCATATGTTCCACATATAAGTATATGGGAAGGTAACAATACTCTGTATTGCAGTGTGATGTCATGTTGGCCACATGACTGCAGAAACATCTCCTAGACAGCACTGGTTCAAGAAACAGAGATGAACACCGCCTCCCTAAAGTCGGTCACAACTGATTAAAAACCCACAGGGACACCTTACTCTCCTAAAAGTAACCAAAATACATATAGATTGGAGTCTTAAAAGCAAACTGTAATCCAAGCAACCAACTTGTTCATGGTCATACAGATCAACTGCAACAGTTCCAGCATCTTGCCTTATTTTTATCAGTGTGAAAAGCAAGAGATAAAAGCATCTTAGACAAAATAAAAGCTACAGAAAATAAAAGCACTGAAACATTGGAAGTCAGAGAAATCTTACCAATTGCATAAACGTGAGGCGCCAGCGTCCCTAGTGACTTGCCTTGATACTTTTTAATAACATCTAATGAGTAAAGTTTTGGTATATCGAAGTAAGGATTCACTGCTATCAGGATGTTGGCTACATAAGTCTGGAAAGAAACCCCACAACAGAATGTGTTATAATCACATGGATTTGGAATTTCTGTTCTGTAAACTTTAGAGGTCTATTACCAATAGATGCAGGGCATTCTTCTGAGGGAATGTTCAACACATTTCCAAGGTCAATTTCTTGAAGTCAGAACCAAATCGCAGTTGCAGTTTTTATTTTATTATTGTAATATTGGTTTAATAATTTTAAACAGCATCATTTCGTATGCTGATAAATTACAGTGTAAAAAGCCACTGAATACATAAGGGTATATTTTGTAAACCCTTTAAAATAAATTATCAGTGCTAGTAGTTGTGATTTTTTATGTAGTGTATGCTTACAATTAGGTGCAATACAAATAAATCAATTACAAATTAATTAGTAGCAAAATTATTTTCACACAAAGTATCTTTAGCACGTCTGCTCATTTTTCAAGGATGAACTGTGATTCCGTATAACTTAAAATTATGATCAACACAAAATTACACATATTATACAGTGACTTATTTTTCTTTAAAAAATAAAAATGAAAAAGAACCTAGAGTAATGGGCCTATACAAACATAATGGTACATCAGAATTTAAGAGGCGGGATTAGGAAAAAAAAATTTTTTTTTAACATAACTGTTGTATCCCTGCTTCTGGAATTTTTTTCAGAAGTTTCGTCTTTCTATTTCCCAGCTGGCATTTGTCAAAGCAGATGGCAGGGTCCATGTGCAATTTAGACCGAATTTGTTACATATGATCAGGCAATCTAATAGCCCCATAAAATATTAAGCTGGCGGTTTGAGCTGGGAAGTGTCAGGGGTGATATGGGGTTCTTCACTTGACAGAAAGGAAGACAAGCATGCATCTTTTGCTTTTCAATGTACTGTGGACTCTAAAAGAATTGCATGTAAGGATGAGTTATGCATTATTATGTGCATAATGCGCCATTTGAGTAGGTGTATTCAATAAAAACCGAACGCTAGATTGAAAAATTAGTCTAGCGATCATACAGCTTTCCTGCTTCTTAATCAATTGAGCAATGACAGAGGGATTTTTTTTAATGTATTACTTCCATTCACAAAATGAAGATTCAAAGTAAATTTCTCCCCAAATTGCTTTTTGACAACAGATGGAGTGAAAGTAACGCAAAAGCAGTCGCTAAATAGCTAGCAGCCTCAGAAACTTTAGAAATCCTGTACATAGCAGCTAGATAACAAGTCGCAAAAACCATACTTGTATGGTTTGTTAATTCTTAATGTGAAATCTGCTTTTGTCAAAGAAACAAAGCAACACTCCAGTAACTGGGTGTAGCACATAAAAATGGTTTGATATCAGGATTGTGCACAGCTGAAAAGGCCACATCATAAAGCCTATTGTACAGTACAGAAAGAGTAATCTAAAGGCTTGATAGATTAGTCTAGTTAATCTATTGGCCATCCTATAAGAAAATACTGGCAATGAAGGAGAGCTGGTGGAAAACAATTCAATTAGTCAGGAAAAAAGACTCTTCCCTCTTCTGGCAAACTACCCGAGGACTAGGAAACCCAATAGCCACCCACTCTATCTCCCCATTCAATTAAGTGCCAATTCAAGCTTGAGTGGAACATTTCAGAAGGTTGTACATAATCCTTGCTGGTAATATAAATGAGACCTAACAAGTTTAAAATTGCCCCCCGCCAAATGGCTCTGTACAAGAGGCAACCCTTAACTCATCCCTTAAGAACATAAGACTCCAGGTGTTTATTATGTTCGGGCTGTAATAACTCCATAATAAAACCAGATTCACAGCTGGTGGGTGCCTCTGCTAGCCTCCGTGTTTACATTCATAGATCAGCATCCGTGTTTATGTTCATAGATAAGACTAGTTATGTTCCAAAACATTGGGGCTTGGGAATAATTGGCTCAATTTATAATAAGAACAATAAGAATGATTCATGCAATTATACAGGCCTATCAGCCTTCTGAGTGTGGTTAGCAAATTATATGCTAAGCAAGCAGTTAATCACAAATTCCAAGACTGGATAGAGGCATGGGGAATAATCCAAGATGAGCAGCCAGAATTCAGAGAACAGAGGTCAACAACAGACCATATTCTGGTGCTCTACTGTTTTGCACAAAGATATACTCAAAATAATAATAATAATCCTCCTTCTTTGTGGCCATTGACACAACTTCCAGGAATTTTTTTTAATTTTTTTAATTTATTTTTTTTTTAATTTTTTTTTATTTGATTTATATGCCGCCCTTCTCCGGAGACTCAGGGCGGCTTACAATGCGTTAAACAATAGCCTTCATACTTTTGTATATTTTATACAAAGTCAATTTATTGCCCCATAATCTGGGTCCTCATTTTACCTACCTTAGAAAGGATGGAAGGCTGAGTCAACCTTGAGCCTGGTGAGATTTGAACTTGCAGTAATTGCAGGCAGCAGATGTAAGTGGATGTTAATTAGTCTGCTGACTAATTGGCTGACTAGTCCAACTCCTTTGGAATTGCCTTGGGAGGGCAGGGAACTATTGACAGCTACCACCTCTTTCTGATACAGAAATTATACTCCAACACTATTTTAAGAATGAAATACAATCCCCCAACTTCAGAAAGGACTCGGACAGGGACATATTCTTTCCCCCTCTTTTTTCATATTGGACATCATCAATTCAATGGTGGACCTTCTTAATAATCCTATGCTTCTCTACACTGATAGTGCCACTACAATTTCACAAATTCCCATAAGGCTGTAAAAAGCAATAACAGTACTATTTTGGTACCACAGATCACCCGGTTCCCAGTTTTGAAAAATCTAAAATTCTGGTCTTTGCTAAGAGAGCCACCCAACTGCCTGGAGAGTACAAGAGCAGAAATCAGAGCTGGTTATGGTATTGAAATACTGTACTGAAATACCTTGGAGTGGTTGTCTACCTTAAAGGCACTTGAAACACATACCAGAACCACATAATGAAGCTAATTTAGGTCTAAAAGGGCAATTAAGCACTTCTTTTATACTTGGAAGAGCACAATTAATCCCTGCGGTATTAAATCACTTGAGGCTAAATCACTGGCCCAAATCCTTTATGGGGCAGAAGTAGATTTGAAATTTATGCAAAGAAGGATATACTGGAAACAGTGCACACAAAATTTTTGAGATCAGTCCTTGCTGCACCCAAGGACAGCAAACACCCAGTTAAGACTTGAGATAGGAATGCCTACAACCAGATAAGGGCTTGGAAGAAGAGGATACATTACTGGCTGAAAATCCAAATCTTCCAGTTGAACTGAGACTAGTTTTAATAAAATGATTTTCCTTCTCCCTGGAAACAGGCTGTAGAGCAGGATTCGGTATTATATGGGCTTTCTGCACCATGCCTAATTTCTTTAGGATATGACCACGCCAAACAACTGCTCAGCCCAAGAATAAAGAGGATATGGAGTTTCAGACTGAAGTTAATAGGCTGCCCTAACATGGCAGAAATTGCATAGATAAGAGCGCTTGGGAAACAGGAAGATATCTATAAAATCTAACTTTCCCCAAGCTGATTTTTCAAAGCAGGCGTAACATCTTTCCATCCTCACTGCTGCAAGGCAGATACTCTAAAGCTCATTAACTGAGCATACCTGCTCATGAGGCGACAAATAGATCAAAGCCATTTTGCATGCATTTGCACTGCAAATTTTACAGGGATGTTAGATGTACTTATATTCTACTTCTACTATGAAAATTTCCAGGAAGACCAGACTATTTCTATGTGAACTATCTTCTAGAAGATTCATAATCTTTTATTACTTGTGCAGTAGTCAATTCCTTTGTTGCTGCCGAAAATAAGGCATAACTGGTTATACAAATAATAACTTCTGCTTTATTTATCATTTTAGGTTCAACACATACTAGCCATTTTGTTTTTAGATGATATATAGTAAATTTTACTTTGTAGATTGTAATATTTTAGATTTACACCTGCACAGGTAATTGATGCACCGATATAGTATATGTCATATTTTTATGTTATTTCATTTTTGTTATTAGTATTTTATCTCATCTATTAGATTTTACTTTGGTGTTGTATTTTTTTTTTATTTTCACTGGTCATTGACCAAATAAACAATATATATTTCATATTATGAAATATATGAAAACCCCACCCATATTTTTCACAAACTGAGATGATACTTACATAAATTCTATCCTTGCTGTAGCGAACTCTTATATTATGTAAGAGGGTAGCTTCATTTAAATACATTAGGGAACCTACAATGAAAGCACAACAATAATTTCGTAAGTACCATATATCCTGCCACTTTTCCTGAAAGAAATCTGTGACAGACTTAGAGGAAGTGAGATAAGGGCTCAGGATCTGTGGCAGGCCTAGAGGATTATAGGAAAAATTCTAGTCTCTCTCTTTTTTTTCTTCTTCTGTTCAATTGTCTCTAATTCTTGGAGACTCCTGAACAAATCTCTGAAGTTTTCCTAGCAAGGTTTTGCTTTTTTTTCAGAAGTGGTTTGCCCTTGCTTCCTTTACTAAGACTAAGAGAAAGTGACTGGCCCAAGGTCAATCAGCTGGCTTTGTGCATAAGACAGGACTAGAACAAATGGCCTGCCTGAAAGAAACAGCACTTAGACTTATATATATATTCACAGTGTTTCACAGCCCTCTCTAAGCAGTTTACAGAGTCAGCATATTGCCCCCAACAATCTAGGTCCTCATTTTACCGACTTTGAAAAGTTGGAAGGCTGAGTCAACCTTGAGCCGGTCAGGATTGAACTCCTAGCTGTGGCCAAAATTTGCCTGCCATACTGCACTTCAGCCACTGCAACTAGTCATAGCTAAGGCTAATCTGATAATGCTGTTCCTGCCAGTAGCATTCTTCAGTAGCATTCTTCATTCAGACTCAGCATGTTTCAAATGGCACCCTTTAAATACACAGTAGGCCAAACAAATCACCCAGGGTTCCATTCTGGGGGGGGGTTGGGAGGGGACACTTTACCTAGCAACACTCATTCATTTGCAAAGAGCCTTGGTTCAAGCAAGGAGCTGGGTTTTGGTAACCTCAATCTACATAGAGCCCCTGCTACCTCACTTAATGTTTACATGGCTCACTTACAATTATCCTCCACATCCTTCTTACTGTCCTCCTCTGCGGGAAAGACTTGGTTGATAGCAGCAAAAATGGTCTGTCAAAGAAAAGGAGATATAAGTAATTGGTTTCTGTTGGAAAGTAAAGAAAGCCTTATTATTAGAAGTAATACATAAGCAAGCACCTTCATGTAAATCTACAGGAAGGGAAGTTTTGTGCACAATAGCTCAGTTTTCCTACAAGGATATAGCAATAGCAATAGCACTTAGATTTATATACCGCTTCACAGTGCTTTACAGCCCTCTCTAAGTGGTTTACAGAGTCGGCATATTGCCCCCCAAAATCTGGGTCTTCATTTTACCGATCTTGGAAGGATGGAAGTCTGAGTCAACCTTGAGCCGGTAGGAATCGAACTCCTGGCAGTCGGCAGAATTAGCCTGCAATACTGCATTCCAACCACTGCATCACGACAGCTCTATAATGCAGGAAATGCAACCCATGCATTTTCAGGAGTTGCCAGTGAAATATAAAAGTAAGGGATAGCAAATATATGGAACACCAAATTTATGATCAAGAGAAAGTACTTTTGATACTTGATGAAGACAAATCACCTTAAGTAACAAATTAAAAAAAAAAAGATTATCTGGTGATTATCTGAACATTTCTATGTACGGTTTTTGGTGAGGAAACAAATTGCTTTGCCAACAGCTTCTTCTAAAAAGATAATTCACTTCTCAGTTGAACCCACTGCCCTAGCATTTCCCTGCAGTCTCCCATCCAAGTATAGATAGGCTCAACACTGTTTACCTTCAAGCCCAGAAAGTCAGGCAGGTACTACCACTTGCTGCAACTATAGATACTGGCACACAATACTGCAAAATATTCGGAAATTTACCACCCAAATCACTACTGAGTACTAACTGAGTTTTGACTTTATTCCTGTTCAACAGTAACTGTTTTTAAGCCGTTCTTAACTATTCCTAAATTTAAGGCTCCAAATTAGTGGTATATTTAATATTAGTTGCTTGGAGACAAATGTTCCAATCAGAATTTCAAGTTTCTAGCAAGGTAAAAGTGCTGTCTGATCTAATCATTCCCCTTGATCTTAGACAAAAGTCTGAGAAACAATGTAAAATTCTTTTATTTATCTCGCCTTTTTTTTAAAAAAAAATAAGTCAAGGCAGATATCCTCCTATTTTTCTCTCAACAACAACCTCATGAGGTGGGTTGGCTGAAAGAAAGTTACTGGCCCAAGATGGCTTTCATGCCTAAGGAGGGACTAGAATTCACTGTCTCCCTGTTTCTAGCTGATGCCTCCACCACTCCCCTTACTTTTGTAGGTGTGGCCAAATTGACATAGCGTGTACCAGAGTGAAATCCAGCGGTTCTGACAGGTTCTCGAGAACTGGTAGCAGAAATTTTGAGCACTTCAGAGAACCGGTAGTGGAAATTTTGAGTAGTTCGGAGAACTGGCAAATACCACCTCTGGCTGGCCCCAGACTGGGGAGGGAATGGAGATTTTGCAGTATCCTTCCCCTCCACGCCCACAGAACAGGTAAGTAAAAAAAATTGGATTTCACCACATATGTACTATGTACATATATATTTTAAAAAGTACAAATAAAGTAGTTATATCATTACTGATACAGAATTTAGGAGTGTATACCTAATACACACAAATTATCTGAAGAGAGAGACTCCGGGGACTCGGAAAATCTTTTCTACCTCTCAATTCTCATCCACCCTGCTAGGAATCTGCAAAGTGCCACATTTCTCTAGTCCTTATTAAGCCAGGACAACCAAATGACACTTTCTTGATTTCCTGGCTATTATAGTCGGGGCAGAGAAAGTAACCTCAATGTCCCTCTTTGTGGAATTCAGAGAACTCTGATCCTGATGTTATTTACCACCATTTCTAAGATGGGAACCAATGAAAAGGGTAATATAAACCTGTACAGGTATTCCTCAATTTACGTCCATGATTGAGCCCAACATTTCTGTTGTTAAGTGAGACATTTGTTAAGTGAGCTTTGCCCCATTTTACGACCTTTCTTGCTACAGTTGTTAAATGAATCACTGCCATCATTAAAAGAGTAACACAGTCATTAAGTGAATCTGGCTTTCCTATTGACTTTGCCTGTCAGAAAGTCGCAAATGGTGATCACATAATCCTAGGACTCCATGACGGTCATAAATATGAGTCAACTGCCAAGTGTCTGAATTTTTGTCACGTGATCATGGGGAGTTGTAAGTGTGAAAAAGTCGTGTCACTTTTTTCAATGCTGTTGTAACTTTGAACAGTCACTAAATGAATCGTTGTTAAGTTGAGGACTATGTGTACAGCTAATTCAGATTTTAAAACTCTGATGTACTCCCAGCAGCTGTTCCCCATCCAGGAACAGTCCCTTCTCTTGCCTGAAAAGCCTAACACTTATTAATCTCTCTCTTCCTTATGATGCAGGAAGCTGCAGCTCCAAGAAAACGCTGTCTTACTCAGTGCACTTACAGGATGATTTACGCTCCTTGAACCCAAACCCAACCATCAGTAATCACTGGTCAGCTCCTGAATTGAAACAGCTGCCCTATACTGTGGACAACGACTTTTTGTAAAAAGTAGTATCACTTTCCACTGGAAGAAATTTGAAACGGCTTGTGCGGATGAGATTCCAGATCTGATCCAAACAAGCATGTGCAAAATTCATGAACCAATGAGTCAAAAGCAGCCTCATACTGTTACTTTAGAAGAAAAGACTTTTTATTTTAGACCACTAAATTGGACCACTAAATAAACAGCATTAGGACATAAGGACTCCTGTATTCGGAAGAGTTATTTGATTTATATCTCACTTTTTCCCTCAGTATAAACAGCACTCCCTCCTGCAACATTTCCCACAGCAACAATCTAGGTAGGGCACGGGTGTCAAACTCGATCGTGTCACGTGATGCATCGTGACTTTTTTTACCTTTGTGGAGCCAGGATGGGCATGGCCTGCGCATGACGCAACTGGCCCATGGGCTGCTAGTTTGACAGGCCTGACCTAGGGTCTAGGTTGGGGTGAGGGGAAGACGGTGACCATACCAAGAGTTTCTGTGGCTAAGAGAAGACTTGAATCTGGGTTTCAACAACCTGCACCCCTCTGGCTCTGAGTTGTCTCTTACAAAGACCCAGTGTACAATCTGGGGGTCCTTCTAGACTTACGACTCCTACTCAACAATCACGTGACAGTCATGGCTGGGAGGGCCATTGCACAGTTTTGTGTTGTATGCCAGTTGCGCCATTTCCTGGATTGGGAGACTCTGATCACAGTCACTCTTGCCCTAGTTACCTCCAAATTGGACTACTATAATGGACTGTATACTGTATACAAGGCTGCCCTTGAAAAGTATCCAGAAGATTCATCTGGTGCAAAATGCAGCTGCCTGGGCAGTTAAATGTGCTCCTAGAAGAGCACATATGACACCTCTACCCCATGAGTTGCATTAGCTGCCAATCTGCTTCCAGGTCAGGTTCAAGGCATAGAATCAAGTTACCTGAGGGACCAACTCTCTCCAATTACATCAGACCCAATTACATCCCATTAGATCTAGCAGAGAAGACATGTGAGTACCATCTGCAAGAGATTTATATTTGGTGGGTTCCAAGAGGCGGATCTTCTCTATCAGGTTAGCATCATCCCCATTAATCTTACAGAAATCTCTCAAGACCTAGTTATGTCACCAGGCCTTGGGGGGGGGGGGGGGGGTCCTACAAAACTGATGACATGTTTAGATGGCTTCGCTTTGGTTGATATATTCAGTTTCTCATGTGGTTTGTACTTTTAAATTTTTAATAATATTCTAATTTTTAATAATGCTTTTAATATTTTTATAGTGATTGTTTTTATATATTTGTTGTTTTAATTTATTGTTATATGCCACCCAGAGTACCGTATTTTCCGGCATATAAGACGACTGGGCGTATAAAACGACCCTCAAATTTTCCTGTTAAAATATAGGGTTTGGGCTATACTCGCCGTATAAGTCTACCCTTCTTCCAACGCACACCAAATAAAAATTGAAAAACATTAACTGGCTCACCCACAATGTAAAAGCAGCTATGCTAGACCCAAAATGGCCCCTGAAACAAGCAGGAACCTCACACAGCCACAAAAAGCCCAAAAAAACAACTTTCACACTTTACACACACAAAATTCCACATACAGCTTTGTGAGATTTTGTGTGTTTGTATAGTTAGAGTGAAACACTACAAAAACATACTAAATCTCAGAAAGCTGCACAAATATTATTTTATTTTATTTTATTTTTATTTTTATATGAAAGCTAAATTTAAAACTTCCTAAACTTTAAATGGCTAGGTCTAAAAAAGAACAACTAAAAAAACCCCCAATTAACTATTTTTTTTAAAGATCCCCAAGGGGGAAAAAACTTACCCAATAGAACAGGGGTCTCCAACCTTGGCAACTTTAAGACTTGTAGACTTCAACTCCCAGAATTCCTCAGCCAGCTTTGTTTTGCTGGCTGAGGAATTCTGGGAGTTGAAGTCCACAACTCCCTGCCTGCTTGATTGCAGGCAGGGAGTTGCTTGCTGATGGAATGTATTCAGGCAAGCGAAGCAAGGCAAGCAAGGTCGAGGGGGAAAACTTTTTTCCTTCTCCATGACTCTGGCGATCCCAGCTAAGTTGCCTGATTAGCAGATCGTCAGAGCTTGGATCGTCAGAGCCATGTGAAAGGAGAAAAGTTTTTCCTTCTCCATGGCTCTGGCGATCCCAGCTAAGTTGCCTGATTAGCAGATCGTCAGGGCTTGGATTGTCAGAGCCATTTAAGGCTCGTCAGAGCCTTTCGGGCTGGTCTGCCTGGTTACAGGAGAACGATACCCGGCGTATAAGACGACCCCCGACTTTCGAGAAGATTTTCATGTGTTAAAAAATCGTCTTATACACCGGAAAATACGGTAGCTTCTTGTGAGATGGGCAACCACGCAAATTTGATTAATAAATGAATGAATAAACTTTATATTGCTGTGTAATGGCTGAGTATGTAATACAGAATTAGCAAGCATTTATTTTATCCACCAAAAAGTTATACTTTGTTTTGGCTTCTCTTGGTTCAGGACACCCATCTACAATAAGCTAATATTTCTCATCTTCAGTCTAAAAGTTTGTGAAGGTCTCATTGCCACCTAGTATAAATAAATACTCCTTAAGCTTGGAATGCTCTATCCTTGGTAGGAAGAGGCAGACCATTCCAGGAACAAGATAGGATAAACTGGTCTTCCTTGCCCTTCTCAAAATCAAATAGAATGAGGACACTGAAAACAATTATGATTTGGAATTTACAGAAGCTAGTCAGAAGCTTCCATAAGAAAAAACTTCAGCGTAGACCCAAAAAACACAAAGTGTTGCGTATTAGTCAGCTTTGGATATATCCACTGACTGTTACCTTTGTGGAGTTTCCTGACTGGCCAAAAATGTCTAAGGTTTTTCTTTTATTCTTCAATATTGTTAAGTATTCTTTGTTATACTATGCTCCTTAGTATTCTTGTATATATTCTTTGTGTCTTATGTTATTGGGACACTTTCTCATATTGTCTTTGAATAAACCCTTAAGCATACATACCAATGCTTTATTTTAAAGCACTTCATAAATTTACTAATTTTGAAAATCTCCAAAATCCAAAGAATTTTTCCCTAATGTCTGTCATATATTATCAGGCAAAGCTTGTTGAGAATGTCTTCCGTAATAAATTAACAGAATTAAAATACTCCAAGGCTTCCTTGGAATAAGAATGATTTTACATAGTGCTGCATTACTTCTAAGTAAACTTACTTAGAAATAAGAAGGTAACATCACCTTCTTTCTCCCCTAGATGAGATTACTTCCTTAGAGGGACACTAGACTTCCCTCAGAGAGGAAGCCTGTAGCATCACCTCTTGACCTACATACTAAAATTCCCTCTATTTCATCATGCTGAAAATTTTGAGCATTAGTTTTAAAATGTGCTTATTTTAAGCTCTTTCTTCCAAATTCAAAACAGAACACTTTCTTCTAAAGAAGCCTAGATTTGTATACTAAGTCCATGGATTTTTTTTTTCTACTCTATTTTTATCATGGAATACATCTCTCCTCCACAAAAGTTCTCACAGAAGAGAGGGTTGAGCTCCTGATACTTGTCCCAGCTTCTGCCAACCTAGCAGTTCGAAAGCACGTAAAAAATGCAAGTAGAAAAATAGGGACCACCTTTGGTGGGAAGGTAATAGCATTCCGTGTGCCTTTGGCGTTTAGTCATGCTGGCCACATGACCACGGAGACGTCTTTGGACAGCACTGGCTCTTCGGCTTTGAAACGGAGATAAGCACCGCTCCCTTAGAGTCGGGAACGACTAGCACATATGCGCGAGGGGAACCTTTACCTTTTTACATGGACCAGGCTACATGTCATGATCATCTGTAGATGAAAATAGCAGTCTAATTTATAATTCCCTCAAAGTGTCTCGTTGAGTGTCTTCCTTAACTCAGATTCCCTAGAGCTTTTAAGAAGTTGCATTCACAATATATCTGGAATACATCAGGTCAGGAAATGCCGGTCTAGGGCTCTTATGACAACTCAGAGCATTCAATTATTTTCATGCCATCCACAGCATTACTGAGGGCAATGGAAGGCAAAATGTGATATCACAATATGAAGAAAGGAAAAAAACAAATGAACAAAGCATGGCTTCAGTTTTCAGTCACAATCGCACATTTATCTTCAGCTTCCCAAAGGATTCTATGCATAAATTAATGCGCTCACACAATGTGCTGGTTACAGTTGTGAGGCAATTAGCCACAAGAATAACAATAAGTCCTTATAAACTATAACTACTGTGACAATTTAAAGTCTTGTTTGATAGAGAAGCCCCCTTGATTTTGGACGCTGAGTTACTTAAAATATCAAAATAAATCACAATCATGATATATGGTTGAAAACCTGTTCAGTTTTCCAATGTCTGCAACCATGCTGCATCTCAAGAACAAATCGCACAAACTAAGGGAAGCCATTATTTTTTTAAAAAAACAAACAAACCTTAATGAGCCTATTATGCTTGTGCTTATAATGTATAATATGCATTTTCAAGCCTATTTCTGTCACAATAATGATACTTTAGCAGAATGAATTGCACCTAGAGTTGATTGTATTATTTTTTTATTTTCTATTGAAAAGGATTCTGATGGTTTCGTTTTGTCTGCTCATTTGATGTTTTGTTTCTTGAACAAATTGTTTTTACTGTTGCACAAATGCTTCAAAACATACAAAAAAGAAACCCAGTCAGTGGAATATCAGCCCCTTAGACAATCATTTAATGGGCAACATTCAGTGCTAAGCAGATGCTTTTGTTTGCATAACAAAACTTCTGTTATCTCTTCTGTACACCTTCAACTTGTAGGAATAAATGTTTTGATTTTTTTTTAAAGAGAGACTAATAGCCCATTCAAACTGAACATTTTTTAAAACCAACAGTAGGAATTGAAAACCACATTAAATGCAGGGTTGATGGGAAGCCTGTATTTTTAACTCAAAGGTTCTTTTTCGAAAAGCAACTGGACTGTTTTTTCTTTGAGGAAAATGTTTCGCTTCTCATCCAAGAAGCTTCATCAGTTCTGGAATAACTGAGAATTTCCACACACATTTAGCCTGTGTTCTTAAATTTTCAAAAAAAAAAATAATGGATGTGCATCCTGTATGTTTTCAGTAAAACCTTTATTCTTCTCTTTTCCTTGGGTTGAGAAGATGAGATTGACATTAACACTTAAAAGCTTTTTTTTTCTCAGAAGGAAAAAATATTGAGGCATGCTCTATTGTAAGATTTCAAAGAAAAATAACAAACCCTCAAACATGCTATATTGTGATAATTATTTTGTCCTTTGTTCACTTTAAATGTCTTGGGTGCAGATCTGAATCTACATTTATATGTTGCATTATTACTGAGGGACTTCTATTTATATCCGTGGTATTAGAAGTAAGATTTTTTTTTTTCTTCCGTTCAGTCTTGGAGACTCTCTGGACAAGTCTGCAATTTTCTAGGCAAAGTTTTTCAGCAGTAGTTTCCCATTGCCTCCTTCCTAGGGCTGAGAGAAAGTGATTGATCCAAGGTCACCCTTGCTGGCTTTGTACCCAAAGTGGAACTAGAACTCACAATCTCCCAGTTTCTAACCTGATAGTTTAACCACTACACCAAACTGGCTCTATAAAATGTTTAACCGCTATTAAACACAAGAGGCTTATTATAGCCCTGAAGAAATTTGTGCAAGGGTACAAAGAAGAATTAATGCATTTGTCTATAGACAAGGGATGGTTATGGGATGAAGAAATATTTGTTCATAACTTTATAGAGGCTGAAGAGCCTAAATTTGTTTATACTTATAAAGGTTGGAAGTGACCTGTGTGTGTGTGTGTGTGTGTGATATTCTCACTTTTTTCTTGCACTTTTTATTCTTTCCTCCTCTTTAAGTTTAGCTTGTATTAGTTTCTATTGTTATAGTTAAAATTGTAACAAAAAATATTTTTTAAAAAGCAATTAAAAGTTCCAAGCACTCTGAATATCCAAGCACTTTAAAATATTAGCCTCCCATTCACTGCAAACATCTTCTCTTTCACTAAAACAATTTCTACAAGAACGAATTGCCTTTTGAAGAAACCTACCTTGCCTTTTTGATTTACAGGTTCAATAGTTAAACCGTCAGGTCCGATATCCACAATGCTCCCCATCTGAAACCCATCAGTTGGGTGTGGAGCCCAAACAGGCTTCCCGTCCTCCATCTTGAGGAACTATTTCCTACAAAGAAAAGAAATGTTTGTAACTGAAAGGGAAATTGAAAGCTAAGCGTTTTGAGGAGCATTCATTGCTTCTTTTCCACTGAAATTTCATCCCAATTCTCTCCCAACCTCATAACTGATGAGTAGTTATATTAACAAATGCAACTATTTCTATCTAGAAACAAATGCAGTGCCCTAAAATGAGAAATAAGGCAACACCCAATGGAATGAATGGTGGCTGTTACAGAAACATTACTCAGCAGAGAACCAGGCAGTGCCAACACCATATTTGCTAAGAAAGGTGAAAATATAAAACAGGTGACTGGTATATCTAACCAAACCTCGTAGAGGGAATTCCAAAATGTATTAAAAAGAGTTGAATAAAGCAAGATGCACTCATTTAAAAAAAAAAAAACCCACACACCCCAGTCCATATTCAATAAACCACTGACATATTATTGAGCTGAAATTCATCAGTAATCTTCCATTAACGGATAATGAATTGCAGGTCCAAGGAGAAAGCCAAGATTCCTTTATGCTGAGATAAAACTAAATGATAAATGTGTGCTAGAGAAAGATTCTCTCTCCCGCCAAAAGAGTAATGTTCTGCATAATATATTTTTCACTATAAATAACTACTGTATTTATTATACCCCACTACAGTCCCAAAGGGCTCCCAAAAATTAACAGATATAGAATGCCCAATTACAATTAAAATGTCCATTCAAGTTAAAGTAAAAACATAAAATACAGAAATATATATCCACAAACCCCAAGAAGGACCAATCAATAAACCTTTGCCAAAGTGACATCACAACCCGAAGGCCCTCTGGAAGAGCTCCATTTTGAGCTGCTTCCAGAAAACATAATGGGAGACAACCTTATTTCTATTGGGAGGCATCTCTGAAACATAGGTTCCCTCACCATCCTAAAGTGGAGGAACCACTCGGCTATCTCAGCTGGACTGAATTGGTCCAATTGTCTCTAATGGAGAAGTGTGTCCTCCAGACTGCTTGGCACCAAGCTATAAAAGGGCTTTATAGCAGCAGTGCCCCCCCCAACCTTTTGGGAACCGGGGCCAGTTCCATGGAGAGAGGTTTTTCCACAGACCTGAGGAGGCGTGGTTTTGTGTGCTGCCTGCATCCTGCAGATGGGGCTTTGCTTGTTTGCATGGGCTGGTTTCTGGTATGCCACAGACTGATGCCAGTCCATGGACCTGGGGTTGGGGACCTCTACTTTATAGGCCAGTACCAGTTCTTTAAGGTGCATCTGGAAGCCTACTGGTAATGCAGTGCCTTTAACACAGATGCCATGTGCTCTCATTGGCAAATGCTAGCTAAAAAGGGGCCACTGCACTCTGAACTGCAGCTTCACATAAGGTGCACTGCAATAATCTAAACCGGTGATGAGAAAAGCTGTAGCAAGATCGGCATGTCTCAAGCTGGGCTATAATTGACATAGCAGCCACTACCTCTACCTGCTATTTCACTAGTAGCCAGGAGGACCCAAGTCATGGACATGTTCCTTCATGGGGAATGCTGCCCCATCAAAATACTCTCAATGGACAAACAGGTCGCCTCTGATTTGATTGTTTTTTAATAGAAGAGAATATTTGTAGCCCAGGGTTGAATGGTGGAGTTCTTGGTGTTCTCAGAGCTTGATTATTTTCAAATCTGCTAATCCGGGAGATCCTTGTTACTTCTAGTTTTGGACAGTCAAAAAAAGAGAACCCCAATACATAAAGACCAAATTAAAACAAGTTTAGAGAATTCAGGTCTAAAAGTGAGATTCCCAATCATGCATATTTCTTTCAGCACAAGTGAAGGAAAACACAAGCACTCCAAATCTAATGTGAGTGCTTCCCAAACACAGAACTATTATTTATTTATCATATTTCCAACCCACTCACTTTTGATAAAATTAGCCTGAAGTGATTAATTTGTTAGAATAAAAGATGAAGCAAGGGCATAAACCTAGTGTTTTATTTAAACATTATTCTAGAAATGTTAAATTATGCATTGCATTATATTCTGTCATACACAGTACACTGGAGATCAGTATTACAGTTCTTAATATTACAAACCTTCTTACTGAGCTTAAGTAGAAGGGGGAAATCGCTAAAATTGGGATTCTGCTCAAGAGTTGTTCAATCTCTGTACCTAACTTTAACTATTTATTCTTTTTATTTAGGTAACATAAAAGAAAGGAAAAGAAACATAATCAGAAATGCTTGGCACCAGTCCAATCTTCAGTCACTAAGCTTCAGCAAAAAACAAATAATTCCACATAAACCTGTGTCAGACATTTTATTTCAGCAATTTGACCAGCGCCCCTAAAACAAGTCCAAGTAGGCTAAAGCAGGGGTCCCTAACCCCAGCCTGTGGCCCACTACTAGGCTGTGGCCCATTCAGAAATGAACCATAGAAGTGGCGGGCAAGTGCATGTGCGCAGTTCCATTTGCATAAGCACTGGGCAAGTGCGGTAACACATGCAGCTCCATTTGCGCAACTAGTAGGCACACTGACCTGCCACTGACATGGAACCATCCCCACTCCCCCACCTCTCTGCAAAGCTGAAAAGGTTGGGTACCACTGGGCTAAAGGGAACTCAGTCTGTGGGTGTACAAAGTGAAATTGAGTCCTTACCAATTAACCAGTACTAAACCAGCTACTTCATAGGGATTTGGCACATCAGAAAAACATTCTTGCAAAAAATTGTTACATTATTTCTCAAAAGACAAAAAATGGACAGAGAAAAAGGGAAGGGAAAAAGGTAGAGCCATGTGTACAAGACAATGGCTCTCCATGGAATATGTACACAATAAGTGGATTTATTACTGTCAACTAGGCAACTCTTGCTGCCTTCATTTCACCATTATATGGAGCTCAGTGGAGCACTAAGGATTATGCTAGCCTTCCATTCTCTTAATAGCACCTTTTCCCACAGTCTAATTCTCTGGTTCAGTGAATTCTCAACACACTGTTATCTATGGAACTTTTTGCCTTAAAGTTCTTTCAAGCTCTCTAAGTTTTAGAGTTATGATCAGTACAACTACAGCTACAAGTGATATATAGTTCTGTAAAGAGAACAAAAGACAGTATTGTAAAAATCAAAATGCAGTTCCATAGCCCTTTGCGTATTTTTCTGAACCCTGGCTATTTATTTTTTCATAATTGATGAATATCTCATTCCATTCTGTCAACATGTTTAAGTTAAAAGGTTGTCTTTTGTTTTTCTGGCAGGCTCTGATTGTTTCTGAGTTGAATGGATCCCAAACGGAGTTTTATTGTTGGTGAACTTTACTAAAAAAAAAAAAACTAAAAAAAAACCAGCAACAGTTGTAGGAATGCCACGGGTACAAAATGCTGATTTTGCACATTGCACAGCTGAGATAGTCTTGCAACTTAACAAAAATACAAAGTAAGTCTGCCTGAGAGTAATATTGTACTGATCTAATGCTGTACATATATTCATTCTATTTAATTCACATTTTCTAAACTGAATGGAGTCACTCTTCTTAACTAGTGGTTTGTTGGTAAAATAGTTTATGATACGCCTCATTGAAAAGACATAAAGCTAAAGTAGTCTTGGTTTGTAACAAACTAATGGCCATATTTATATATCAGGAAAGGAGGCCATATATATCAAATTCCAAAACCCGAAAACCAGAACCAGAAACAGGCAAGAATTTAAGTCTCACATTATCCAATTCCTGATTTTCTCATTATATGCAAACCAGGCATTATGAACTAAATTGCAAGCTAGCCAAGAACTGCTATTGGTTTGTTAAACCAATTAGAGTTTGTTCTCATATGATTGTAAACACAAATCTGCTAAAATGAAACTTAACTCTACTATACTCATTTTCCATGGCTAAGAAACCCCCCTCAAAAGCCTCCCAGCTTTTCAAAATACTTCAGAAACATAACCTTAAGATTAGATGGAAATGATAAATTTCCATAAGAAGTCACATAAGCTTGCAAGATTCCGTTCATTTTATTTTTGCAAGTATTCTAATTTTAATGTGATTAATGGATGCAGCCACCACCCAAAGAAGCATTGCTTCTCTTTGTCAGCTACGTTTTTTTTTTTTTTTTTTTGTTCCTTATATATCTGGAGAAATGAAGAATTATAGCCATTTTAAATAGCAAATTAACATAATGAGTTCCTCCAGTGCAGGAAATGACTTTTCTTTCAAAAGACTGAGACAAGCAACTCCTTTCTCTTGCGTGTAAGCAGACACTCGCACAGCTGAAAGTCAAGCCGAGCCCTTCCTTGCTGAATGGGGAAAATTAGATGATCCAAGTTGTTCCCACAAACCTGTGCCTATCAGCCTTTGGGTCTCTGTCGCAAGGATGGGAAAGCAAATATGATCTCATAACTTCCTGAGGAAAGACATCCTGTCAACCAGCAAGGGAATTCTCCTAGAAAGCCAAAATCCCTCCTTGGGAGACAAGAGCATCGGCTAAAGTGCAAGACATCCCACGCTCACTATCCTGACGGGCCTGAGAAAGATGATAATAAAGAAACTTGGAGAAACACTGTCAGTCAGGGAAGACAACCTTAAATTAGATTTATTTATTTATTAGATTTTTGTTATCCCACTTTTCTACTTTATAAGTTACTCATGGTGGCAAACATACAAAATACTCTTTCCTTCTCCTCCTCTTTCTTCCCCACAACAATTCTGTGAGATGGGTTGGCTTGAGTTTCCATCATTCCTATTAGATATAGGACCTTTTTTTTCCCCCATTGGATGCTATTTTTCACTTTTTACCAGCATGGGTAAGAGTTCTGCTATCTAAGCTTTTCACTGCAGGCATCCATTTGACTTAGACCAGCCTTGTTTCTGCACTGACACTGCAGTGAAATGCATTCCTGCTATTATGACCCACTGAGGTGAGGTTAAAAAAAAAAAAAAGAGGTAGGGATCTGATCTTCTGTACATAAGTATGATTCTAAGTCTTGGAGATCCAATGTACGCAATTAATATTAGGAATAAAGCTATCATAGTATGGG